TTTTTTAAACACTAATTTCTTGTTAAATTTAATGTATTCATTCAGTTTAAGAATTTTTCATCTATTTTCGTGCCAATATTATATTTTGATCAGCATTTTCAATTTCCACATTTACCTATAAGTGAACACTATATGCGCGTGGATCCTATATTCAATGTGTAAAAATATTCTGGCTGAAAGTGCTGCTAGCTTCACAGTGGTGACTGTAAGAGTGCCAGTTTAGCATGTTTCCATTGGAGACGGAGTCGAATTTTCAAACTACCCGGAGTTGTGGTCTGAAGTCCCATTTCTGAATTTATCCCAAAGACGGAGTTGAAGACTTCCAATAGTGATATTATTAGTCAAAACGAAATCTAGAAAATAATTTAATTTACTATGCGTTTTTAACAGTCTATTAAAAAAAGCTTATAAGCCAAATTTTTTGTTATCAAAATAAATTTTTCTCTCAATTCGAAGCTAGAAATTTATTACAGATCGGCGTCGGGAGACCAATTCTAGGTCAGGAATCAGGATTGGGATGGAATTTACATATTTACCTCATATATTTTTGTATTTTGGCATTTTTGTTGTATATTCAAAAGTCTGCCTGTGGTTTGAAATAATTTATTTTGGGTGGTTTAAAAGAGATTGTTTTTGGCAATTGTGCACTAATTGAGAAAATAATTTTCAACTAGGTTCAACCAATGACTTTAAACAACATGATAGGCAACTCTGACGTCACTCCATAAGACTACAGGCGAAAGATTGTATTTCATGATACGCTCCAATGCACATATTTCTCGTGCCTTTCGCGTCCGTTTTCCGCTCGCTTTTGCTACTCGGCGTCTTTTTTACGTGTAGTACCTGTCTTTTTGCGCCTGTAACGAAACAAAATAATCTCTATATCTAAGAAGTTTTGCTCACTCGGAAAGCTGGAATGGCAGGCAAGCTGTAAAGAGCAATTTTGGACATCATAGACGTTTATTTTTATAAGAGAAGATTACAAACGCGATAGCGGAAAGATTTGCATGGAACATTTTGCAGATAATGACAAAGTTCAAAGTTATTAATTTTAATGTTTGCGCTTAATCATTGAAATTTCATTTAAAGAGGGTGTCATACAAAACTGTGCTGTGATACAATTCCATAACACAAAGTTTGCACCTATCGAACTTGCTTTTGTAGGTGAATTTATTAGACATATTACATATTCAGTTAATCGTAGGTAACATTGCTGGTACATAATGCATCGTAGATAGGTTTGTTTAAATTTAGGAATTTAGCTCAAAGCCCACTGATTAATATTATCTTCTATGCGGGAGGTTGCAGGGCTGAATTCAACCAGCAGCCTTACCGACCACCGGACGATGCTCATTTAGTTGGCCCGAGCAAGTCTTCTTGAAATGCTTGTGTGGATGGAAACTACCTATCTCTTTTGCCTTCCTCCGATTTTAGACAAATTTATTATGAGGGATTTCGCATATAATTCTCATTGATTGTTGGCTGTTTATAATTCCTATTGATTGTGAATTCTGATTATAGCAAAGAGTTAAACATTTTTTTATCTAATTTACTGGCACCTTTTTCTTGTCAATACTCCAAGCTGAGGTAATAAACAAGACAATACATTTATGTCATCTGGAAGCAAAATATGCACACTAATTAATAGTTTGGCATATTGAGATAATACATCATGACAGAAAATACAAGTTAAAGATATGTATGACCATCACATGGTAATTAAAATTAAAAAAAATTAATAGGGGCTGTGGAGTATGAAAAGTTCAAGACAAAGAAAAGAACAAATGTTCATAGCTGTCAATGTCTTATTAATTCCAGTAATGCAAAAAAGTTACTTTTATCATTTCATGTATCGATCAGTAAAAAAACAAATGACAGATTTTTTCAACAAGACATTTCGCACCACATTGCGTGGCATAGGATTGCTTGAATTATTATTGATATTGATTTTTAGTAACTAAGTCGTTGTATATTATATTAATATACAAACACATGGAAATTTTCTGTTCGAAGTTGGTCTTCGAATTTGTCATATTGACTGCTGAGCTTAATGTGTTTTTTTCATTGTATTGATGAAAATATGACAAATTAAACAATGTGCTTCAGAATTTTGTGAAAAGCCGTTTGTTACAACTCCCATTTTCTTCGAAAATGCCACCTTCTTCATGTACTTTGCGTTTAATTTAATCACTCAAGTGTTTTATTCAAGTATTCTTTTGCAAGCTTGATGTGTATTCTTAATTGGGTCAAAATGTGGACAAAAAAATTAATATTCCAAAACTACTTTCAGTAAATTGTTTTCTGTGTAAATAATCAATTTCACTTTGAAAGGTTTGAAAAATCTATTACATTTAGATAAAAAAAACTTCCCAAAATACTAATTACAATTATTTGTTAAGCGTTCGAAGGCCGCACTGGAAGTTCTCTTGGGGCCGCGGGTTTGAGATCCCTGGTCTAGATTGAAGTTGTCCAAAAAATATATGATAGTATTTTTATCATGAATGATGATTATACCCCCTTCCGGAATTTCTTCTATAGTACTACCAAAAGTTGATGAACCAATATAACACAGGTGCAGTGAGTTACCGTAATCCTCATTTTTCCAAAGCTGTTTTAAGTATGTCTGGCGTGTTTTATGCCTTTTTTACAAATAAGACCGAGTATGCAATTTTACGCTTTGGAATTTTTAGTTATTTTCTTCAAGCCCTGCAGGATGTGGGGACCATACACAACTCTACCGGAGGGTCAAATGTCTTTGCATGCCTCCATAGGTTGTTTTTCTATTGCAGAGTACTCTAATTATATTTCTTGGAATCACACTGTCACTGATATGTCGCCAGACTTCGGATATCTCCCCTTCTGCTATAGTTGTCCTGTGAATAAATAATAGGAAATTGAGATTAGACGAATAGTTGAAAGTTTTGCTTTATGTCGGCTTAATTTCTTGATTGATATACTTATTATTTCTGCTATTGCCTCTTGTGCTGCAGGAGTCTCACAATGCTTAGACAGGTTTGTCCACAACTTTCACATCTGAAGAAAGAGAGGAGATTTATTAATTATCGTTAAGATAAATAAAGCAGTCTATTATGATTTAGAATGGAAAAGCTAATAAATCCAATATCTCATGTTTTATGTAAAAATATTTCACTGAATTTGGTATATAAACCAACTAATAAAAGGGTTTAGTCAGAAAAATTACAAGCATTCGTGGCTCCAAATACTAGAGAGATCAGACTATACAATATAGACCGGTATGAGTGAAATGTTAGGTGAACTTGTTAACACTTTGATTCAATACGCAAATAAAAGAAAATGCGCAATAGTATGTTACAATAAGCAGCAGTCAACAATGAGTATATATCCTCACTGATTAAAAAAATCTAACTGGAGGTGCACGAACTATTTGAAACTGTAAGGGGTAAGTAAATATGTAATTAAGGCAAATGGGCAACTACGTACCGTACTGAATTAATAACTTCGTAGTATTTGACAAAGGCTGGCTTTCCCACATGTACTTAACAGTGCGATGCCCCGGTGTGATATACAACAATAGTATTTACCTTACCTTTTTTCCGATTTTTTTTTACCTCAACTTTCTAAAATATTATTAAAATCGACAACAACTGTCAAAGCAGGCACGAACACCATTCGTGCTACGCCTTGTAAGCAGCACACATCCGCTCGTTTTCGTCTCGTCAAGTATGTGCATTGGAGCGTGCTATCGAATACGATCTTCGGACAAAAATGCCGGAGTTGCGCATCATGTTGTTTAATGTCATTGGTTCAACCGGTATGTTAGTCGTTGGGTTCAACATAGCACCTTTTGTAAAAGTAACACCACGAGATAAATTTGTGAATGATTTAAAATGTTAATATATTGAAAAGCGTATGTCTTGCCACGTATATCGCATTTGAGCTTAATTCTTTACTTATAGTCGATATATATATTATTTGTTACAGATCATACGAAGATTTACTATACTGTCTATATATAATTATACATCTAACATATATTTTCATTGTTCAGGTTTGAAATATTTGACCTAAATGCGAATCCAGCTTTGAAACACTCTAGTCATTTGCGAAGGCATACTCAGAATTATCAATTGTATTCAGTGGTGGGATTCAGCCGGTTCTATAGAACCGTCTCACGGAATTTTATGAGTTCAGCGAACCGGTTAGCATTACTGGTAGGCTAACAGTAACTAGTATTAATTTTTGCATCTTATCTGACATACCGATTTTTGAGATCAAGTGTTTTTTCCAAAATGTGAAATGATCAACTTCGCACGTAACATATTGTGTTAATTTTTTTATATATATAATTGTAGTGTGTTTTCCGTAGATCGTACATCCTCAGGTTTTTAGATTCATTATCAATGAGTATATAATATTTGCAGCAATATAGACAATCCTCAACATCATTGAAAATTTCGATGCTAATTTTGACATAATGATGCTTACCTAACCATTATTTTGAAATGTTAACTAGGAAGTAATTAAAAATAATCAGTTTATTTGCTAAAAAGTATGACTTTTTGTAACAGAACCGGCTGAAAAATATGACTTTTGTAATGGGATCGGCTGACAAAAAAAATTTGAATCCCACCACTGATTGTATCGATGACTTTATCTTTGATTTCGCTGAATTAGTATTACCTGCGATCTAGCGCTTTTTATACCAATGAAATTTACAAAACAACTTTACATATTTCAGAATATCAAAGAGGTATTGAAGAAGCTGGAAATACTGGGTGTTTATCTTATTTCTAAATATTCACAAAAATGTACTCAAATTCAAGTGCAAAAGTGTTGCTAGAAGAAGAGGGCAGGTTGAAAATTCAATTTGTTTTTACCGATATACCTCTTTTTCATTACTCAAATATTGCCAGCTAACTAGGTAGAATACAAAAATTGTTACAACACTTAAAGTAAAAATTAGAATGTAGCCAAAAAAAGTAGCAAACTACGCTGCCTATATTCTGACTTTCCTTAATTTGCAATCGATAAAGCATAAACAATTACTACTTTTCAAAGTTATTTTTATTTATAGGAAATAGCCAGAAAACTCAGTAATATGTTGTACATTCTTCATTCTATCTTTTTGAAAGAGAAAGCATCAAGATAAGTTTCCTGTGTTGCAAATAAAATGAATGATATGATTAAAAAATTTGAATCGCTATTTTATAAGATGCTATAGTTTTTCGAGAGATTAATTACTTTAGGTAAGGTATACAGCACAAACTTATTGTACAATCCATGGCAGTGTGATTAAAATATGTTGTTAGACATCGACATTGGATGTTGGTTCATATTTCGCATTCCATCGAAACTTTCACAAAATCAAATACACATATCCTAAGATAGAAAAGTTTATGCATTATGAGACTACTTACTATGGCTCAGATAAAGAAGAGCAATTATCGGTGCATTCGGTACAAGCTTTCCTCCTAGCTTCTTCTTCATCCAAAAAGCACCTTGATCGACAACCTACTTCAATTGATTTTTTCACACATCCATTCACTTTTGATCCATCTGTAACATAGGAAGGTGCTACTTTAGTCTGTTATCTCAGCGGTTGTGTGATCTCCCCATGATTTTTGTCAGGGTTAGAAACTGAATTCTAAGAGTTTTTATGATATAAAGTGCCAACATAGTGGCATTGGATTGAGATCACGTTAAGCAAGTGAGATCGGACACGAATTGGAACCCATAGATAATTAATTAACTACATTGTACGCTCTTATCCGACATGGATAGATATTTAGATTTTAATATTTTACAATACAGATATTCTCCTATTACTCGCATTGTAGGTAATATGGAATAATACATAATTTGATGTTAGCCTACATGGTCTTAATTATAAGTTCAACTGACCACAATCGGTTCTTATACATGCCATGCAGTCAGGCTTGATCACATTTCTTTTCTTGGCACAATGTTGTAAGCAGGACTCGGTGCACGCTGGCGGTGTTACCGGCAACTGCGGTTTCTGTGGAGGTGGGGCAACCTCAATGTCTGTAAAGATGGAAATATTTCATAAGAACTATTTATATAAAATTTCGTGAACATTCCATAAGAACATGGTACATATTTTATTGTGACACGCTCTCAGAACTGTTTTACCCGATTTTTGTCAGCTTCAAGTCTGCGTATTTCGAACTCCAATTTGGTTATCTATTCATATTCCTATGCCCGTCCCGGACAGACCGAACGATTGGCCATTTTTTATCATTTTATCAAGTTTTTCATTTTTTGTTGTTGAGTATTTCAATCGAAAAACATCTTATCATTCCGCCTACTCCTCCCCCCCCCCCCATTGATTTTCCCAGATGAACTCATAACATCAGCCGTAAGTTGACAAAGAAAAAGGCATATTTTCTCATACATAAAATTATTGAAAGTCAGTACGTTACTTGGAGAAGCACAATTAGACGGAGGTTGCCCTGGTGGCGTTTTTGTTCCTTCCAGTTCTCTACCCATCATTTTGTCAACACACCAACAATATCCTGAACTAGCACTGCATTGCTGTGTTTTGTAATTTCCTTCATCATCACATTGTGGAATAAATTTACCTGGTACCATTCCTCCTTGCTTTGCAAGCATTCGAGCATAAGTACATGTACCTTTTTTCGGCACTGTAAATTTGAGTAAGAATTCATGAACATATTTTAGATAAAACATGTTTGAAAGCAAAAAAATGTGATTTTCTCCGCGTCTTTTTGATAATTTTAACACGCATAGGCTACCACAGATGGCGTTTATATTTGCAAAACAACCAATCGGCAGTTAGATGACGTCGTAGGCTCGCTGCCGAAGTTGGGTTTGTTGAACGTTGCGCGGACCATGTTAGAAGCAATTCGTAGTACAATAGCATGAGCAAGATAATAAATTGGTTTGGTGACAAAGTTATGAAAAGACAAGCTTGACAATATCAATATTTTCCTGCTGTCCTCCGCAAATTAATAATATCTATACTTTTATGGAAAATAATATTTCAAACAGTGATGAGTTGATGACTAATAGATTAATTAAAAGCAGCGATCAAAGCAAGATTTTAGACTTTAGAGACTAGTGCCCAATTACTATGGTCATAGATAAGTGACCAGTATGATACCGTTTTAAATCAAAATAATTATCGAGTAGGCTACAACTCAGCAACTAGTGAAGTCCAGGCCATTCGCGTTATCCGTAAACGTCTATTATTATGATTTGCAAGCATCCGATCATGCGCACATGTATCGATTTTGGGCACTGTAGATTCAAAGAACGAAGGTATTATTGCACATTATACACTATTCGTGCAATCTAAGGTTGAAGTAGTTAGTTGCCGGAGTACAAAACTAATCAAATATTTACAGATAGAGAAAAGCTTTGAATAGACACGTATTCCACAAAACAAGGGAGTTTGTCAATCTGTATTTGTTTGTATTTGTCAATCCTGAAATAGTTCTGTCATCAATCATTATACAACTAGTATACAAGCATTAACTTGGTTGATGTTTTCCCACAACATAAAATTATATCAAAATAAAGGAATAGTAATTTTCTTACTTGGAGGAGTTGGAGCATCACAATTGGCAGCTGGTCGTCCCGGCGGTGTTCGCGTTCCCTCCCGCTCTTTACCCATCTTATCGACGCACCAACAATATCCTGAACTAGCACTACATTGCTGCGTCTTGTAGTTTCCGTCACCATCACATTGTGGAATAAATTTACCAATCATCATGTCTCCTTTCATCGCCTGCATTCGATCGTGAGCACAGGTGCCGTATTTGGGCACTGAAACAACATTATTATACAATTTGGGTTTTTATAAGTCACAATATACCTTGTAACATATCGTTATTGTTAAAAGTAATTTATTCTATATAATCAAATAAAAACTACCAACAACTTTGCAAACGTTCTATCACTTTCTGACTGAAGAAAGTGTTTGTTTTCAATACCCGTCTTTTACGTAATGGCTTTCGTGTTACATTTTAAGCATCAAAATTATACACATACTAAATTATACACATTAAGGGATACGCTCAGTGGTGAGCGGTAGCCGGAACGCACCGGAACGTGGTTCCGGTTGTTGGACATGTTATTGCGTTTGCGTCCCTGTTGTTAAAATAAAATTATGGTTGGAAAAGTCAAGTTTCTGCGTAAAACTTAGTTATCAATCGATGTTTTGTTGCATCATAATTCTTTTTACATTACAGCTGGTAAAAAATTAGCGTACTACTAGTAACATATAATGGATGTTTCGCCGACCTTTAACCCCCGTGAAAATTCATCCAATACCTTTCTAATAATAACATTTGTATTGAATTAGTATGAATATTCTTTCAATTTTAAACAGTTCTATTTCAGATATATTTTTCATAATTTCATTGTAGTTCTTCGGCTCTATCTTACATTTTCACGAATTTGGTGCGTTCCGTTTGTTACGATTTTTCCAGCTCCTTACTGGATACACTTACTTGTGGTCGGATTCTCGCATTCCCTATCACATTTCATGCATTCCGACAATTTCTTTCGAAAAGCTGCAGGGCAGGTTATGTCATATTTAGTACTTTTTTCGAGACAATCTATCGCATCAGTCGTTTTATCTTTTAAAATAAAAATAGGTGTTTATCAGCAATAATTTATCTTTCCAAATTAACAAACTCATAAAACGCAAACAAACTGAGTTTTCGGCTAATAGAAAGTAAAATTTTTATGATGTGAATTTATAACTTCATCAGATGTAACTATTGTCCATTTCCCAACTGAATCAACTACAGCTATACATCTTTGGCAAGTAGCCTAAATATTATGATGTTACAATAACAAAGCTTCAAAATTGAATAAAAATATCATTTATATACTGTTTATTCACTAGCAGGTATACACTTTGAAAATAGTTATGGCCATTTGAACATAAAAAGAACACGCAAAGAATTACCACAATTTATATCGATAAAAGTCTTGCATCTTCTCATCATCTTATCACCTGCGTGATCGACTGATATACATGATGAAGTCTCTGAACATTCATCGAAGCATTCTTCCGTGTCTTCCTTCTTTTCCCCTTAAAACATTCTTTTGGATTACTACCCCTCTACGCCGTGATTTTCAGCCTTGTTTGTATATACAATTCGACGGTTTGGGTCCTCAACGGGGAAAAAATTTACCCCTCATAAAACTCTTCCCTACTACTGAATTAGGCAACCGGTTTCATTTCATAACATAAGTTTAAAAAATGTTATTGTTATTTTTTTTTGGAGAATGCAAAGCGGCAAACAAAAAACGTTTCTCTGACTCCTGATCTCTGGAAAATTCAACCTGATTTTACATCTTTACAAAATTTTTGAAGCTTATTTTTAGAGTGTTTTGTACAGTTGGCGCTTAAAAATTGGCTTATATAACTTATAATTAAAGCTATTCTAACCCAACGTTTGCCTGATCAATTTTTGATTATTGCAACTAAACTAAAGGTCGTGGCAATACATAATGACAATTAAGTTATTAGATTCACAACTATTTCTTGGAAGCACATCTGAAAACTGACAATTAAAACGCCGCGAAAACAAGACAAAGTTCATAGCCATTCTTGAGTATCTACGACTGCACAAATTGCAATTGTTACGTCATTCTTTTATTCTTGACCTATTGTTGATTGATCATTGTTACGTACATAAACAGGGAAAACGATGTTCGGGAAACATCCTAAGGCGTAACTTCGGGCATTTACACTATATAGCCGATTCAAAACACTTACCTTCCTGATTTTTCTGACATTTGTCATCACAATTCATGCAGGCAATCATATTTTTTCTGTAGTCGACTGGACAAGTTTTATCTGCATCAGCGGTGCTCAGACCACTAATGCACTGAGTCACATTACCTGACATTGCTGAAAGATAAGTTTAAATTTTATAATATAAGGTCTATTTTATCAAGTCTCAACGATAGTGCTTGCCAAACTATAAAGTATGGCAGGTGTGGCCAACCTGCTTTCGGCCTCGATCGACTAAAATCATCAAAATAGCTCGCGATCGACTGATCAGCATTAAGGTCATACACAAAAACGAATGAGTACTGAATATGCAGATAACTGCACATACGCATACATAAAATTCCACCGATGCCAATAAACTCGGCCCTTTGGGCACATTTTCATGAAATCTCCACAAGACTTCGTATTTTTTATGTTCCATTTAATTTGATTATGTAATTGTGCCCGTAAAATTTTTTATCATTTATTTGAGTCATACAATTTAGATCTACAGCATCATTTTGCGCATGTACAGTACTGTATTCGTCTTATTTTAAAACACAACAGGCGCTGCATGAAATTAGTTCAAGCAAAAAGTTTGGGGTATGTTTATATTCACTCAACGTCCACGCGATCGCATACTCGAGACGTGGCGGTCGATCGCGATCGACATGTTGGCCACCCCGGAAGTATGAGACACACTATTAAAACAATACACACGAGTTTTTTGTGTGATGTAATTATATTGATCACATTAGAAAGGAAGTCAGGTTATATTCAGTTATCCTAAATCTCAAAAAATTTTTGAATTATTTTATCAGCTTCAAGATGAGGAATTGATGAAATTGTTATATATATGAAAACTGACTTTACAGATTGGTTCAAGTCACAAACATATTACATATATACATTATGATAACATAATGATATATAATGCAACTTACCACACTTTGCCAAAATATATATATTGCATAAAAATCCAGTGTTAAATGTAGCTTCATCCAATGCTTTACACTCTGGCATTACGTCACATTCAGCTTCACATTTTCCGCCACCAATTAATTTGTGCATATGTTTATCTGCTCCCTCGGATGCTGTGGCTAAAACAATTGGGTATATTGTTAGGGTCCGTTTACTATCAATGTCTTATTTTTTTTGTTAAGATCCAATCCCTGATAATCAAGTAAACGTCAATAAGACCTATGGCACTTCAGTGGTCGTTCGTAACTCCCCTCAGAGATCAGCCCGATTTGTGTCTGAGGGAGTGCGCGTGACCTTGCTTTGAGCAAATTTTCTTAATCATATTCATAATATTATGACATGGTATGCATCTAGATGTGTCAAAGTAAATATTCTCCTCTAACTTTAATATCAAAACAGCTCACCAGTGCATTTATTGTCACATTTCAAACACATGATCGCACTTTTTCTGAAAATTTTTGGACAACCAATGCTGCTGACGTCGGAAATGCTTTCCAAACATTGCACAAGTTTATCGTCCTCGTCGATTTCTGATAAAAGAAAGCCATCATAAGGATGTAAAAATTATAAAAGTTGATTTTTAAAGTTTCCTATTATAAATTATCAGTTAGATTACGAATTTGCAATATGCCATTGGAATATGCTCCACTAACCAATCCTGGAAATCAATCAGGCATATTTTGTTTGGTAAGTTTGGGTGTACGAGAGAGAGTTCTATAATTTTCTAGTTATACGAACAAACACTTACAAGACCTCAAAATGATGTATGGCGTCAGAATTAAAAGGCTTTTATGTATATAAAATTGCATATATATAATATATATAGTCATACGCTAGCATCACAAAAAATGGAAATTTTTAGAACCTGATTTATTTTTACTATTTAACTCCCATCATTATTTTTAAAGTTTAAATTCGAAATTTATTGCTCTACCAAAACAGAAAGTAAAACTTTATTTATTTTAGGTTTTTAATCTACCGTAAAGTTGAGAAAAAGTCTAAAACAGAAAAAAAGAAAGAAAAAACTTCTTGTACCACATCGTGATTTTGTAAGAGCCATGCATGATTGCATTCTCGGTTCTGAGGCTCCGTCCATGATCATACAACTTGGCGTCTTTGAACATTCAGCGAGACAAATCTTTTCTTTTTCTTCCACATCCTCAAATACATCTGTTATTATAAAAAAAATTATACAAAACGAAAGCTTTTAGTTCATTCATCAAATAAATTAAATCGTATATATTTCTAATAAAGATGGTAGTAGATGAGTCGTTGGAAACATTTGAATCATGACTTTCACATTTTCATGTTACAATTTTCTAAATCGCCATAGAAAATAACTGAGGTGAAATATAAAAAAAAGCCTTCGACGCATAAGAACTTAATGTGAAATTATAAAAGATAGATATTTTTGTACCATTCGTCATTTGTCGCCTCCATAGTAACCACTTGCAAAGTGCACGAGGAACCCTCATACTGTTTATTATTTTGCAATTAATATTTGTGCTACATGTCGGATTTTAAATGTACTATCTTATATCTCTATAAAGTGTGATTAATGTTTGTTTCTGCACGAAATGCATCCAATGCAAAGTGCTTATGATATATATATAAGAAAAATTCATTTATAAAAAAATCTAACACTAAATTAAATTTGTCGTTACTGGTATTTAATTAGACAAGTAAGTGATTGACAATCTAGTATTTACAATCGCGATAAATTTAGATTGACTAGAAAGTAAAAACGATAATATAATGAAAATGTCTCATTCGTTTCGAGTTTATATAAGATTTCGGCCGCAGGCGAGATTTTAAAAAAAGCTCAACGTTTACAGATTGATGAAAACGATCAAATAAAATCTTGCACGATCGAGCACGCGGGAATAATAATTTAAAATAACACATTTGATAGCATTAAAATTCTGTGATGTCATACCTTCGTCATCTGTGATGCAATTATCTTCACATTTCATGCAAGTGAGAGCATCTTTTCTGAAAGTCTGGGGACACTTTGAATCGACCTTACTTTGGGTTAGTTCCAAGCAATCGACTAATTTCAGTTGGTCTCCTGTGAAATATCGTTATAGTGAACGATGGATCGAAAGCAAAAATATATATTTTAATAAAATCAATCATTCATATTACTGTTTAAATATACTAGAACACTGTATTAAACTTCTTGTTACTGGTACCATACCTAATCAGATCTTAGTATTAAAAGAAGAAAACTGAGAACAATTGACAAACAGGGTCACGAAAAGTAGTAACTTTATACGTGATATTGAAATATTCTTCATACAATTAATATACTGAATTCTTATTCTGCCAGTTGCTTACCACATGCATCAGAAGAAAATGTTTTGCATTTATCCATATGATCCTTGTTTGCTTTGTACAATGTGATACATTCTTTTGTAGCATTACACTTATTAAGGCATTGTTTTTGTTTTCTAGAAAGTTCTCGATCGCCTATATCAGGGCCTGAGTAACCACCACCATAATCTACAAAAGAATAATTTGAATAAAAACAACAGATGTTCATGTTCCACAAACAGAAATCAAAACAGATATTATAAAATATCGAAAAAATTTTATGCTAACGAATTAAGTCTTTTGGAATATTTTCAATGTTTTTCTTAAAATGTTATTGAGAATATAGTGGGACATATGAGACATCAAAATAATGAGACATACTACTTACTGTAATTATATAAATGTAAGCTAAAACTTAAATATTGTTTTTTTTTTTGAGGACGAAGAATCCAGTTGAACAGAAAGCGTGAATGTTTGATTAAATGAATAATTAAAAAAAAAGAACTCGCAATATTCTTCATCTTCGCAATCTGTTTCACACTTCAAACACGGTACTGCATTCCTCAAAATACCGCTTGGACATCTCGGCTGTTTTCTTCTTGCCAAATAATCCAGACACTGCTTAGGATTATCGGAGTCGACTGCAAACACCAAGAAACAAATGGTTTAGTTTTTCAATAATTTACTGCGCAAAAACCCTCTAACAATCTTATTTATTGGTGAAAGAGTTTTCGTTTGAGTCATTGTTAGATTGTATCCCATATCACCCTGTGGAATACCATGAAAAATTCTTACTTTAAAGTATTTAATTTAAAATTTCATCACAAATACACTTACAGCATTTGTCTTCAAGAAAATCTAAACATCTTTTTGCTTTATTTCTTGGATATCTATCCAAAGCTCTGCATTCTCTTGTGTTATCACATTTATCGTAGCATTCGTCATTTCCGTAATAATCTTTGTAATATTCATCATCGTCAAAACCAATACCTGGACAAAATCACGACTTTATTATAATAAGATACGCCATAACATGTCAAGAATGCCTGTATGTTTAAGCTTGTTCACCTGCTTAGATATAAACTATTAAAGTTATGTGATCCTATTCACTCATTCATTAAGTTATTACTGCATTGCGCCTATTTGTTCTTATCCACCATGCAGAGAAACATGTAACAAAAGATTTTTTTAAATAAAAAATATATAATCGTCTTCATCAATCTATTGCATCTATCAGATTCATCTGCAATTAGTCGGTCTAATTTTTTTTTCATTTCATTATAAATTCGCCAACGATACAAACAGTTCGTCCAATAACAGAAAATGTGCTTACCGCAAGTGCTTACTCTAGCTAAGGCCAGTATGAAAAGACTTGTAAACAAGACGTTCATCGTAGATCTCTTCTTAGAGCAACTCTTTCTAACAATTGTGCGAATGAAACAAAACAAGACAAATCGCCTGCCCGATTTTGTTTATATTGCCTGAGGTGGTGAAGAAACTTGAATAATTTTCTTTTTGTTATCGAGTTTTATATTTGGATATTAGATAATATAACATAATATACGAATATGAGGTGTTGTTTGATATCAAAGCTACACTTTGTTGGCTGCTCTTTGATCACTTACATCGATATTAGCACGAGATTCCAAAACTTGGCTTATATTTTACAACAATGCAGATTTTTATATCAAGTAAAAAATGGCATTGTCAGCATAAATTAAAAATGCTGTAGAATCGCGGACAAATATTTACCTGATAAAATCTGCAAAGTTGGTGGTATTGTTTATACAAAATCTGTTAATGGGAGATGTTATTGCCTTAAATGTTATCTAATTAATGTGTGAAGAAGCGTTATCAACTCGTGGTCGTGGCATGGAGATGTAAACTAGATATGAAAAATTGAATGTAGAAATTCAGAAGCTGACATAACTAAATACGAACTCGCCAGCTGTATAAAACGATGACTCAGGCCATAGTGCACCCACCCTATTTCAATTATATACATTGTGACGTCATTTTTATATTCAGCAACGCAAACATAAATTATGTTTAAGCTTTATATTCATTTTCATCCAAGCATGAAATATTCTTTGAAGTGAGAAATCTTTCACCTTCTATTTATTTAGCGAAAAAGAGTACATAAATTTTTGTTTGTTTGGAAACACAAATACAAAATAGAAAATAAATACTTTATTTGATATGAGAATGTATATTGATTACAATAAATGAGATCAGCCCGATACCAACTGTCTCGGTGTAATATGCCCATATCTGACGTCAATCCCTCATTGAAACAGAACTGTATGCACATCATATTCGAAAATAAACAGACCTAATATACACATATTATTGCCTTCTACAGCCACCAGAATACTATATGTATTTTTTGTTTTCCAGTGACACACTCGTATATATATTGAAGGATAACAGTATCATGAAGCTATTTCATTGGAACTAGCGAATCATTTATGCATCAATTGTTCGTTGTTTTCGGTTTAAAGTTCCCCTCTCATTGTTTCAAATTACTTTCTATATTCAAATCACGTAGATATATTGAGTAATCTTGTGAAACATAAAAGACAGACTTATATTCGTCAGTTTCGGCATATTCCTAGCGATTGTGGAAGTAAAAAGGTGTCCAAAATAGTTTGTTTCGTCTATTTGAGGACGTACTGTTATTTTTAAGCGTATGTCGTGTACATGGAAGTACTATTCGATAGTCGCTGTTATGACTCGAGACGAGAGAGTTAATAAATATCTCAGAATAGATTAGTTTCACGTTTGGGAAAGTCCCTAAATTGTCAAACCGTTTGCGCTTGCGACAGGAATTTTACACGCTTAAGACCCCGGTTTTTTCCCCGGTCCAAAGGGTAACGATAATTTGAACCTATATTGTCCCGATCATTTCACATTCAAAGGCGATATTTTGCTTCTATTTGTAAGCAATACTTTGATTGTTTACTTTACACGTACACATGCCTTAATACAATCTACAAAGCGTGGACTGTCTCAGCCAAATGGAACGATACTAAAACGCATCCTCAGCAAAGATAAACTCGTTGACTCATTCAGTTATTATTAGCTCAAAAATATATTTAGAATATATTTAATATATACAGATTGAGCACGGTTATTAATACTCTTTACCGGAAATATTGTAAATTTAATTTAGACAAGATAGTTTGTCGTGTCTATTGTAGACAATCGTGCAATTACTAGAGATTTAAAATGGATTTTGATTTGCTCGTTTTTATTATCGCCCGACTAAATACATTCGTAGTCAGTATAGTTGTGTCATTATGATTCAGGTAGAGCAGAAAGTTGTATTGTCATGAAAAGCACAGCTGTTTATATGGAGCAATGAATTGTTGTTTTTGGTGGATTTTAAAAGTATGTAAAAAGATTAGATCAAAATTTGGCATTTTTGTGAACTTTTTCTTCATTTTTGGGTGAAATTTTTAGTGCAATAAGATTTATTTTTAACTGATAAAAAAAATTATCAATGATTATTAATTGAAATTAAAGATGATCTAAATGTATCAATTTTAAGGATAAAATGTAATGTGGTTTAATATAACAAAGCGACTTTTGCCAGTTTTGAACTTCATAGCTAAACTACAATCGGTTTCAAACTATTCTTAAATACCTCAAACCACTTATCCGTTTTAATGTTTGGCATGTCAGAGTTCATTCCTGTCGAGTAAATGATAATTTTATGATTGGGACCGTATGAACATATTTCTTCTGAAGAATAAAAACCGCCGTTTTTCTTGAAAAATTATGGTGTTTTCCCGATTTTTATATACTTAAAATGTTCTGGAATGTATTACGTAGTATGGAACTTCCAAACTTAACATCAAAAATTTTATTGTTTAACCCAAAAATTCGAATTATGTGGTTAACGGGTTTTCATTTTAAATTGAAAGCCTTGCAAATCAAAATAATTCCAGATATTTCTTTTCGGATCAAGAATAAATGTATCTTATATAGAAATGAGGACTACGCGCAAGTTTCTACGGAAACTACCGCAATACAGAATAATAATGAATGGGACGAAAAAAAGAATATGCAAATAAAAACACGTAACATTGGTTTTGGTTATTTTGTAAGCTAAAATTGCCGGGATTCTTGTTTCGTGAACAATGCTGACTTAAACTACGAATACTAGAAAAGATTTCGATTTCATAGATACAGACTTATGTCTACAATAGCGCTTAAAGGAGATCGTTGGGATGGCGTTATATCGTGCCTAGGCCTGACAAAGAAATAAGCTTGATGACGAAATATCGTGTAAGTTGACTGTATCTCTGAGTACGATAGCGCCACCCACTGCAAGGATTGTGAAATAGGGTCGGGAGACAGGTATCGACTGAGAAAAAGGTATCACCAGTTCGTATTGAAGATCGGCAATATTAGCAAGAAACAACATCTTGTACCGTCATAAAAATTTTATTCATTCAGAAGATTGGTGATAAATACCTTTGTGTCATTTTGTCGTTTTATAGGCAAATAATTTGAAGGCTTAATTTGGATAATTATAGGCATAATAATTTTTAAAAAGGAGTATTGCATAATGGATTGTTTAGTCAGAAAGATAAGGTGAATGTTATGATATTGTGTATTGGATGTAATATTATAATTGATATATATATATATGATGGAATATGTTTTCTATGAATCATGATTATGTAATATGACATCTTCTTCAATTATATTTCAAATAAATACTGGTTTAACATATCGCGAAAGGGGTGAATTTGTTCCAATTAATCGCCAAGTTTGCAAGATTTATCTGGGCTTAGATAGAACTTTTTTATACAATTCAAAATTTCATTAATGGGGTATTAAAGTTGGTCAAACTTGATAACACTGTACTTTATACTATTGAAACAATTCATCTAAATCATTTTGGTATATTGGGTATTTGGGATTGCTTCTTTGATAATTTTCATAATATTAGGTGCTTAATAATGTTCACAATTTCAGTGTATTTCAATTCAGATGTTTTTGACTGGCATTTTAATTTTTTTGCCGGTAGTCAAAGTGCAATAATACTAATTTTTATTTTTATTTAGCATGAAAAAATAATTTAGAGATAATATTAATTCATAAAAGGCTAATCTTGCTCAGAATAAAATGAATGCAACAACTATTTGCCTTATCTTTTGCATCAAGTTTTTAACAATATTGGCAAGTGAAGTAAACGATGAAAATTGTGATAATGTGGAATCAAAATGTACAAAGTAAGAATTGCCTTTTATATTCAAACGCAACCTCGATGGGTATTTAAAAATCTTCCTAATTGGGCACGATGTGAATGAACCTATGCATCGATTTGTTATCATGTTGTTGTTGAGAGAAATCGCTTTTCTCTTCAACTACTGGACCAATTATTTTTTCCAGCGGTTGAAGCTTGTTGTTGTCGCTAGAAGGCTATTACTTTCCATTTATTTCAAACATAACTGTGGGCTCTATGGGATTCACTTTTCCCTTCGAAGTTTTTTGTGACAACGTCATCAAAATTGCAAATTATGTTCTATAGTTCCGTGATCACATCTCAGACTAACGGTAGGCCTACTGTAAAAGATTTGATAGCCTATCACTTCGTTTTGGTTTTTGTGTCCATATTTCCGAGTATTGCTCTTTTGTTTTATTTGCGTTGCTGCTTTTTCATTCCTCTTGATTTATCAGTTTTATTCAATGGATAAATTAGTTGAAAATAACATTTGAAGACAATTATATACGATATTCCAAGTTGATTAAAAACCATTTTTTGAATGAAGGAAACTGGTGTTATATCATAAATAAATGTTGCTGAGTTTAGGACAAAATGAAAAAAAAGAAACAGTCGTAGTAAAGATGTTTGCGAGTAATTTTGTGTTTAAACACGACTTCCATGTTAATGCAGTAATTTGGGCCATATAATTTTTGAATTTAATTTTGTTTTTTTAACTTATTTTAATTAAGAATTTAAAAAGATAGTAATTTCCTAATTACCCAACGAAGAAAATAATAAATCGAATTTTATCGTTAAAATTTTTCAGTCGAGATCCACGCATATCGATCTATCAACAATGCATGATATACAAGGAAGAATGGTCGTTGTATTGCAATTATTCTCAATTTGAAAGAATCCCCGATCCCGATGGCATAGTAAATTATATGTCTTGCAGTAACGTAACTTCACTCTTCGTTGACGACAGTTGCGTGAAAAATATTAAAAGAGGTAAACATGAAATAAACATTCAAGTTTTTTGTATTTTTGTGGAAAATCTTCTCTTAAATTGAAATATTAGAATGATAAATCATAATACAAAACTCGATTGTTTGTGGTAAATTATACAGCATTTTTTGCTTGATTCGCCAAACGAGTAAAATCTCTACATTTTTTCATAATTCTCAAACGGGATGATTTTTGAGAAACTTGGTTGGTCGTTTATACTTTATACGTATTGGTTTGTTTTGGTGTACGCGAATTTTGGCTAAGTTGACATGTATATATATATATAATCTACAAGAATACATCATACTACATCTTCATTTCTCTGTTTTATCCGCATGTAGCATGGCTCCAAACATCGAGAGCCTTCAATACTCATAGCTTCTTTTCAAACTGAGCATATACGATATATTTTAAATCAGTGATAATCAAGCGTTCAATTTAAATGGCAAGATTTTTTATGTTCATTTTTTTATTTTAACTCATTGCTTTCTTCACTCTTTTTGCAGATGATATGAAAAAGTATTTCAACATTGAAGTTTTCCTTTCCGGTAGAAATTATATAAAACAACTACCTGGAAAACTATTTTCACGAAACAAAAAGTTGAAAAAAGTTGATTTTTGTGGAAATCAAATCAGTGAAATCGACCCTACAGCTTTTTCTGGTGAGTGACAAAATTCATTATTAATATTTAATTTTACTTACCATTTCATGAATAGAAATCTACAAATCTTCTATAAATGAATTTAAACTTATCCCAACACCTTTGTCTTTAGCTTATATACAGATTTAAACAAAAACGACATATCCGCTTACGCATTATAAACGTCTTTTCTGACGACAAAATTACTTTCGCGTGCAGTCATTGATTGCGATTTTTTAAAGAAAAATATAAATGATATCTTTCTGTCATAGCAATACAAATAGTCCAATTAAATTCTATATTTCAGGTTTACATAGTCTTGAAACGCTGAATCTTGCTAGCAACAAATTAACACATATTCCGGATTCTGTGTTTTATGACTTGGATTTTCTGATTGAACTTTCATTTCATAGAAACAAGATCTCTGTTCTACATTCCGAAATTTTTCGAGGATTGAAACATTTAAAAATTTTAAAATTAACAGGTAAATAGTAAATCAATTTATGTAATTTGTTATATGGTATGTTCTACCCGTGGTATGTTCTTTTGTGGCTCCCTAGCGCTGGCTGAGACAATTGTTACAACTCCATTTTCAAAGAAAAATTAATATGGAGAATAATTTTATCAATTGGTAAAACTGTATCAATGGATTATCATAAATATCTGTAATAAATTTTGAATCATTTGATTTTTTTTATCGAGTCAAACCACTGAATTCTAGGTAAACAATGAAACTTTATTGCAGTGACGTGCAGATATTATTTCGCAAATATTTTTATTATATTGAATTTCGTCTCAAACGATTATTGACTTCAAACACATTTGTTACTGTAAATTCAATTAGTGAGATAGTTGAAGCAACAATTGTTAAACTATATATCTTTATGATAACTTTTATAAAACGTTAGGCTGTGATGTTAGAAGGCAAATAATTTTTGGACAGATCGTACATTTGTGGAAACAAAGGCGTTTATTGTCAAATCGATTTTTTATCAATGACCATACTTATTTTCGTGTAAACAATTGTTAAAATTTAATTATTATTCCAGCAAATAGAATCGGTTTTATTGATCAGCGAGCATTTGACGGACTCTGGAGTTTAACTCATTTACATCTTGATGAAAATAGATTGACTTATGTTGATGCGAAAGTATTTATGAAACTGAAAAATCTGCAAGTTTTAACTATGTCTTACAACAAAATAATGAACTGGAATGAGGGGAATGGGGTAAGACTCAATTATAAACTCAGAAATGCCATAGATAGTACGACCTTGGCCTGAACGCATAACGATTGAGGTTTGCTGTAATGAACTTTTTATCAAAACTGAATTATGTCCTATTATCGTACTTATTAGATCGAGATACATACACTGACTTATATGACTTAAATATTTCATTATCATAGAATGCGAAGCCAGATTTCAAAATTACACCTAAATTTAGTTTCATATTTGCGAATTTTGATACTGTTTTATTATTATTTTGAAATCTCAATACAATGGTCAATTTGAAAAGTATTGTTCTCATGTCGATACTTTTTGTTTTAGAAATATTTGATGAATCTTTATACTCTTGATCTTGCATTCAACTGGATTTCAAATTTTCAAGCAAGTCATTTGACAAATATGACAAAATTACAGTAAGATAGTGTTATAAAATAGTGTCATAATATAAGCCGTTTTAAACTAAACTACAAAACGTTTGGTGATAGCAAGTTACAGTTATAGGGGCGTTGCTGCAATGCTTCCTCTGTTTGGCGAAAATACACATGTTTCTTGTCAGCTCCGGAAACTACGAATAAATAAGAACGCGCCCAAAAAATAATTAACTGAATCAAAATACAATTCATCAATCCTCATCTAGTCGATTCGACCAAACAGTATGGACGGAACTTAATTCCATACATTGGATACAAAAGGCATGTTGTTTTCAAAGTAGTGAAATATATATTCACTCAGTCATATTTATCTCATGTTAAGTTTTGTCACTAGAACTTTACTCAACGAAGTAATGAAACTAATTATGTGTTTTTTTTTTTTTTTTTTCAGAAATCTTTCACTGGAAAACAATTCTTTGCTTTCTTTATCTGATGATGTGTTTTTGGGATCACCTGATATTAGATATCTTAATTTTGCTGACAATTATCTGACAACCATAGAAAAACATACTTTTTCCTATTTGTGGTAAGTTTTATTGCCATGTTTTCTAAAATATTAATTTTCAAGTATATAATGTCGTCACGATTATAACGCATTTGGCTTGATTTCACATGACGCGTGTAACAGTTTTGGAGCACATAGATTGAAATATCATTTGCTACAAATTTATTACCTCATTTTCATTAGGTATTCTTTATCAATACTTTATTTATTTATCAATAAAACCCGGGTAGAAACAACACATAAACATGTTGTGTGTTCCTACGCATTCTTGAGTGAGCAATTGTATTGCTGTAACAGTTTACATTGGTGTTATTTTAAATAATCATTAATTGATACATTGTGTTTATGCCTTTTCTAATTTTTCAGCCACTTGGAAACTTTAGTACTGCGCAATAACAGATTGAAAACGCCAGAAGTTGGATGGTTCACAACCATTGTTAAAAATGACTTTGTTTTCGGGAATGATCTTAGTGGTAATCCCTGGGAGTGTGATTGTGATGTTGTTACATATGTGGTGAGTTTCACAAAGAATTCAACTTATCAGAAATTATTGTTAGAAGCAGCGCTGGTACAATTCCCCCCGGTACACGACGCTCTGGTAGGCCGCGAGTCAATTCGAGTCATTGGTCATTCGAATCTCGAGTCGGTTCCGAGATTGAAAACAAGTCATTCACTGAGTTAAGTCTCACTGATAGTTAGTTCATGACGAGTACGAGTCATATTATTCGGATGACTCGAATCACTTTGAATCAAGTCAGTGATTCAAGTCTCCCCAGCATTGCTTATAGGAAAGTAATAAATTTAATTCAGATTCATATTATGTATATATGTAATCTAATTTTAAACTAATGATGGATTTCTATTTTAGAATTCTCTACAAAAACTTGAAAACGAAGGAAAAAAAAATCACAGTTTTCCATCGTGGTCGGAAAAATTGGGAATTACTTGTTCATCCCCTAAACAACTACAGAATCGCAAACTCAACAATTTTGTTGCGAAAGAAATCATTTCGGAAAAGGAATGTCAAGTTCAGAATATTCCAAATTTGCATCCATGTACAGCAACGCCAGTTCAGCAAGTATTCAAACGAATTGATGTCACATACCAATACACACCTACTCTCGAGTTAATAGATGCAAGGAAAAGGATCGATGCTTTGACACGATCCAATACATCCGATGAAAATTCAAACTCATTTATGACGTCAGAAGTGCCAAACAACTTAATTCTAAAAGAACAGATAATAACTTCCGCCATTTGGGTAGTAGTTGTGATTATGTTAATATTTATGATTTTATTACTTTGGAAAGGAGGATTTTTAAATTTAAAAGAACGTGGTGCCAAAAATTCAAAGTTTAACAGAGAAGAAGATAAACTGATTGCCTTGAAAATAATTTCGCCGTCTGGTACAAATAATGGGACTGGCAACTCTCGTTGGGCAGCTCAAAATCAGACTTTTGATATGGAAGATCGAAACTCGCATACAACGAATCCAATGGTAGGTAACGATGAAACTCTCGATTTAAGATTAGCAAATGGTAATTATAACAGCAACAATAATATATATTATCAAAGTATGTGTCCCGACACAGATGAAATTTAAATCTGTTGATATACAAATAACAAGATGAAATATTGGACAAGCCTCGCAATTTTTAAGAATTATAAAAAAATCAAATACTTTCGATTCTTATTAGAGATACATATGATAGTTTAGGTTCTAAACATTTTTATCTGATCCACGGCAAAAATTGCTTTCTTAACTCTTATTTCTTCTCCAAATCTTTGAATGGATTATGTCGAACGAAATCGATGATGAAATCGATTCTTATCTAAAATGAGGCATCGGTATTGAGATGCAAGCCCCAATTCACGCTGAAATGTATTTTATTGTTATTCTACTTCACTCTGTATGTACACTTTACATTTTAACATTTACGTTATGTGACAAAACGAACTGACTATATGATTTGGAAACGGCGAACAAATTTTTTTTTAAAGCTATAGTGTAAGACAAATTTAAATACAAATGCTTCGTTGTGATATGTTAGACTGCATTGATGTTAAAATGTAATCAAACACAGAGATGAATTTTCCGTATTTCTCTTAATGGTATCGTTACATTGCTGAAAAAAATTCGTTGGTGCGAATTACTAATGTAGATTATATTGTTTTCGTTTGAAACAATACTTTTTCAAAAACACTGTCGTCACTTGTTCATCAATTAAAGTTAATATTTTTCAAATATAATGATAAAAAAGAGAAAAGAATAAACGTGTTTTGTGATTCCTAATAGTTTATTAATATTTAATAGTTACATATAATATACTAAATCCGTAACATCCAAGGTGACTTTAGCATGTTTACTTCTATAATATAAATTAACGCCAACAAAAAACTTTTGCCATAAATTAACGTAAACTGTCTATTTTGTATCTTTTTTTATTTCTCGAATTCCTTCCTCCTTTCTATCTCTTCATTTTTCTCTCTTGAAGGCAATGCAACAAATGATCTGTATGCCAGTTTTATAATTATTAGCACTCAGCACTAAATATAAAGTGAAGTCAATACTTTTTACCATCAAAATATTCTAATCCTTCCATCAACTTCAAGTTATGCATAGTTATGCATAATCAATTTTCTTGATAATGATTATCGAAAACGAAAAGTACATAGGGATCATTTTGCTAAGGTTTTATTGTTGGAGTGTTTGTTGTACTGGAAGAATATTGAAGTCGTTGAAAGGCTATCACTTTTTTTTAGTTTTTTGTCAACTTCCTATGAGACCCGATATTCACTCAAAGTTTCACTGTTTTTATTCAATTCACGAAATCATCCTATTTCTTTCATCCCTATCCTCCGATCATTTCACCAAACTGCTTAGCTACCGTTACAAACTTTCGTGCCCTTATAATTAGCATTGCTCTCTTGTTGAAATTCATGATCGTTGAATAATATCATTTGGTATAATATCATTGATCACTCATGTCTTCCATTTTAACACAAATAGATCTTGAAAATATTCTTCCTATTTTTATGCCGGTTTGAGCTGTCCAATAGTTTTAAATAAATTTACTATATATACATTAGCTCTTGACATCTTGGTTTGACATAATTTGAAAAACATTGATTTAATTCAATAAATCAAGATAGCTACGATATTTTGTTTCAAAGCCATATAGTCATCGGTATTTTCGCTACTGTATCCTTGCATTATGAGCAAAAACAGAAACCAAATCATTTGAATTGCCTCACTGTAGTTCATCGACAATTTTATACATTTAATGTTATTATTCTTCCTATTTTGTTCGATTTTCTTTCGTAACATTGTATTGATCAGGTCAAAAATTCCAGCATTGCATCATATTATAGTTTTTTTTAAATGATGATAATATTCTTCACATTTCTGTTAATTACAATGAAACGATCATCGTTTTGTTCAATGCACGATGTTATAATTATTGATGTATATATATAAATATTCCTGACTTTTATTATTTTTTCGTTCATTACTGTATCCGTCATTTATTGTACTAAATAAAATATATTTATTCGAAGCCGATATTCTCATGTTAGAAAACGACAGATAGTCGTAATCGCAAACTTCTATTCAAAGTGAGAGAGAGAGAGAGAGATTTATTATTTCGTCAACCATAACAATCGAGTATTGCGACAGTAATAAAAATAAACAACAACATACACAAGTTTTTCGGTATTATCGGGCGATACGACTATACGATCATAAGAGTCAGCTCCCCTCATATTCACTGTATATAAGTAAGACTCACGGATTTTTGAGAAAATGGTGTAAAAACGGTCTAACTGTAGAGAGTTAACTAGTTTTCTACTGAATATTTCCAGGTTCGACTATATAATTGAGCCTTTAAACACTGTTGGATTTTAGTTTTTGCCCAATATCTTCTCTTCAATTGAAGCTCAATGCCATTAATATCTGCGTAAATCCAGTCAAAATTATAAGGTCTTGAATGAACTAGAAATATATACATGATTTAAGCTATTATTTTTATCACAATGTCCTTTTTACATATATATTATGTTGTTGACTTTTACACATTGAAACGCTTTGCCCCTTGTGACTGTATGTTTAGTGAAATAATATTTACAAATCACATTGAAACATGCCTGCAATCAAAATTTGAATAAAGCTGAACAGACTTTATTTCGTTTTGACAGGAACCCTTCCTTCCTCGTGACTGTGAACAACTGTGTGTTTAGTAAACTAATGATTATGAAACAAGTTGAAACATGCTCGCAATTAAAATTCGAATGAAGGTGAACAGACCTTATTCCGTTTTGACTGGAATGTATTAAAATTGGTGTTAAATACGCTAGATAATTGTCATTGATATAAAATAACCAAATATATTCAGATTATTTTTATTTATTTATGCCTTTTTAAACATTACTTAACTATCTCCTTGATTTTAGAAAACTGTGTGATCGTTTTTTTACAATCAACTTGTAACAACTTTTCTACAATCAAAAATATTTGGACATAATGAAAAGTATATAATATAAATGGTCAGTGCACAAGGAAAATCAAATTTTGTTACATGGAACTTGGCAGGATTTGCCAAATGCACTATTCGATTTTACAACCACAGTTAGGTATCTGTTCCGTGTGGTCGTATAGTTTTGCGATCAGCAAAAATGAATCATTTGTGAGCAAAACTACAGCGGCCATTGAAATACAGAAAACTACTAAAATCATATTGAGTTTTTGTGGTGCGTTATCCTCCAGTGAATGGCAATTGATGGGAGACGTAAAGCAACTCGCGTCCAAATGACCTGGAATAGAGCTAACAGTCATGTTGAAGAGGTGTGCTATATTTGACCAATGGTTTTGAATACGAGCCTATAAAAAATTTGACACCGATATCATAATGCTTCAAGCTGGTAAAGCATATTATAGTCTTTGTTTTACCGAAACCACAAACGCGTATATTAAACAAACCATGTCGAAATAACGATTTCATAATAGTGCAATCACAATATAAGCTAATATGTAAATACACGAGCTCAAGTAACGTGCTGATACTACGGTTTCGGGAAGGCCACAACACAATCAAATATATATTCCCAATGGGCATTTACCTTCAACAGAGATCCCAAGCGACTAAAATACATTTAATCATATTTAACAGGACAGGAATCGATACCGAAATCCCACCGAACATAATTAAGAAAGTGTTCTCTCGAATCCTTCTCTATTTGCTTACTTTTAGTACATGGTGAACAAATAAAGCATTTGCCAAATTTCGTTATCAATTCCAAAACACCAGCTTTCGCCATCGCCTATTTAGGACTCTTCAAAAGGCAAAAGATATACCTAATTTTGTCTCATCAAGGGTCATATAGAAACCACTGATCTACATGAGACATGAGGATTATATTTATTTTTATCCGGTCACCATACATGTTTCATGTAGAGATGACGTTTTTTAGTATCAAGATGCTTAAACACGAATGAAAAGCAAAAGAAAAGATAATGAAACTACAGCGGATATGGGGACTCTGCTAATCTCTAAAATTCACAAAATTCCGAATTATCAAATAAATCAATTGCCATCGAACCCAATTGTTATCTTGTATTTTACTGGAATTAAAAGATTTCAATGGAATAAGTGATTTTTAGAACAGAAATCCAATGCCTACAAAATCTAAAACATGCCAAATGCCAAAATGATAAATGTAAAAGTCATTTTCACCAACACATGTCTAGATAATAAGATATTCTACCCTGCCACCACGTTAATTTTTTCCTATATTTTTAGTATGTTTATAATGGTACAATTGGGTTATTTAGTAAAAAATTGGTTCCTTCTAAATGCAATTTTCAGGCATCACGTTGCCGTCTTCTTTTCAATTTTCGCTTCTGTCGTTCTGTACAAAAATAATATAAAATACAATTTGTTATTCTCAAAAGGTAGGCAAGTTAGTCACTATTGTAATTTCTGTATGCGAGTTTTAATGTAATAGCAAACAAAACCATGTTCTTTATCGAGTGCGTGACAAGCATGTCAGAAGAAGTAGGCCTACTTATTGCCGTGCTGTACAATTAATTGACAAACAAGCAGACGAGAGGAACTTTAGCAGTATCATAAAATCCAATGCCCGTTGAATATAAAGTGTACATATTGATCGTTTTGCAAAATTGATGTTATTTAAAATATTGACTTCCTCTGATTAACCTTTCGGTTTTAAGTCTATCAAACGATGGAAGTAAACCCTGTAAGGTTTTTACTTTTAATTTTTTTTTTTCAATTTCCTTGGAATCCTAATAGGCTCAATATTTTACTCTCAGTTTGCTTTTTTGCTATATTGCGTCACAACGCGGCATCACTCAGATCAATCCGCCAAATTCGATACTTAGCTAAGGCTCTACCCACAATGGCGAATTTAAATTTGATTTTTGAGCATTGTTAATATTATAAAATGTATTGTAAATTATCGTCACTGAGGAGTACGTTTAGTATTTCATGCATTTTAAACATATACAATAGTAATATATACCTCGTAAAACACAATTCTCGAAGCAAACCCCACAATCTTCATTCACATCTTTTATATCATTTGGCACAACTGGACAGAATTCAATACATTGATTTTTCATTGTGTCAAATGGGCAGTCAGTATTGTACATTCGGAATAAATCTGTAAAAATATGAAATTTTTTTTTAATAATAAATTCACAAAATTGCCATACACATAGTCATGATAAACCTAAAACAATACTCAAAACGTTCAGTTGATACGTAAATGAATAACGAGTTATATCCTGAATACGATTTTTTAATCTGATCGAAATGAACTGTTTTCCAAGTTGCCAACGTAACAAAAAGGCAAGAATTCATTTCCCCAGAAATTTTAATACTCCCAATTCGTGTGTTCGATATCCAATATCGTGAGTGAACTTACTGCAGATCGTTCTAATACAAGATCGACATTTTCTTGGAACTTCATCCAAAATTTCTCTCCTGCTTGTTCTATTCATGCATCTATCCGCACATTCCATTTTACACACCCTTTTAGTCGATAAAAATTGTACTTGAAAATAGATAATATCGTTAATTTTACCGGTAAAGCGGTCAAAAAGGAATCAAGGTATTTGAAGGAAACGTATAGTAATGGAAATTTGCAAAATAATCATCAATTTAGGATACATATTTATAAATAAATGAGCGAAGGCAAACAAAGTTTGAATAAAACTAAATGAAAACCTATTTTCAAAAAGTCTTTATTTTTGAAGAATTGGAAATTATTATTACAATGAAAATTAAAATATGAATACAAGGTCCTAAGCAACGCTATTATTATTTAACAATTTTTATTTTCATGCCAAGTCTTGGCATAAGTTGAATTTAAAAATCAATTAATTTTAAAATCTCAATGAGGATAAAAATACTATTTTTCTACTTCAGCTCAATTTTACCTGGCTTCGTTGTCTGTGCCGGCATCGTAGGCGATGCTGTGCTAGCATGACCGTGAATAACCTGTGTCAGTTTTGCCAGATATTTGTCGGTGTCAGAATTAACAGTGATTGATCCATCTGAAATGTACCATGAAAGAATTATTAGATGAAGGATATAAAGTTTTATTGTGTAAACAAAAACAGCAGAATACATAAGAAAACGAATGAATAATGTATTGAATCGAATAGTGTATTCAAAGATTAAAGACGTGAATAATTCAATACAATTTAATATATTATATATTTCGTATTTATATTATTTTATTTAAATTATATTATCATTAATACACATTAATATATAAGACATAGAATTGTATACTTATTGCTGAATTCCCTTTTGTTTATATGAGAAAAATTATAAATTTGAAGGCCTATTCTGTTAACCTTACCTACATTTATTTTTACAGATTCTGTTAATTGTTCGAGAAGTTTTATTCCCTCTGGTGTTTTTAAATTTTTATTTTCTCCAACTGGAATTAAAATTATAAATAAATTTAAAATTATATCACCATTTTTTGGTATATATTCCCACGTGTCCCACTTGTCCCAGGTGTCCCACTTGTCCCACTTGTCCCACGTGTCCCACGTGCCCCACTTGTCCCACGTGTCTCACTTGTCCCACGTGTCCCACTTGTCCAACGTGTCCCACTTGTTCCACTTGTTCCACTTGTCCCACTTGTCCCACGTGTCCCACGTGCCCCACTTGTCCCACGTGTCTCACTTGTCCCACGTGTCCCACTTGTCCAACGTGTCCCACTTGTTCCACTTGTTCCACTTGTCCCACTTGTCCCACGTGTCCCACTTGTCCCATGTGTCCCACTTGTCCCCCGTGTCCCATGTGTACCACGTGTCCCACTTGTCCCACATGTCCCACTTGTCCCACTTGTCCCACTTGTCCCATGTGTCCCACTTGTACCACGTGTCCCATTTGTCTCATGTGCACCACGTGTCCCACTTGTCCCACTTGTCCCCCGTGCCCCATGTGTCCCACTTGTCCCATGTGTCTCACTTGTCTCACTTGTCCCACGTGTCGCACTTGTCCCACGTGTCCCACGTGTCCCACTCGTCCCACTTGTCCCACTTGTACCACGTGTCCCACTTGTTCCACGTGTACCACGTGTCCCACTTGTCCCACCTGTCCCACGTGTAACACAAGTGGGACACGTGGGACAAGTGGAACACGACATTTTTGAGACACCGCCCGTGACACCAGGTTGAGCAGCCCTCTGAACTAATTTTTTCCTGGGGTTTAGAAAGATAAATTGAACGAATTAACAACGTGTTGACCAGAATGTCTAAGTATATTAGAATGTAGTGTCAATTCCGAATATCTGTATTTAAAATATCAAGCAGTGATATCAAAAAAGTTGTTCGCCGACCTCAAAGTTATTGTTCCTAGTGAAACAATGCGGACTGGCAGTTCAATTCTTTTAATTGAAATCATTTTTATTGAAAATCTCTTTTTGTGTCAAAATTTCTTTAAGACGGAAAGAAATCAGCAATATTTGGGAAACTGTAAAAAAAGTGGTTTAAAAAACAATTATAGAATTATTTGAACATTAGTTAGATAAATCAATATAGATAATAATGATATCCGAATATGAATCGTATGCTTACGTTTCTCAGTACATTCCAATATACAAGATTTACAATTGTTAGAGTTTTTGTTCAAACACATTCTCTGGAATTTACACATTGCTTCACAAGCTTTCTTTGACTGGGTAACCAAGTCTCCCATTTCACCTTCTCCTAGAAAAACAGCCGTGATTGAGATTCATTAGTGAAATAAAAATTTTAAAATAAATTAAAAATAAAATAAAAAAATTAAAATGAAATAAACAGCAATGATTGAGATTCATTAGTAAAATAAAATTTTAAAATAATTTTTCCAATTACCTTCTCTAGGTTTACAATCTATTGAAGCCACTGTCATAAAATACTCGTCAATAGGCGTTGGAAAATGGACACACAAAAAAATACCACGCAACTGTCATATTCATAACTTAGAAACTTCTCAAAATTAAAACCTTGTTAAAGGCTGCAGTAGTTTTTGAATGAAGCATAAATTATTTTTACTCAGCTATTTCCTATCCATGGCTGACAGCCAAAATCCAATGATTCCAAATCATCAGTCAGTCATACGACATTTTATTTCTATGTTAAACGCTGAACATAAATGATGGATTATTTCATATCCACCTACTTGCCAATTAAAATAAATTCAATGTTATATTCCATGTATTTTCCCTAAAATTATTTAAATTTTACATAGTGCAATCTAAAGTTCTTTCTAAGGACAAACTATTATAAAAGGTTTTAGATTTTATTGAATATTTATATTTTCTTTATTACCTGTTTTTCCGGTAACATCGATTTCTCTCAGTTTTGTAAGCAAATCTTTCATTATGTTCGACATTTCAGGAGACATAAGTATAGACGTATCTATGTATAACGTATAGTCAAAATTAGTAAAATTGTGATCAATTTTTTGAAAGAATTTGAATGGGCTACTTACCACCATTTCCTATTACAAGTAAAAATCTTTCCAACTGCAATTTTGTTTCTTCGTCAAGATTTTGTAATACTTTACTCGAAACAGCTGTGAATTCGAAATTAAATTTTGGCAACATGACAATTATAAACATCATGATTATCAAGATTTATTTATCGGTACTTTCACAGATTAAAGCCCAAGTCCACGTTGATTTGAGTGTTGTGAATTCGGGTGGCAATACGAAATAAGAGTAAGTCCCACAAAAAGTAGCTCTTTTCGAATCATTGTAAAGATGTGAAAAGGTATCATAAAATATTAATATTTATAAACATCATGATGTATGAATTTGAAGTACGCTGGTTTTATTATTAGCGTCCTGATAACAAAGAAGAGCATTATTCATAACAAAACAATATTATATGTTGGCCATTGTTTATGTCACAGTACTCACGTTTAACGTTTGAAATGACCAGCAAAAGTTCTTCCAGTGGAAATTCTGAATCTCCATTCATGCCTTGAATATATTCATCACTCTTAACTAAAAATTGCATAAATGTTTTATTATTATTCACTTGTTAGTTATGAGAAATCATGTTTGAATCTAATATTGATAAATGCTGAAGCTCATCAAAACCTTGTACAAATTTAAACGTCTTACGTTGTTCAACACATTCCATTGTACAGATTTTGCAGCTTTGTGTATCAATACACATCCCCTGGAGCTTGCACATTGATTTGCACAGTTTTCTGAGTTGAAATTCAGCTTCATTTTCTCTATCAACATTTTCTTTTTGATCTGAATAAGAATGTAATTTTGTTAATATAGTTCGCGAAAGTCCGCTGGCATGACATGACTGGCATGGGATATTGTTAAAATGAAGTAGGCCTAGGACTTAACAGTAATAATTATTATGAAAAATGATTTCATCACATAGTCATTCATTATGGAAGCCTAATAACCTTTTTCTTCTACGATGTCCATTCCACGTATTTTCTGTAGCAAATCTTTCACTAATTTTGACATTTCGGGAGTTTCGAGAAGAGAATCATCTATTTATGAGAGGATAAAAGATTATTATATAGTTATGAACAGTCAACATGACGAGTTTGAAAAATCTATTCCTTCAACTCACCATCGCTATTTCTGATAACAAGAAGTAATCTTTCTAATTGTAGTTGTGTGTCTTCGTTAATATTTTCCAACATTTTGTTGGAAACCACTGTAAATATTTCATAAAGGAATTAAGGATTTGTCATTCCAATATATTTTTACTGTTATTGTTCACTGTTACAGTAATGGAATACTTTGCTAAAACCTGATGTAGTCTAATTGTTAAACTTGTGTGAACATCTGAATTATTACTTTGTTCGAAAATATATTTCAAAGATTATATTATTACATTGTTTGTTACATTCCGAAGTACATGTTCGACAACTGTCTTCTGCTTCTGCACATACTCCCTGAAACTTGCACATAGCTTTACAAAGCTCTTCTGATTGTGAACGGGATTCTTTATTTTCATCATCTTCTGTACAAATAAAAAAAAATGTACAATATGGTCTGGCAAAACTCAATTTTTATTACTGAAATACAGTCTCGTTTACCTGTAACAATGGATACCAGAGTTGAATTTTCAAGTTTTCGAATGACAGACATCATATATTGTATTGTTTCCTGATCATTCAAGAAAATATCATCTGAATACGCAGTACTTCGTTAATAAATTTCAATAAAAATAAATATCTCTGTTACATCAAACTTTGATTCATAATTCTAAGTTCAACTGGTTATTATTAGAAATTAGGTATACCACAAGACAGCAAAAGAAAAAAATATTACAACAGCTTTTGTTCTGCCATAAACAAGTTCAATATAGTGTTGTGCCATCCCAAGATGAATATGTAAGACACTGTTACCTTCTAATGTGTATGCGAAAAGAAAAAAATACTGCAAATCGTCAATATCTCCAGAGCCCAGTAAATTCTTCAAATTGGAGTTATCTGAATATGAAATGGAAACAAGTAAGAATATATATTGCCAAAAACAATTATCATTTCCAATCTAATGGATACATTTTATAATATTTAAAATTTTGAAAAATAGCAAATACGACAATATGTATTGCCTACCAAGTAACTTTATATTGACGAGAATTCTGAGGAAACTTACTTTCTAAATTCAGCAAAAATATCGACATAAGTTTCCGATATTGATCAAAAGTTTTGTCGTCCAATAAAATCATCCCGTTCGTTATATTCACTGTTATAATATGACAAAAAAAAACAATCAAATAACGAACATAACAACATCAGATATGTGTGATAGATGGCGGACATCGGAACGTAGTATGTGTAATAGGTTAAGGTTAGGCAAAAATGTCAGGTACAAATTCTACGGGAGTCAGTTGGTTAGTCCCCGAACTCGTAATAGAACTACAATAAGGAATATTGGAAAAAAAATTATGACTTAACCCTAACCTGGTACACATACTATGTTCAGATGCTATGTGACCGCCATCTTATTGCACATACTACGGGAGCGCCTATTTAACATATGAAAGTATAGAACATTTTTGAATCCGAAATTTAAGACGAACCTGAATTCAAACATTTGTCAAAACATGTTTTGCATTCAGGAGAATTCCCCAAATTGCATTTGCCTTGCACCTTGCATACTTCGTCGCATAACATGTATTCCAACTCTGTCGGCTGTCTTGTTGCTTCTGCATGAAAAATTGGATGATTACGGTGACAAACTAAATGTACATGTAGAAATAAAATGATTTAGATTTTTGTTTTAGTATTTACAGTGGCATAGCGATATTGTTATGTTGTTAATTGGTTATCTGGTGTTAATTGGTTTATTAGACAATATATAAATGTTTTTTTTTTGTCAAGTAAATTTTTTGATAAATAATTAAAATCAAATTTTTACCAGCTGCCTACCTTGTGGATTTTTATTCTTTGATTTATTTGTTTTTGTTAGGTTCTGTAGAAAATCTTTTAAAATTACGGGCATTTCTTCTGTCATCAAGATCGACCCAACTTCAATTACAAAATTGAAGAATATTAATTTGTGCAACAAAAAATGCAATGTAAAACAAAATATCCAAAAACTCAGATGTGGAAACAAAAGATGCTCAAACGTTAGCACTAAACTTCATTTGTAATAATACACGCTTGACATTAAATCATATAATATAACAGAAGCATAAGAACGTCAAAGGAAATGAGAAATCAAAATTCACAGACTAAAACATTACTAACCATCAGCATTAGATATAACAAGCAAAATTTTCTGCAGCGTATTTCGTGACTCTTCATCAAGAGAGTCTGTGCCAACGAATCTTGTAACTAGAAAAATAAATGTAAAATGCTTACAATGTGTACGTTGTTATTGCATTTTCTTCGAGCATAGAATTTTTTTTTTTTTTTTTTTCAGGAAATGACGCATAAAAAATAAACTTTGCGTTGTTCGTCAAGGGGGGTCAATATAGCAATCGCCCACAAAATATGTAGTATATATCTAATATAGTTTTTTTCATTAGTTTTTCTATATCATTTGGTACCACATGCTGTTAAGGTCTGAAGATCACAATGATCAAACGAGAAATATCAAAATATATAAACCCAATGATAGGTCCTTCGAAAGCTTTTTTATAAAAACCTATTTTTAATAATATAATTTCTTACATTCTGCAGAACATTCTGAGGTGCAGATTTTACAGTTGTCAAATTCTTCTTTACATTGCCCTTGAAGATTGCACATGGCTTTGCAGACATCGTCTATCTTCAAATCATATTCACCTGCATAATATGTCATTACTTCATTACGTTTTTTGTATGATTCATAAGTCACAAGGTTAAATGCATTGCTCTTATATTCATTATTATTATCTTGTGAATCAAGTCCACTATTATACAATAGAATATAAAACCTTAAATTTGGCCTGATGACTAGTTGACACGTGGAGGCATGTAAATATTTCAGATCCAAATTAATACTTCTGCATTTCCCTTTTGTTTTGGCACGTTGGAAGTTTTATCACATAAGCGTGATGCTTGATCTTTCACTCCTAGTAGTAAATCATTTAAGAGGGGAAGAATTACTATAAAAAATCAATTTCATCATCCGGTTATTCATTATTATTTAATTTAGCAAACCGCTTTAAATCAGCATAAGATGATGTATACTATTTTATTTATAAATACCAAATATTCTATTACCAGTGTTTAGACTTTAGATTATGAAAGGAGACCATATAATATTGATTACCAAGGCCCACATTTTTAGAAGATTACTTACCTTTTTCTTCTACGATCTCTATTTCACTTATTTTCTGTACAAAATCTTTTATTAATTTGGATATTTCTTGAGTTTCGAGCAGCGAGTAATCTATTAAAAGATGATAAAATAATATTATGTTTAGTTATGATAAGTAAATATGAGTTGGGAAAAAATCTATTTTTTGAAGTAATCTTTCTAATTGGAATTTTGTTTCATAGTCTATGTTTTTAAACTTTTTGTTGGAATCCACTGTACAGATTTGATAAAAGAATAAAGCATCTTTACATTCACAAATGTAACGTAGCCTAATTGTTAGAATTGTGTGAATATCTGAGTTATTACTTTGTTTAAAAATATATTTCAAAGATTATAGAATTACATTGGTCGATACATTCCGAAGTACAGGTACGACAACAGTTTTCTGCTTCGCATCTCTGAAAATTACACATTGCTTTACATTGCTTTTCAATGCGTTCATATTGTGAATGTGGTTCTTCATCTTCCGTTTTAGCGCTTTCCTCTTGATCTGTTCGAGAATAAAATTTTGGTTTTAGTTTTGGCGGACATCAACTTGTAATATAAGATATCCTTGATAAGACTTTACAAATATTTTCCAGATTTCATGTCTCTTTCTCTCTGTTTCTTAGCTCTTTTCTCGGATAAAATTAGAATTTTTCACTCAAGGTTGTTGATTATCAACATGTATGGTAAATAAATTTATACAATTTATACTGTCTACAAAGCCGTCTTGATTTTACCTATTTCATTATCTTCTTGCTGAACCATTGCTTTTACTAAGATTTTCAACAGATTTGTTGTTTCCTCACCTTGATCACCTGCAAAGATTTAAAAAGCTATATTTGCATTTTACTCAGCAACAACAATTTGTATCGAAGTTGAAAAATAACAGGAATGGTAACATGGTTTTCATATTACTCGTAAAAATTATTGAACAATTTTTGAATATACTAGATGAACTCGATGTTTGCAAATTTGAATAAATAAGTCTATAATTATCAGAAAGGGTTTGCAGGAAGTCTTTGTTAGTTTTTGCTTTCTTAAATTATCATAAATGAATTGTAAAAAAATTTCATTTTAATTTTGTATTTTTAAAATAAACACTTTTATTCATACGAATTCATTTATTTTAAAATTTGGGTGAGTTAACCTTCTACGTTGGCAAAAAAGGTATTGACCATTCTTGGAATATTTCCCGCCAAAAGATCGTATTGGATTCAATGACATGATGTTGAAAGAAAATCAAATTACCTCGAGTGCCTGCCAACTCGACCAAACGACGAATAGTTGAATACAGAGTAATCACCTCAGCTTCATTTTCCTTCAGTTCAATAGTGTCAACTAAGAAACGAAAATTTAAATAAAAATCAAAGATAAAACCTTTTGTTACAAAGTGACGTAAACGTATAGTAAACAAATGTTACATCAACGTTCTAATATGTCGCGGTTCCGGTTTGAGGTAGATCAAGACCTCGGGGTTTATATTCAATGAACTCATAAAATTATCTATGATTTTCAAGTGGAAAATCGCGATGCATAGAACTTACACATACTTTACGAACTAAAGAATTATTCAATATTAGCGTTTCATGCACCTCATTGCAACAATTAAAATATATTTAATATATTAATATATATAATAATATATACATAAATTAGTCATATATAGATTTATTTATGTTCTCACTAAACGTCCTACAATTTCTTTGACACGCTTGACATGGTTTCGCTTTTGGATTAGTGCATTGGCCTCGAACTGCACAAATTTTCTTGCAAATTCCGCGTATCTCTGCTTCCCCACTTACCTCAGCAGAATTGCCTAAAACACAAGTTTCAAAATAGTAAAAATAAATTTATTTTGCATTGCAATTTACGAAATATTATTAGAAGCTATATTAGGAGATAAAGACCAAAAACCAGGTCTGATTGTATCATGAACCATTTTATCTTATGGCGGTTTTAAGGTTTTAACATGTGTGTTACGTTCAAATTTTACAAGGTCTTTCTTTATCTTTAGCTGACAATTTCATTTTTTTTTTCAAGGAGAAAACGTTTGCTTCACAATTTTTTTTTCTGAGATATTCCACTCAGTAACATGGAATCATCGAATATACACTAACAGCCAATATTTGTAACAATTTTGCTTTGAAGTAAGAGGAAGTCGAAACCTTGAGATGAATAGGAAAATCCAACAGGTACTAGTCTATGCAATGCTTCCACTATGATATGTATTCACCATGCAGTGCCTGAAATGTATACTTTGTAGAAAGCCAAGGAAGAAATTAGAAAAGGTTTCTTTTTCCTGTATCAAAAACTTCTATACTTATTCGTTAAAAATTCACTCTTATGAAAACAATTGCTAATTTTTTTCTTACCTATTTCCCAATGAAGGGTGAAGGCAACCAGAAAAATCCCTAATATTATGTTCATTTTGCTGATTCCTGTAGGTATATCCAGTGACAGCGACTGTCGCTTGTTTTGAACAGCAAACTACAAGACAAAAATATTTTGCCGACGGCGTCTAACCTACTAAAACTTGTTCCAAGTGTAATGCCGATATAGAAATAGTTGGTAAATCAATTACCTCCTGTGGGAATGTCAAACAATAATTTTTTAGTATTTTATTTCGGAAATAGAATTGTTAAATAATGTTACAAAAATATCGAAATCAGTGAATAACAATCACATTTATACCATAGTGAATTTTTATTAATTATACTAAGCGGGTGTACAAGCATCTTTTGCCTAGTCATGCTTCTTGGGCTAATATTCGGATAAGAATTCTTAAACATTTTGATTTCGGATAAATTGATTTTCCGCATCTACACTTATTTACAATATTTTGCATGTTCTTAATGTAACATATTATGTCAAATCCATCTCACGTGCATTTACTCCAGTCAGAAATCAGATTCTAAATTTGAAAAGCAGCTGTACGAACCCTGACATTTGTATGATTCTGATTATTTGTGTTCGCCTCATGAGAAAACTGGTCATAAAACTGATGTGATTTCTATGGTCTTTTTAAATTAATTTTACATTCATTTAAAATGCATAGGGGATATCAACTTCGATAATACTCCACGCCGGAGGATAATACAACGATTTCTTTTTATGCCGCATTTCAATCTTGAGGGTCATTGAAATTATAAACCAAATCGAACTATTTTATTACCTTTCGTTAGCTTAGTGGTTTGTCATATTTACATTTTATTTATTTATTAGGTTAGACTATGCGACCGCAGTCAAAAATTTGCTATAACTATATTCTTCCAACTTTCCCTGTCCTCCATTACACTGGCAAGGAACTCCCTTGTTATTCCCGTGTCCCTGTCTCTGTTCAAGTTGATCGATATATGTACGTTGCTGTCTACCCACGCTTATTTTCCCATGTTTTGGTTCCCATAGGATCAGTTCATGTACGATTTCTTTCTTGTTTCTATAGCAGTGTCTGCTGAGTGTGATGCTTGGTAATTTACCGTATAGTGTTTTGTTTGAGATCTTGTACTGCCATGTTACTCTTTTAACTACTCTGATATGAATTGAGCTGTAGTGTGCATGTATAGCATGTTAATAGCGGTGACTATTTTGGGAGGGATTCCGTACGCCGTCAGTATCTCCATTAGCTTTCCTCGATGTACAGAGTCAAAGGCCTTGCTTGTGAAGTGTAATGTAAGGTCATGTTGACTCAATCGTTGGCAGGATATCGCATGATCTGATTTATGTTTATCGTATGAGCAAAGTAATTAAATACACTTGGTACAATGTTTGGAAGGGGGGCTTCGAGACATTATGCGTTTATGAATATGGATAAAGGTCAAAGTTCAAGTAAAAGTGTTTCATGGGCTGACTTTAAACAGCCATGACAGTCCCTGTACCGTCACAGTACCCCGATACAGATACTGGTGAGTGACGGTACCGCACAGTATGTTTCCCATCCTTATATTTTAGAGGCGGTGTTTCCAAATTGGTAGATATTTTGTTATTAGTGATAAAACTATTTATGACTTACAAAAATGTGTTATGTATTTGACTGATCATCTTTACCGGCATATGAGCCATTTTCTGAATATCCAAATAAGTTTTTATTTAGGTTATGAATTAAAATAGGGTGTCACACCGGGAAATTGGGGGGCCTCCAGTGTATGGCGATTGATGTGAGACGTAAAGCAACTCGTGTCAAAATGACCAGGAATAAAGCTAACAGTCATGTTGAAGAGATGACCTTTACTTGAACAATGGTTTTGAATACGAGCCTAATAAAATTTGACACCGATATCAAAATGCTTCAAGCTGGTAAACCATATTATAGTCTTTGTTTTACCAAAACCACAAACGCGTATATTAAACAAACCATGACGATTTCATAATTGTGCAATCCCAATATAAGCTAATATGTAAATACACAAGCTCAAGAAACGTGCTGATACCACGGTTACGGAAAGGCCATAACACAATCAAATATATATTCTCATTGGGCATTTACCTTCAACAGAGATCCCAAGCGAATAAAATACATTTAATCATACTTAACAGGACAGGAATCAATACCGAAATCCCACCGAACGGAATTAAAAAAAGTGATCTCTCGAATCCTTCGCTATTTGTTTATCTTAGTAAATGATAAACAAATAGAGCATTTGCCAAATTTCGTAAGCAATTCCACAACACCAGCTTTCGCTACGAAATACAAAATGACTATTTAGAAAGCACCAAAAGACAAAAGATATGCCTAATTTTGTCTTATCAGAAGGGTCATATAGAAACCACTGATCTATAGGAGACATGAGGCTAAGAATTCCATTTATTTTTATCAGGTCACTATACATGTTTCATGTAGAGATAACATTTTTTAGTATCAAGATGCCTAAACACGAATTAAAGCAAAGAAATAGAAGGGAACCAGAGCGGATATGGTGACTCTGCTGATCTCAAAAAATCACAAAATTCGGAATATTCAAATAAATCAATTGTCTTCTAAACCAGTTGTTATCTTGTATTTTACTGGAATTGAAAGATTTCAATGGAATAAGGGATTTTTAAAACAGAAATCCTTTATATACTCACAAAATCTAAAACATTTGAAATGATCTGCTAAGCCTTGCCTAGGTTATAATAATAATGAATCAAATACCCTCAGACATACTTTGTAAAAGTCATTTTCACCAACACATGTATATGTATGTCTATTCTACCCTGCCACCACGTTTATTTTTTTTTCACATTTTTAGTATGTTCATAATAGTACAATAGAGTTATTTGGTAGAAAAATGGTTCCTTCTAAATGCAATTTTCAGGCACCACGTTGCCGTCTTCTTACCAATTTTCGCTTCTGTCGTTCTGTACGAAAATAATATAAAATACAATTTGTTATTATCAAAATGTAGGCAAGTTAGTTACTATCGTAGTTTCTTTACGCGAGCTTTAACGTAATAGCAAACAAAACCGTGTTCTTTATCGAGTGTGTGACGAGCATGCCAGAAGAAGTAGGCCTACTTATTGCCGTGCTGTACAATTAATTGAAAAACAAGCAGACGAGAGGAACTTTAGCAGTAGCATAAAATCCAATGTCCGTTGAATACAAATTGTACATATTGATCGTTTTGCAAAATTGATGTTGTTTAAAATCTTTCGGTTTAAAGTCTACTAAACGATCGAAGTAAACCCTGTGAGGTTTTTACTTTAAATTTTTCTAATCCTAATAGGCTCAATATTTTACTCTGTTTGCTTTATTGTATTATTGCGTCACAACGCGGTATTACTCAGATCAATCCACCAAATACGATACTTAGCTAAGGCTCTACCCACAATGGTTAATTTAAATTTGATTTTTGAGCATTGTTAATATTATAAAATGTATTGTAAATTATCGTCGCTGGGGAGTATGTTTAGTATTGCATGCATTTTTAACATACACAATACTAATATTTACCTCGTAAAACACAATTCTCGAAGCAAACCCCACAATCTCCATTCAGCTCTTTTATATCATTTTGCACAAGTGGACAGGATTTAATACATTGATTTTCCATTGTGTCAAATGGGCAGTCAGTATTGTACATTCGGAATAAATCTGTACAAAATGAAATCTTTTTTAGTCATGATGACCCTAATACAATACTCAAAACGTTCAGTTGATACGTAAATAAATAACGAGTTATATCCTGAATACGATTTTTTAATCTGATCGAAATGTACTGTTTTCCAAGTTGCCAACGTAAAAAAAGGCAAGAATTCATTTCCCCAGAAATTTTAATACTCCCGATTCGTGTGTTCGATATCCAATATCGTGAGTGAACTTACTGCAGATCGTTCTTATACAAGATCGACATTTTCTTGGAACTTCATCCAAAATTTCTCTCCTGCTTGTTCTATTCATGCATCTATCCGCACATTTCATTTTACACACCATTTTAGTCGATAAATATTGTACTTGAAAAAGAATAATATCATTATTTTTACCGGTAAAGCGGTCAAAAAGGAATCAAGGTATTTGAAGGAAACATATAGTAATGGAAATTTGCAAAATAATCATCAATTTAGGATACATATTTATAAATAAATGAGCGAAAGCAAACAAAGTTTGACTAAAACTAAATGAAAACCTATTTTCAAAAAGTCTTTATTTTTGAAGAATTAGAAAATATTATTACAATGAAAATTAAATGGATACAAAATCCTAAGCAACGCTATTACTATTTTTATTCAAACGCTTACAAATTTTATTTTCATGCCAAGTCTTGGCATAAGTTTATTTAAAAATCAATTACTTTTTAAAATTTAATGAGGATAAAAATACTCTTTTTCTACTTCAGTTCAATTTTACCTGGCTTCGTTGTCTGTGCCGTCATCGTAGGCGATGCTGTGCTAGCATGACCGTAAATAACCTGCGTCAGTTTTGCTAGATATTTGTCGGTGTCAGAATTAACAGTGATTGATCCATCTGAAATGTCCCATGAAAGAATTATTATATAAAGGATATAAAGTTTTATTGCGTAGACAAAAACAGCAGAATACATAAGAAACGAATGAATAATGTATTGAATCAAATAGTATATTCAAAGATTAAAGACGTGAATAAATCAATACAATTTAATATATTATATATATCGTATATATATTATTTTTTTTAAATTATATTAATATTAATATACATTAATATATAAGACATAGAATAGTATATATTTATTGCTGAATTCCCATTGGTTTATATGAGAAAAATTGTAAATTTGAAGGCCTATTCTGTTAACCTTACCTGCATTTATTTTTACAGATTCTGTTAATTGTTTGAGAAGTTTTATTCCCTCTGGTGTTTTTAAATTTTCATTTTCTCCAACTGGAATTAGAATTATAAATAAATTTTAATTTAATATTATGAGAAACGTAGTGTAAATAAAACTAATCAATTTTATAATACAACGTCTGTCACTTATGACTATTTAGCTGTATTAAACCGTATAGAAATAAACTATTTAATTTTTGAAAAATACACAAATGAAACCCCAAAAAATGTAGCTACTTACAATTTGAGACACAGTTTCTTCTGCAAACCTGACAGTTGTTTGAGGAAAGTTCATCAGGAGAGCAATTTTGACTCCAACATATAACTTTACAAAATATTTCTATATCATCGTAGTTTGTAGATGTTGAAGGTGATTCAGTTGAAGGCGCAACTATAAATAGAGAAAATAATGAATGAAAAGGATTCCTCCTAAAAGAACTTTTTTGTAAACATGCAAAATAGTAATTTGTAACAAAATATGAAAAGTTCATCATACCTGTAACAGTGGGAATCGCAGTTGCGTTTTGAAGTTTCACAATGACTGACATCAAGAATTCAAGCATTTCAGGATTATTCAAGGCAGTATCATCTGAATATATATTACAAAATTAAATAAAATCAAAGATAAAAAGTCTTGTTATATTGTGCATAATTACTCTTCAAGTTTTGTAAATGTAGTCATTTCATCCAATCTAACTTTTTATATATTAAATTAAATTATTATTTTAAAAATATTTATTTATAACATGATTTTTCAAATGTTAGAATTATACGGTATATATATTGGAAAGCTGCAATCCTGAGCTAAGCTACCTTCTGATGTTGATGCGACAAGAAACAATCGTTGAAGTCGTGTCACATCATCAGAATCAAGCAGGTCCAATAAATTCGTGTTAGCTGTAAGTGCAAAAGATGATTTACAAATTCCAAAACGTCGAGAAAACTGTTGACTACGATAAAAGTTCCTGTTTTTTTATATAATGTTCGTCAAATTTAATGTGTAATATTTCTGATAAATTTAGTGATTTTACTTGCGTATTCTTCAAAAATGTCTATTCCACTACTATAGGTTGTTTCAAAGTAGGTATATTTTACCAGCGGATTGTGTCGGTAGTTTTAGCCTAATCTCTCATCAAAAATTACTTTAAAAAATATAAGACACAAAAAACCGAATCACACCAAACAAATTTCATTGATGAAGATGACAACACGGAGAAAATTAAAAGGATCTATTAAAAACTAACTTTATGATTTAAAAACTTACTTTGTATATTCAATGAAATAAATGACATGAGTTTCCGGTATTGAGCAAAGGTATTGTCATCTAATTTAATCATTCCATTCGAGATAATTACTAAAACGAAATATAAAAAATATACCAACAAATACCAATTAATTCTTTTACGAAACAAAGCATAGCATATAAAAGATTTACAATATACATTATTTAGAGGAAATATAATTTTCTTGAGCAAGATGATCCAACATTTTCATATTACAGTAAATAATCGAAACGAACCTGAATTAGAGCATTCATCTACACAGGTTTTACATTCAGACGAATCCTTTAAATCGCATTTGTTTTGCATTTTGCAAACTTCATCACAGAGCAAGTTTGATAACTCAGTTGGTTTCCCTGGCACTTCTGTAAAAAAAAAATGCTGGAATATATACCAATAAATGATGGTATAATTTGTTTGTGAAATATTTATATGCACAGTAAAGCAAGTAAAATGGTACAAACACGGATAGTATTTATATATACCAGTACGGTTATGGAACTGTGACTTTTTGATACCGTGAAGTAAATTTCATGACCAACATAATTCTAATAGTTGCAATGTTTAATCTTTGAACATAGTTTATCTTTAAAGTTTTCAGCAAATTGAAAGTTATTCAATAGGTAGGTTTGCTCATTCAGTAGTTTGTCTGTTTTTCAGTAAATTTAGTCATATTTTAGTAAAATACCAAGAGAGCGATGCTCAAATATATGGGCACGAAAGCCTAAACGAAGTAGTACGGGAATGCAATCCGTCACAGTAGACCGGTACAGCAGCCTTCACGACATCGCCCGACTACCATATATCCACTTACGCAAAATATGAACCACCACAAGGTGTGCTTTTTTAATTTTTATGACGTCATCGCACATGAAAAACGAGTTCCGTAAAGACCACAGACTTCTAGCAAAAATACAATCTTCAACCACTGAAAATTTCAAAGCAATTGGTCTTGTAGTTGAAGAAAAAAGCAACCTTTTTCAAAAAAAAAGAATACCAACAAGACCAAGGTACATTCCGTGTTTAAAAATAAATTTTTGATAATACAACTCTTATCACCTTTTGTGCCCAACGATCCACCTTGTGTAAGTTTCGAAATCAAATCCTTCAACTGTTTTGAAATATCTGCTTTGTTCAACATAGAATCTGCACCATGTATATTGGGAAAAAAATACATTTAAATATTTAAAAATAACCTCATTTAGATTAATATTTCGGAAATAGTGTGAAACACCAAGAAGCCGAATGAAATATTTGTTTTTTTTGCCCATAAAACAAAAAACGAAATATCATTGAAAATATACTGGGTACTGCATTAAACATTAACTATGAATGAAATTGAACGCTTCAAAGTTAATTCACGTTGCTAGAAATATACTCACCATCAACATTTGATATTACTAGTAGAAGCCTGTTCATCATCACTTGTGATTCTTTGTCCAATTGATTCGTGCCTATGAGTTTTGCAACTGAAGGAAACAAAAATAAGTTTTGTTGAACATTTATTGAATGAGTTAATAAGAACGCATGCTGCCGAGTCTACATTGTATTCGGTTTTATTCTCTTAGTTTTTACTTCACTACAACGAATATTTTTCTGCGTTTTAAGGTATTTGATGCTGAATCGATTACGAATTGTTGAAAAGAAATTGTTTCTTACGTTCTGTAGAACACTCTGAAGAGCAGGTTCGGCAGTTATCAAATTCCTCTTTACATTGCGATTGAAACTTGCACATTGCCTTACAAATTTTCTCCAAATTCAAATCATTTCCATGCTCTGTTTTCAAACCGAAAAGGACAATTATGACATGATTTGGTTAAAATATAACAAATTTACCACATTATATATTATTTATATTATTGTGTTGAAAATTGAAGTTAGCCATTTACGGTATAGATATACAGATGAAAAATATCTTAAAACATATTGCATTTGAAAACAGCAATACAAAAGCTTGGTGTTGATATCTAACCTTCACTTATTTCAATCCCTCTCAGCTTGATTAATAAGTTGTTTATGAAGCTTGTCATTTCTTTTGATTCCAATATCGTTGTATCTGAAATGAAAAAACACAACAAAAATTAGAATTGTATCTTTGTCAGTGATGGAGAAATAAATTGAAATAAATATTACTTTTTTGCATATATTCACTAACCGTTTGTTGATGATAACACCAGTAGCAATCGTTCCAACATTATTTTCGTATCATCATCCAATTTGTTGATTTCTGCTTGTTTAGCAACTGTATTATTCAAAATAAAAACTATTTTTTTCAAGTTAGAGTTAGCTACAAATAATGAAAATTGTAATTGGAAGTTTATTGTAACATTTAATTAACGCGTACCAGATACCCGTGACACCAGGTTGTGCAGACCTCTGAACTTATTTCTTCCTTGGATTTGGGAAGATAAATTGAATGAATTAACAACGTTAATTGACCAGAATGTCTAAGTATATATATTAGAATGTAGTGTCATTTCCGAATATCTGTATTTAAAATACCAAGCAGTAATATCGAAAAAATTGTTCGCTGACTTCAAAGTTATTGTTCCTAGTGAAACAATGCGAACTGGCAGTTCAAATCTTTTAATTGAAACCATTTTTATAAAAAATCTCTCTTTTGTTTCACAATTTTTCTAAGACGGAAAGGAATCAGCAATATTTGGGAAACTGAAAAAAAGTGGTTTAAAAAACAATTATAGAATTATTTGAACATTAGTTAGATAGATCAATAATATAGATAATATTGCTATCCGAATATGAATAGTATGCTTACGTTTTTCAGTACATTCCAATATACAAGATTTACAATTGTTAGAGTTTTCGTTCAAACACATTCTCTGGAATTTACACATTGTTTCACAAGCTTTTTTTGACTGGGTAACTGAATCTCCCATTTCACCTTCTACTGTAAAAAACAGCAGTGACTGAGATTCATTAGTAAAATAAAAATTTTAAAATAATTTTTCCAATTATCTCCTCTTGGTTTTGTAATCTATTAAAGCCACTGTCAAAAAATACTCGTCAATAGGCGTTGGAAAATGGACACACAAAAAAATACCACGCAACTGTCATATTCATAACTTATAAACGTCTCAAAATTAAAACCTTGTTAAAGGCTGCAGTAGTTCTTGAATAAAGCATAAATTATTTTTACCCAGCTATTTCCTATCCATGTCTGACAGCCTAAATCGAATGATTCCAAATCATCAGTCATATAACATTTTATATTTCTATATTAAACGCTGAACATAAAGGATGGGTCATTTCATAACAACCTATTTGGTAATTAAAATAAATTCAATGTTATATTCCATATATTTCCCCACAATTATTAATATAAATTTTGCATAGTGCAATCTAAGGTTCTTACTAAAGATAAACAATTATAAAATGTTTTAGATTTTATTGAATATTTATATTTTCTTTATTACCTGTTTTTCCGTTAACATCGATTTCTCTCAGTTTTGTAAGCAAATCTTTCATTATGTTCGACATTTCAGAAGACATAAGTATGGACGAATCTGTGTATAACGTATAGTCAAAATTAGTAAAATTGTGATGAATTTTTCGAAAGAATTTGAATGGGTTACTTACCACCATTTCCTATTACAAGTAAAAATCTTTCCAACTGCAATTTTGTTTCTTCGTCAAGATTCTGTAATACTTTACTCGAAACAGCTGTGAATTCGAAATTAAATTTTAAATTAATTTTAAACCAAATAATGGCATCATGATAATCATAAACATCATGATTATCAAGATTTATTTATCGGTACTTCCACCGATTAAAGCCCAAGTCCACGTTGCTTAGAGTGTTGTGAATTGGGGTGGCAATACGGAATGGAAAAGATTCAAGTCTCACAAAAAGTAGCTCTTTACGAATCATCGTAAAGATGTGAGAACGCATCATAAAATATTAATATTATATGTGAAGTACGCTGGTTTTATTATTAGCGTCCTGATAACAAAGCAATGCATTATTCATAATAAAACAATATTATCTGTTGACTATTGTTTATGTAACAGTACTTACGCTTAACGTTTGAAATAACCAGCAAAAGTTCTTCCAGTGGAAATTCTGAATCTCGATTCATGCTTTGAATATATTCATCACTCTTAACTAAAAATTTTTTTAGTTATTAGAAATCATGTTTGAAGCTAATATTGATGAATGCTGTAGCTCATCAAAACCTTGTACAAATTTAAATGTCTTACGTTGTTTAACACATTCCTTTGTACAGATTTTGCAGTTTTGTGTATCGTCCTCAATACACATCCCCTGGAGGTTGCACATTGCTTTGCACAGTTTTTTGAATTGAAATTCAGCTTCATTTTCTTTATCAACATTTTCTTTTTGGTTTGAATAAATATATTATTTTGTTATTATAGTTCGCAAAAGTCCACTGACATGACATGACTTAAACAGGCATATTGAGTGAAATAAAGTAGGCCTAGTACTTAACATTAAAAATTTTTATGAAAAATAATTTCATCACATAGTCATTCATTATGGAAGGCTAATAACCTTTTTCTTCTACGATGTCCATTCCACGTATTTTCTGTAGCAAATCTTTCACTAATTTTGACATTTCGGGAGTTTCGAGCAGAGAGTCATCTATTAATGAGAGCATAAAATATTATTATATAGTTATGAACAGCCAACATGACGAGTTTGAAAAATATATTCCTTCAACTCACCATCGCTATTTCTGATAACAAGAAGTAATCTTTCCAATTGTAATTTTGTTTCTTCGTCTATATTTTCCAACATTTTGTTGGAAACCACTGTAAAGATTTCATAAAAGAATTAAGGATTTGTCATTCCTTTACTTAATTTTTTTTTACTGTTAATCTTTACTGTTACAGTATTGGAATACTTTGCTAAAACCTGATGTAGTCTAATTGTTAAACTTGTGTGAACATCTGAATTATTACTTTGTTCGAAAATATATTTCAAAGATTATAGTATTACATTGTTTGATACATTCCGAAGTACATGTTCGACAATTGTCTTCTGCTTCTGCACATACTCCCTGAAACTTGCACATTGTTTTACAAAGCTCTTCTGATTGTAAAAGGGATTCTTTATTTTCATCATCTTCTGTACAAATAAAAAATAATGTACAATATGGTCTGTCATAACTCATTTTTCATTACTGAAATACAGTCTCGTTTACCTGTAACAATGGATACCAGAGTTGAATTTTCAAGTTTTCGAATGACAGACATCATAAATTGTATTGTTTCCGGATCATTCAAGAAAATATCATCTAAATATAAAGTACTTTGTCAATAAATTTCAATAAAAAGTGAAAATAAAATTCTCTGTTACATCAAACTTCGATTCCTAATTCTAAGTTCAACTGGGTATTATTAGTAATTAGGAATACCACAAAACAGCAAGAGAGAATATAATAAAAAGCTTCTGTTCTGCCATAAACAAGTTGAATATAGTGCTGTGCCTTCCCAAGATAAATATGCAAAACACTGTTACCTTCTGATGTAGATGCGACAAGAAACAATCTCTGCAATTTTTCGATATCATCCGAGCCGAGTAAATTCATTAAATTGGAGTTGTCTGATTATGGAGGAGTAGAAAAACAAGTAAGAATATATATTGCCAAAAACAAGTATCATTTCCAATATAATCGAAACATTTTATATTATTCAAAGTTTTGAAAAATAGGAAATACGACAATATGTAAATGCCTACTAATTAACTTTATATCAATTAGAATTCCAAGAAAACTCACTTTGTAAATTCACCAAAACTATTGACATAAGTTTCCGATATTGATCAAAAGTATTTTGGTCCAATGCAATCATCCCGTTCGTTATATTTACTGTTATAAAAAGACGAAACGAACAAATAATGAACATAACAAAATTATAAAGATTTGTGTGATAAAGGAACATTGGCAAATTGTTTGAATTGAAAGACGCCATGAATCTCAAGTTTATTGAACGTGTGAAAGGTGGGATGACCCAATTTACCAAAAAATCAATATTACTATTGATAAAATTTAGAATTTGTGAACGTATATGTAGGAAATAAATGTAAGGGTGAGATAGACTCTTTACTGGTGATAAAAATTATTACTATAAATTATATTATGTTAAGATCTATTAAATAAAAAGAATTAACAAGTAAGAAATGAGCCGGGTCGTGTTTATCAAAAACCAATTTTGACACAAAATGTCAGTTGTATTTAAAATACAGTGAAATTAGGCCCTTATCTATAAAAATATCTATAAAAACCTGTTTTCAAGCATTTGTCAGAACATGATTTGCATTCAGGGGAATTCCCCGAATTGCATTTGCCCTGCATCTTGCACACTTCATCACATAACATGTATTCTACCTCTGTCGGTTGTCTTTTTGTTTCTGCATAAAAATAGAATGATTGCGGTGACAAACTAAATGTACATGTAGAAATAAATTGATTTGTATTTATTTTTAATCTATACAGTGCCATGGCAATAATGTTACATTCAACAATGTTGATTGGTTTATTGGGCAATAAACGGTAATATTTTATCAAGTAAATTATTTATTTGAGGAATAATTAGAATCAAAATTTTAACAGCTGCCAACCTTGTTGATTTTTGTTTGATTTGTTTGTTTTTGTTAGGTTCTGTAGTAATTCTTTTAAAATCATGGACATTTCTTCTGTCTTCATTATCGATCCAGCTTCAATTACAAGATGACAAAATATTTATTTGTGCAATGAAGGACATAGAATATCATTTTTAACTGAAATGTAATTCGAAACGAAATATTATATCTAAAAACTTGGATAAAGAATCGAAAATATGTCTAAACGTTAGCAATTAACTTCATTCGTGATACACGCTTGATATTGAATCAGATAATATAACAGAAGCATAACAACGTCAACGGAAATGAGGAATCGAAATTTCACAGACTAAAACTTCACTTACTATCAGCATTAGATATGACAAGTAAAAGTTTCTGCAGCATAACTTGTGACCTTTCATCCAAAGAGTCTGTGCCAACGAGCCTTGCAACTAAAAAAAGCAATGTAAAATGATCACATTGTGTACGTTGTTATTGCATTTTCTTCAAGCGTAACATTTTTTTTTCAAATTTTTATTTTAGGAAATTGACGCATATTAAATTAACTATGCGGTGTTTGTATATGGTGGCCAATACGGCTATCAAATACAAACTATGTTGCATATATCTAATATAGTTTTTCTATTTCATTTGGTACAACATGCTGTTAAGGTATGAAGATCCAAAAGATCAAACGAGAAATATAAAAATATATCAACCCTTCGAACGTTTTTTTATAAAAACCTATTTTTAATAATATAATTTCTTACATTCTGCAGAACATTCTGAAGTGCAGATTCTACAGTTGTCAAATCCTTCTTTACATTGCCCTTGAAACTGGCACATGGCTTTGCAGACATCGCCTATCTTCAAATCATATTCGCCTGCAGTTTAAAATAAAATGTGACATTTACTTTATTATGCGTTGTATGATGATCATAAGTCACAAGGATGAATGCATTGCTCTTATCTCTAATATTATCTTAGGATTCAAATTCATAATAGTTTATAGAGACATTAAATTAGGACCGATGATTAGGAGATGAGGAGGCATGTAAATATTTTAAAGAAAGATCCAAAGTAATACTTCTGCATTTCCCGTATACTTCTGAAATTTTTGAGATGAAAAACATTCTCAACAGCGACAGAATTATTATGAAAAATAACTTCATCACTTAGTCATCCATTTTCTTTTAAATTACCAAACCATTTTAAATCACCAAATGATGATGCACTCTATATCATTTATAAATATAAAATATTTTAATACTAGTTATTTTATTATGGAAGAAAATCATATCATATTAATTATCAGGGCCTACATTTTTATAAGCCTAATTACTTTTTTCTTCTACGATCTCTATTTCAATTATTTTCTGTAGCAAATCTTTCACTAATTTGGACATTTCTGAAGTTTCGAGCAGCGAGTCATCTATTAAAAGATGATATAATTATATTATATATAGTTATGATCAGTAAATATGTTGAGTTGAAAAAAATCTATTTCTGTAACTTACCATCGCTATTTCTGATAATGAGAAGTAACCTTTCTAATTGTAGTTTTGTTTCTTCGTCTAAATTTTCAAACAATTTGCTGGAATCAACTGTAAATATTTGGCAAGAATCAAGTAATTGCTATTCAAATATATATTAACAGTGATTGAATAACAAATTATGAATGCCATATTCATTCTTAAACAAACGTATTAATTGATATTCGAATTCTGTGACAACTCTGATTATAAATTTGTTCACAACGATATATCTAAGATTATTGTATTACATTGTTTGATACATTTCAAGGTACATGTATAACAAGTGCGGTGTTTCAAAAATGTAGTGTCTTAATTGTCCCACATTTGTCTTGCGTGTTTCGCTATTTCCACATTTGTTCAAATAATTCCACACGTGGGACAAGTGTGGAACATGTGATACAATTGGGACACGTGGGGCAGCTGTGGAACAAGTTATACTGGCGATACAAGTGGGAAGGGTTAGGTGATGCAGGTGTGGAGCAAGTGGGACAGGCTTGACAAGTGATACAACTAGGACACGTGACGCATTTTCGATAGAACTTGCATTTAGACCTAGTTTTATATTATGACAGGTAATGCCACAATTACTAAAATGTATATGGTAGAAAAACAATAAAGTCATATTGTTTATTTTTGTACAATATTCTGTTCAAGTACAAGCAAGCGATGGAATATATAATATCAAATATACTTAATCTAAGCTAGTTATATTTCCTGTGAATATAAATGCCAATGATATTATTTCGTACGTTTTGCAGAACATTCTGAGGTGCAGATTCTACAGTTGTCAAATTCTTCTTTACATTGTCCTTGAAATTTGCACATGGCTTTGCAGACTTTCTCTATCTTCAAATCATATTCCTGTTCTGATTTAGGGAAAAATATGATAGGTTGTTTTATAGGCGTTGTATGATTGACAAATACGGATGCATTGGTGTTATTTTTAAAACTATTCTAAAAAGCTTAAACCAGTTATGATTGTATATTAAACAAAGTAAATATTTGACCCAATAGCCAGCGCGTATGAAAAAAGGTACATTTGTTCAGATGAAGTGTGATGAATATATATATCTATTGGTGTGTCTGCATTGTACTCTTATTAATGCACATCGCTTTACATGAAAATGTAATAAATAGGCTTTTCTCATAGTTCAGTAAATTATCCACTAGCAGCAAAACTATTACGGAAATCATCATTGTCTGTTTACGCGTTTAAATATTTTGTAACCCATTTCAAATCTGCACGTGCTGATCTTTACAACAACGCAATGAGTATAGGCGATGGCTACTGTATGATTTACGGGTCTCAGAGAATTTTCGGTGCTCCCGAAGTATGCGAACCAAGATGGCGGACATCGGAACGTAACATGGGTAACAGGTTAGGGTTAGGCGATAATTTTTTTCCAATTTTCCTTATTTTAGTCCTATTATCAGTTCGAAGACTAGCCAAGAGGGCCTAACCCTAACCTAGTACACATATTACATTCCGATGTCCGCCATCTTGGTTCGCATACTTCGGGAGCCCCGAATTTTCTTGTTAGATATTAGATTATGAATAGAGATTGCTTTTATTTAAAGGCCTGCCCTTCACTCAGAATTACCTTCATTTACTGTGACATCAATTCCACGTATTTTTGATAGCAAATCCTTCACTATTTTTGACATTTCTGGAGATTCAATCAGCGAGTCATCTATTGAAAAGATTCATCAGTATAATTATGAACATGTATCATATTGCTTTAGAAAATTTGAATATTTAGCTTACCATCGCTATTTCTGATAACAAGAAGTAATCGTTCTAATTGTAATTTTGTTTCTTCGTTTATATTGTCAAATATTTTTTTGGAATCCACTGTAAAGATTTGATAAAAGAATTATTCATTTATAATTTTATTATATATTACTTGTTAATGGTTACCGTTATTAGAATAATTTACTAAACTTGATGTAATTGGTTAAATTAGTTTGAATCATTCCAGTTTAAATTTGTTCAACAAGATGTTTTTAATATTATCATATTACATTGTTTGATACATTCCGAAGTACATGTTCGACAATTGTCTTCTGCTTCTGCACATACTCCCTGAAACTTGCACATTGCTTTACAAAGCTCTTCTGGTTTTAGAAGCAAGTCCTTGTTTTCTTTTTCTCCGCCTTTCTCTTCGTCTGCATAAAAATATAATATAAGTCTTCAAAAAATAAAAATGTAACTTATCAGTAAATGGAACTACTTAATTTTAAAAATATCCCGTATTTATAACGATATTCAAAGAAAACTTGATAGCTAGATTATAAACTATCAACTAAATACAAAAAACCTTATGGCCATTACGTATGGTAAAATATATAAACATTTTTTGTGAGCAATATACATATCAATGCGTTTTCATCATTGTTTTGCCATTAATTCTCTAATTTAAATGCGATGAAATATGATTTTTTGAGCGGAAATTTATTATAAAAACTAATTTCCACTCCTAATCATTCATTATTCTTACTTTTCCCAACGATTTCAAATTATCATGTATTGATCGTTGCAAGGCGACGATGATATTGAGACGATGCATGATATATAAATATCAAATATTCCGTTATTTAGGTATTATTTCATTTATTGAAGATCATGTTATTAAGCTAAACAGACTTTAAAATTTGTGGTCATAATTACCTTCTTCTTCTGTGATATCGATTCCACGTATTTTTGATAGCAAATCTTTCACTATTTTTGACATTTCTGGAGATTCAATCAGCGAGTTATCTGTTTATAATACAATACATATATATAACCATAGTTATGAACATTGAAGATATTGCTATACAAATTCTATTAAGAAATTAAATATCTGGCTCACCATCGCTATTTCTGATAACAAGTAGCAATATTTCTAGTTGTAGTTTTGTTTCTCCGTCTATATTTTCAAACATTTTGTTGGAATCCACTGTACAGATTTGACAAAAGAATAAATTATTTTTCATATGTACCCTTCTTACATTACTTTGCCAAACTAATTGTTAAAATTGTTGAATCTGTGTGAATATCTGAATTATTACTTTGTTCAAAAATATATTTCAATAGCATTACGTTGTTTGATACATTCCGAAGTACATGTTCGACAATTATCTTCTGCTTCTTCGCACACTCCCTGAAACTTGCACATCGCTTTACAAAGTTTTTCAGGTTGTAAATGTGATCCTTTATCTTCGGGTTTAGCGCTTTCCTCTTGATATAAATGAGAATAAAATTTTAATTTTTGCGAACCTCATCTGATTTTACAGGACCTCCTTGATACGACTTTACATGCGTTTCCCAGCTTTAAACCATATAAATCTATTATTTTAAATAATATATATTGATATAAGATAGCTCGTGGTTTTTTAAAGTAAAAAATATTGAAAGCAATATTGAAGCAATGGTTTATTTGAAAATGTAAAAAAATATGGTAAATTTACTTCGATAGTCATTGTGTATAAAAGGCCTGTAAAATTTATTGAATGAAGTCATTATAAAGAAAAAAGTGCACTACGTACATTTCATAAAACCTTTTTTTCGAAAGCAAATTTTGATCAATTTACCCATTTCAGGTTTGTTTTGTCGGTGCTTTTAAAGTTTGTTAATCAGCAAAGGCAATGGCTATTTTAGTGTTAACAATAATGTCTGAACAAGAGGTTCCTAAAATGTTACTTTAGTGCCAGAAAGTATATAACGCCTGAATTTGCCTATAGAAGTCTGTTTTGAATCATCTGTTTCTTTGCTGCACGAGCGTTGAATCATAGAAACCGACGACACAAATTTGTATGAATGTTATGTTAGTTTTTAAATCTTTTAGTTATAGAAAAATTTAACTTTACTTTCAGGCTTCTTCGTGGCTTGAAATTTTGACATTTCTTCTCCTACTGCGCGAATTAATTCCGACATTGACTCTGTATTCCATGTCGGCTCATCTGTAAATTTGAAAATAAAAAAATAAAACGAAGCAATTAAGCATGAGCCATAGGTTTGACTAACGTTAAATCACATTACATTTACCCATAGTCTATGGAATAGCACAACTTTTTTATGGTATAGTGCCATCCCAAGATGTTGTATTGAGTGGCTATATGTACTGTGATACTCATGATAACACATGTTTGGAAAATTGTTATTTTATCTTCTTATGTTATCTGATCGCGCCTATTATTGAAAATTTTTTAATATTGTTTGCAGATAACTAGGGCGGACTGAGATATTCACATTTAATAGTGTTTAGAGATAAAAATGCTCTCAAGTAAAAAGCGATGCAAGCTAAATTTCATTCAAGGGTTAGCATTAACGAATTAAAAAAAGATTTGAGGCAATGTAGCCAAGAATATCGGATATTTAGAAAATATATTATTTAGAAAATATATATTTATTATTAATATATGCATTTACCCTTTTTGTTTTGATATGCTTTTTTGATTGCCTTCATTGTTTCTTCTTCAGCAACAATATTGTTTGAATTCAAGTCAACTAAAAAATATATGAAAGAGTTTTGAATGTCTAAAAAGTCTTGTATCCAACCGTCATAAATTTTATTGTTTAACCAATGCCAGGCTGTCTAAGATAAGCAATTTTCAGCGATTGTGCTATAAATGGCCATTCGATAATTCTCTCCACAAGTTTGTGAAAAGTTTTATTTTTTTGGGATTACTTTGGGTAAAACATCGCTCCCTGCATGTTGAGCAAGTATTCCTAGTAGCTCTTCTCGATTTACAATGCCCTTGAACGACGCAAACTTCTTTGCAGATCATTTTCATGTCTTTTTCTCTCTGTTTCTTAGCTCTTTTATCGGCTAAAATTAGAATTTATTATTTAAGATTGTTGATTATCAACATGAATGATTAATAAATTTATACAATCTATAATATCTACAAAGCCGTCTTGATTTTACCTATTTCATTATCTTCTTGCTGAATCATTGCTTTTACCAAGATTTTCAACAGATTCGTTGTTTCTTCACCTTGATCACCTGCAAAGATTCAACGAAATATATTTAAATTTGACTCAGCAACAACAATGTTGATCGAAGTTGAAAAAAAGGAATACCACGGTTTGCATTTGTGAATATAGTCAAGATAATCTCGATATTTGCAACTGTTAATTTGAATATAATATTCTGGTTTGTTTTCGCTGGATGTGGCTTCTTTGTTTACAAATGAGCAACATAGGTTTTGTGAAACAAATTTAGTTTTTTAAAATTATATCATAAATGAAATGTGAAAGTTCGTATTTCAAATTTTGTATTTTTAAAATAAACATTATTTCATTTCAAACTTTTGGACAGTCTTTCTACGTTGGCAAATAAGGCCATTCATTCATGGATTATTTCTCGCCAGAATGTCGTCTTGGAGTCAATGACATGATGTTGAAAGAAAATCAAATTACCTCGAGTGCCTGCCAACTCGACCAAACGACGAACAGTTGAAAGCAGAGCTTCCACCTCCGCTTCATTTTCCTTCAGTTCAATAGTGTTAACTAAGAAAAGAAAACTTAAATATAAACAATATTACATAAAGGAAAAAGAAGTAAATACCAAAAAGGCTGTAAAAATAAAACCTTTTGTTACAAAGTGACGTAAACGTGTATTAAACAAATGTTAGTGTCATTACATCAACGTTCTAATATGTCGCGGATCCGGTTTGAGGTAGATCAAGATCTCGGGGTTTATATTCAATGAACTCATAAAACTATCTATGATTTCCAGATGGAAAACCGCGATGCATATAATATTATTTATTAATATATATGTAATTCGTTACATATAAATTTATTCATGTACTCACTAAACTTCCAACAATTTCTTTTACACGCTTGACACGATTTCGCTTTTGGACTAGTGCAGTGGCCTCGAACTGCACAAATTTCTTTGCAAATTCCGCGTATCCCTGCTTCTTCACTTACCTCAGCAGAATTGCCTAAAACACAAGTTTCGTAATAATAAACATAAATTTATTTTGCATTGCAATTTATGAAATATTATTAGCAGCTATATTATACTATACTATAGCAGATAAAGACCAAAAACTAGGCCTGATTGTCTGATGAACCATGTTATCTTATGATGGTTTTAAGGTTTCAACTTGTAGTCATTATAAATATTTATCATGCTGTGTTACGTCCAAAAATTCTACTAGATCTTTGTTTTTAGCTGAAATTTTCACTTTTTTTCTTCAAGGAGAAAACATTTCATGATTTTTTTTCCAAAACTTTGACTCACAAATTTTAGTTTCTGAGATATTCCACTCATTAACATGATCTTCCAATATACATTAACAACCAATATTCGTAACAATTTTACTTTTGAGTAAGTCAAAACCATGAGATCAATAAGAAAACTATGTAACGTTTTCACTATGATATGTACTCACCATACGGTGCCTGAAATGTATACTTCGTAGAAAGCCAAGAGAGAAACTAGAAACGAGTTTCCTTTGCCTGTATCAAAAACTTCTATACTTATTCGTTAAAAATTCACTCTTATAAAAACAATTGCTAATTTTTTTCTTACCTATGTCCCAATGAAGGGTAAAGGCAACCAAGAAAATCGCTATTATTAGTTTCATTTCGCTGATTCCTGTAGGTATTTTCAGTGACAGCGACTGTCGCGTGTTTTGAACAACACACCACAAGACAAAAATATTTTGCCGACGGCGTCTAACCTACTAAAACTTGTTTCAAATGTAATGCCGATATAGAAATAGATGGTAAATCAATCACCTCCTGAGGGAATGTCAAACAATAAATTTTTAGTATTTTATTTCGGAAATAAAATTGTAAAATAATGTTATAAAAATATCTAAATTAGAACTTTTTCACGTAAGCCAAACAGTGGATAGCAGTTAATTATACTAAGCGTGTGTACACGCATAATTTGCCCAGTCATGCTCCTTGTGCTATTATTCTGATAAGAATTTGTTGTTTTTTCCTAAACATTCCGGAAATTGAACTCCCGCATCCATACCTATCTAGAGAATTTTGCATGTTCTTGGTGTAACATATCATGTCATACCCATATCACGTGAAATTTACTCCAGTCAGAAAATATCAGATTCTAAATGTAAAAAGCGGCTGTACGAATCATGACATTTGTATGATTCTGATTATTTGTGTTAGCCTCATGAGCAAACTGGTCATAAAACTTATGATGTGATTTCTTTGGTCTTTCAAATTAATTTCACATTCATTTAAAATGCATATGGATATCAACTTCGATAAATAATACTTTGCGATTTCTTTTATATGCTCCTGATTTTAATCTTGAGGGTTATACGAAATTACAAACCAAATCGAATTATTTTTGATCTCTAGTTCGCTTTATCGTATGTCAGATTTACAGTTTATTTATTTACTACCAGATTGTAAAGTATATTGTAAGGTCATGTTGACTCAATCGTTAGCAGGATATCACATGATCTGATTTATGTTTATCATATGAGCGAAATAATAAAATAAACTTGGTGTAATGTTTGGAAAGAGGGTTTGAACACACTACGCGTTTATGAATACGTTCCAAGGTCAAAGTTCAAGTAAAATTGTTTCATGGGCTGACTTTGAACAGCCATATTTTTGACGAAATAGCGAACCCCATTGAATTTTCAAAGGACTTCTTGAAACAAATAGAAATAATTTCATTCAAGCGACTTCCCGTCTATTAGGTACCTATGATATGCAATCTATTCTGTGTAAAAAAGAGATTTTTTCACAGCAACAATAACAACAACAAAAATTTAACCAAACGAGGTCCATTTCGTGTGCAGAAAGTAGTGTATTTTAACGACTAAAGTTGTACTCGCCAATATTGCGCTCTGAAAAAAATGTTCAAATAGTTTACGAGCACGCGCTATATGACGAAATCTGATTTTCCTTTCTATTGTCCAAACATGGTCGTCTCAGTCAATAATTCGTTTGAATTTAAGTCCCGGCGATATTTTGATAACGCCCATTAAGTAAGTAAATAGTTAAGTAAGGATGTGTTTGCTTTGAGATTCTCCCGATAAATGAAGGAATTCGTCCACGCGTGTAAGATTCGTGATAGACTGTTAAAGATTGTTGAAGCGTGTCTTTTATAATTATGAAGTCAATTGCTGTTACCTATGAGGCAGAAGTAGCCAATTATTGACATGCTTCAGATTAGGGTTAGGTGTTTTTAAGGGTTGACAAATTATATTAAAAAAATTCGAAATTGCATTAAAATTGTTTATTTTTGTTTACTAGTTTATTTCTGCGGGCTATTTAGTGTTACGTGTCGGTTTGAATAGATTTCGTCGATAATTAATGCAGCGCTCAGTAATAATACTAGTTTAATTACTAAACGTACTTCAAATAGGTAATGCTATTGTCTAAAAAAAACTTTTTGTTGGCCCACAATTTCAACTTTACTTTTAGTTTTAATCGTGTTATTATCGTGATTCACCAGAAGCGTTCGACTACTTTAGTCATTGGCATGTGACTATACATCGCATCGTATATACTTAGGGTTAAATGAACAAAAAACTGCCTCGTAACTTTTCGTATAAGTCAGTAAACTTGTGTGTTCAATAATAAGAAATCAGTTAAAGAGCAGTATTACTATTTGAGGCGATGTATTTATGTTGTAATTAGCTAGATGTCGTTTACTGATCCTTGGATTCTTTGCAATATAATAATGATTTGCACGGCTCACCGGTCATTCGAACCAAAACACAAAACCGTAGTCGACCATGAAAACGAATGCAGAAATACCATGACCGAGAAAACAGGATTCGTTCAGACGTACGCAGAAGCGTGGAGTACCTATTAACACATTTTTGAATCTCGAAAATGTTTTTTCATAACTTCATTACATTGGGAACTACTGAATTAAGATGGGCTGTAACCTATTGGTTTTTCGTGGCTTACTTAGTGTCGGCGCTGGGTATTGTAGTTGATTCAGGTTCGCTTATGATCTGACTTGCTAATATTAGAACTGGAGGTGTCTAACTTGCGATAAAACATAGTTACGTATTGTCAAGCCCATTACGTAAACTTCCATTGCCATCACGTTATTCTTATCATAAAATGAAACACGATTACAGATAAAAAGGACTAGAGAGTTTATCGATGATTTTCAAACAACTTTAAATAACTCAAACTTATGCTTTTGTTCTGTCAATCATATAGGTGACCTATTCAAAATATAGTTTCATTTACATTGATTCATTTATGGTAGAGCCAATGGAATCTCGGTGTTTTTTTTTAAATAATATACACAACAACCGGAAATATCAGGGAATTTCGAGACGTTGTGTGAGAATAAATATCAGGGGTTAGTGATACGATGATGTGCATGACAATTCCGCAACGCTTTATATATGGCCAAGTATTTCCAAGATGAAAACTTTTTACACACTAATCCTCTACACGCTATTCTGATACCCGTACATTAAAGAATTATGTGTGAATTATAAAATCTAATATGTGGGGTATAATTAATATTTGAATTAATACGAATATTTCTAGGTATGAGCGAACAAGAAAACGTTATTTCGAGCAACCTGTTGTTTGAGTTTTCGCAACCTTGTCTGGGCTAGAAATGTATAAAATTACTATTAAATAAAGACAGATTTGACAAAGTCATTGTTAGATCATATAGAGCGTTATGTGGACGATAGTAAATTAGTTAGGTCTCCAAGAGATTGGACTTGTCTTATGCACTATAGTTAGTAGAAAAATAGATTGTCGTTTATTTCGTGTAAATCAAATTAAAAACGAAATCTTTTCAGTTGCAGTTTTTTTTAAGAACGAAAATCTAAGATCCATTCATATCTGATGTTCAAATTACTATGGAAAACATTTAAAAATAACCGAAATTCAACATTGTTCACAAAGCCCGATTGAGAATATGAATCACTGTATGTATAGGTACGTAAACGGAGCGCAGGAAACGTTTCTGTAAGAGCTCTAGTGTACAATTATTGTCAACATATGTAAGCCGGCGTGAGAATATAATTGCTTATTTGGCACATCAGATTTCATATTTTGTTATTAATATATCATTAGCTTACACGTATGATATTTTGTAAATACCAAATTTTTGAATAATCATTTCTATTATGAAATTACGTGTTTCTTATTCAACAGTTCTTTGTGTAGTCAATTCAAACGTAAAATGCAAAACAAATTGGTCTGAAGGCTATTGATATGATTTAATTTGCTTTATATGCGTCAGTAGTGTATACCCGTTTGAATAGCTGGCGTCTTCAGTGTCAGATTTCTTTCCGTAGCGCAACTTATGTTCGGATCTGAGGCTTGAAAAACACAATGGATACCAAGGGTGGCGACTTTGAGGCCGCTCCTCCTAAAGAGAATAAAGATGACGACAAAACTGTAAGCAGTGTTTCGTTTGCGTAAAATTTCCTTATTTGTATTACAGTTAGGAGCAGGAATAAATATATGGTTCCAAACACTATATAAATGGATTCCTTCTTCGAGCGCTAGTTGGCTGACATGTGGATTTATATTTTAGGGGACAATATATCAATGGATGCCTTTTCGAATTTGTAATCTATTAGCTTTCAAGAGTAATCTATTGAATTTCAAAATAACCAATCTCGATTAAAGTACGCAAAGTTTTTTCAAGACAATTTTGAAGGATGAATTTGACTTTTCTATTTTTTATATTTGTCATGATTATTAACTTATCGTACCATCAAGCTTATGAACCCCAAAAAATCGCCGAAGCTTTATTCCAAGTCGGTCGGAATATTTTGAGTTGCAATCGAACAAAAACATACATCTCTGCTTCAGAGGACTTTCTTATGAGATATGCTGTTTCTTTGATTTAAGTTTGTAAAATTGTGTGAACCCCTTGTTAAATTGAAGCGATTTCCTTAGAAAAGCAACCATCAGCAAAGTCTCGGGATATCAAATAAACAACCAAAGCTATGAGTAGGGTATTCGACTAACTTAGAATGTCATCGGTTCTGCAGTCTCGTGCGAAGAAAATGCGTGTTTAGAAGGTACTAAATTTAGACTTGCTAGCAAAACAGATTTATTCATTCAAACCGTATGCTTTCATTGCACGTCACCTTTGACTCACTGGAGACCAGAACAAGTCCACAATAGTGGGGAGTTTTGCTCGTCGCTATTTTCGTTTATCTACAAAGCGCTTTTGCTATCGAGAGTGTGTAATTTCATTGAAATATAAACACTACAATAAAATAAAACAAAGATATAAACTTGCAGAATATTTGGAAATGCAATAATTCAGAATAAACATATGTATAAAAACGTTTTTTAAATGCCTTCTACCGACTACATGTTTGTATCTGATATTCCTATTACCCTTTAGTCGCAAAATGCTGTTTTGTTACCTATTTCAAAACAATGGTAATCAAGATAGACATACATAATGTTGCCGAAACAAACTTCTTGTGTTTTCAAACGCTGAATTTCTTTACTTTAAATAATTCGGTGATTCGGTCATTTCAGATTAAGTTCAATACTAAAACAACTGTGGCCCAGGGAGTACTTAAGAAACCACGGTTAAATATCTCACATCACACAATTTCATGAAATAGACCGTATTATAAATGGAAGCATGCCAGACCATAGTGCGACCTGCAAAGATATTAATTTTCAGACTTTTATCAAATATAATTTACTTCATAAATACAGTTTATAAGAAATAATTATTTCATTGCTTTTCTTGCCATTATGTGTGCGGAAATTTCGAGGCACTCAGAAAATGATAGATGTGCCTATATTACAAAGCAATACCTACGTTTATAACCAAGTTTAATTATTCTCAATAGTTTCTTTCGCGTTATCAAATGTAATATTCAAGTTACTGTAATTTCGATTCACTGTGTTGTAATGTCTTGTTGGACTCGTTTTAGTATTATGTTGTCGTTGGACTTCTACAGGACCAATTGCTTTAAAATTTTCAGTGTGCAAGAATTGTTGTTGCTAGAGAGTTATTACTTTTATTTATTTCAAAACTTTCTTTGGGCTCGAAAGTATTCATTTTGTGTGTGTGAAGACGTTATCAAAATTAAAAAAATTGCGCAACCGGTGGCGGTTCGGCATTCATGCTCATTGCGATATGGTAGCCAGTCGAAGTCGCGAAGACTACGCCTCCGTACCGGTACTGTAAAAGATTAAATACCAATACTTCTTCGTATTGGCTTTCGTACTCATATATTTCAGCATTACTCTCTTGTTATATATATATAATAGCTCGTTCAATATTTATGATTTGATACTTAAATTGCTTTCAAATGTATTGCTCTATATATCAGGTTGAGTCGTAGCCACACTTCTGCGGATCTTCACACAGTCGGCAAAACATATTTTGACGATTGATAATTATTAACAATTCTCATTACAGGAACCCAGCGAAATCATTGAAATGACTGATCCAACAAAAGATACAAGCGATAAAAAACGTGGGTGTCCAGAAATATTGAAGTTTTAATTTCACTTAATTTCACGATTTGCTTCACTGGGTGCTATAAATATTATATATACGTTTTCCTTTCTAGATTTGTGTGAAACATCGCCCAACTCTTCGCCGTCAAAACATTTATCATCAAGTTCAGTTAATAAGTGGAGAAAGTTGGCAATTGCAGTCAGCTGGATTAGTATCGTTTTGTCAATTGTTTTTGGAGTTTTATTATTTGGTGAGATTTCAAAATTATTTTCACATTGATAAATAAGACTGAGTAACAAACTTTTATTTTGATTCGAATCCCAACTTCGAGGCATTCAAAAATTTCGAATATATCCTCCGTTCAGAAACCATAAAAGTAAATTCCATAATTCGGACCCCCGAATAAAAGTTTTGAAATAAAAAAAAAAACACTCTAACCCCAAAATTAACTAGAGGCTATCAATTGATTGATTCACGTGTGAATAAAATAATATTTTATATATTTAATTTTATCACATTGTTTACCAGAATATAACTCATATATAGCAAGGTATGAAAATACATCGGAATGCGTTTAACTCAGTTTTTTTCTCAGGTTTTTCTATGGAAGACAGCAGTTCAGCAGCATTTGGATTTGCGGTAAGTAAGAAAATTATTTTGAATTATTTCTTTGCCTGTTGGTGCAATACTTTGACATCCAAGTTGAAGGCATCGTGTTTATGTTGTTTACGGTCTAGTACCCATTTCATATAGAACTTTTTATTCAGAATGCGATATATTAGATAAACTATTATAACAGCACTTGCAAATAGAACATTATCTGCATAAGTATGAAGTTTATTCGGAAATTTTTTGATGCTCCAACTAATTTTAAAAGGCCGTTATTCATGTCAACAAAACAAAAGCTACCGTTAGCTAAAGCTACTTCCATAGACTATTTGGGGTGTAATAATATACATTGTATTCATATCGTTTGATTCATATTATAAATGTACATTTATTCGTTACAAAATATCATATGAATAGGCAAGAGACGATAAGCATTAATGCAAATTAAAACTTCGAGCCATTGATTAAAACAATGTTGTAATATCCAGATTACGGCGTTACTAAATTCAATGACGTCGTTTGTTGTGGTATGGAGATATTATGGAGCTTATTCTGCGTATTCTGAAAGAAAAGAGGATAAGTACGAACAATTGTTTGCCTATGAGATTTCCTTTGGTGTACCATATTTTTGCTTAATATCTGCAACATTGTGTGAACCCGATATGTATCCTACATACATTAAGAATTAGGGATTGTTTTGAAAAGTGTTTTGTTTGCTAAGTGTATAAATGACTTTCAAGTTACGTCCCATAAGTCACAAATGTAATTTCGCGGGCGATTACCTAGTGTCTGGGCGCTGGACATAATCATGTTGTCGTAAAGATTTCGGATCTAAAGCCCATAACCCTATAAAAAGCAATATATATTACAATCAATACGGAATCGGAGAGACTCTGTATTCAGAAAAAGGTATTTTCGTTTTCCAGTCTCTGATTGTCTGCAAGCTTGTTTAAGGTACAACTGTGAAAAATATTGAGCACGGGGTTAACATTTGACGCAACGTCGGATTGCTTTGCCGTTGAATACTAATGGCTTTTTCATTTTATTTCAATGTATATGCGTTTGAAAATATATTTTCATATATTTGAAATTTTCTATTTGAAATTGAATGATGACATTGTCTGAGGTTACCAACTGTGTTATACTGGCCACTCAGACCATGATATGCAAGGGCGTCCATATAGGGTAACTTGTACAAACACTGAAATATAACTTTTTGAGTGTTTTGAGATAAATTAGAGTACTAGACCACTTAGTTGGGTAAAAGTTATCTTTTAACGCTTCATGGAATTTGTGAAATTTCTTCAATTAGATAATGAATGTATTTTTTTTTCTCAGAGCGCTTGTTGCACTTGGAGTATTGTTCGTTTTGTCATCCATATGTACTGTGGGAAAAACTATATACAGCGTTCTTGATCATATAAGACCAGACTTCTCGGTAAGTATATATGTTGTATGTTAACAACAACTAAACACTTTTGAATGTGGTAGTAAATGCACTGATCCGTGACCATGGGTACCAGGGTCTACAATGAGTGAGCTTGGTTGTTAAAAAAAGTTTTTATAGATAGACGTGTGATCAAACTGTCGTCCAGACGAGCTGTATATTTGAGCATGACAGCTAGGCTGGAGTTGTTATCAATGTAAGTTGACTCGGAATTTAAAACAAATCAAGTTGATAATCAAACAAGAGAGCAACGCTCAAATATACGGACACGTGAACTAGAGCAAAGCAGGGTTTACCTTTGACGTTACCGGTACCGTACCCTCAAAAAGTTCCGGGTCTTCAGTGGCAAGAATTTTCACAGTCAGCCGTCACGCTTGGCGGATTAAAAACCGTGTTCCCATAATTAAAAATTAATAAAGCGCAATTTTGGTTGAAATATTAGATCTCATAAGATTCATAGAAAATTCAGGAATAAATGAAAGTAATAGCCTTCTGGCAAAAAATCAATCTTGAACCACTGAAAATTCCAAAGCAATTGGTCCAGTATTCGAAGAGAAAAGCGATTTTTTAATGATAATGACGAAAGAAAATAACAATAACAACAAAATTTTGAAACGATCGTTATGACCACTGAACGTGTCCAATTAACAGCGAGGTGAAAGAGACGTCTACAATTAAGCAACTTTATGTATAAAAAATTTGTTGATTAAAGGGGATCTAATCAATGTATGGGCGAGAACTAACGGCTAATATATATAGTGGAACGACCAAAACAAAAATTCGATTCGAAAAATTAAAATCTTAAATTCAGAGACCTGATAGTGGCTTCTCGAATCTGTCAACGTACTAGAACGATTATTGATATCATTTCGGTAAATTCATTTTCTTTATAGTGTTCTGGAAAGAGTTTTGTTCGATAGGGCGTTAGTTGAAATAGCAAAGTATGATTCTTTTATTTATTACTTTCTTTTTTAGGTCGGTGCTGCTGACAAATTAATATTGATATCAATAATTGCTGCAGCTCTACTGTTTTTTCTTGGTTTATCACAAATATTTATCGCAAAGAAATTAGATTCTTGCACACTTCTAACTGATGGTAAGTTATTTAAAAATACTATAATTTAGTTATATTCTGGAACGAGCCTTTAAATAAAATTTAAATTAACTTGTGCACTTAAAAATGGTAATGTGCATTTGTAGACACTATCTATCAATAAAATAATTTCGGAGTACAAAATCCATAAATCTACCAAAAGAAAACGAACTTATTGCCCTTTACAGCTATATAGCTTGACCATGAAAAAGGAGCAAGCACCTTCGAACACATTACTTTTTTTCATATTTTTGCAGCAATAAATACCTTTTCGGCGGCTGTTATGGCTGTTTCACTCGTCATATCATATCAAGTTGGAGAATATCATCCTGGATATTGGTATCTTGACGACGTTACTGGGATGGTGATCGGCTGCTTCTTATTCATATATGGCGTAATGTAGGTTATTGCTTATAGCAAATTTCTGGATTATACTGAGATTGCAAATTTTATTTAATTACGGTCTGGATGAAAATCATATCAACTTTTGTATGTAATTGAATTCTTTTATTAGACACGAAATGAACACATAGATCGTTTTGTTATTATGTTGTTGTTCTTGTTCATTATGTTAGAATTTTTCTTCCTGTCGTTATGAAAAAATCGCTTTTTCTTTACTGAACCAATTGCTTTGAAATTTTCAGTGATTAAACAGCGTATCTTTTGCTGGAAGACTATTACTTTGATTTATTTCAAATATTCCTGTGAGCTCAATAGGATTCGTTTTTTTTTTTGTGCTATGACCTCATCAAATTTCCGCAGTTTGTGACAGTTCTGCGTAGGCATATAACCGAATCTCGTGCTCAGCTAACGTCGGCGGATCTCGTGCTTAGCGAAAGGACAGTCCCTGTACCGTTACCCTGGGTAGTCGAGTTGTTTGTTACGTGTTGTCGTTGTCCGCGTAGTATTGTTGTCCGCGTCCGGATACGGCTACCGGTACTGGTGAGTTACCGCTAATGATTTTCGAGGAATTCATGCTAAATATTTAGTTCTGCCCTCCGTGTCCACATAATTAAGCATAGCTCTCTTATTTTTATTGTTATGACATTGACTGTGTATTATTATGTTTCAGGTTATTGACGAAATATATTCCTTTACTCATGAGGATAAACGATTATGAAGAGACTACGTGAAACAAAAAACAAATATGTTGGTTCAACAAATACCCAACTCAAATTCAACAAATACATTTGTAGAATATTATGACACTAGGTGCAATACCATGGAATGGACATTTGAAACTTTTTTTTTTGTCACGAAATATGGATCAAGAAATATGATTTTTTCGTCTCTTCTCCTTGTGGATGTTCTTTAATGTAGCTATATCACTTCTATTTTCCCAGGGTCAGGGGCAATAATTTTATTGTATTATTATTATCAAATTTATATATTATAAACATGTAAAAATTGTTCTTTTTATTTAATTCATATTAAATTATTTAACGAGATTTTACCTGAAGTTGCTAAAATCTTTCACCGTAAAATAGAAAGAAAGCAAAAGTACAAAGTGGCTAATGTATTGTATTTGTAACGTAGCAAATTTATTAAATTGTAGTCATATATAGTAGGTAATTCTGTTTTAAAAATTTCACTAACACTGTCTGATGTGATGTCTGATGTGACTCATCATTTCATTATTTTTCAACCAAAGACTAGAGGTACGGCTTATGTTGTTATTGTTTCGATCTGATTTCAACAGTGCAACTAGTGCATCAGTGTTTAGTTTGCTAAATCTGCCCGCCTTTTTGTGTGCACAGTATCTATAAATACCCCACGATATATATATATAAATTTCTTTGCATTAACGGATTAATTGACACCTATGAATCGGTTAGAAGCAGATGAATTAATTTTTCAAAACTAATAAAACAATAAATTTTTCTGGATATTGAAGCATAAAGGCTATTACTTTTATTTAATTTCTTCATTTTTTTTTTACTCTCATGGATCCCGGTGTTTTACCCCAAATTTTGATGCTTTCTTTTTCATTCGGTACTCTCGGCCTTGTAATACTTAAATCGATTCGGCAACTTCGTATATTTTCATATACAGTATATATATTCGAGCATTGCTCTATCATTTTCCAAATGCATTTTTGTGCTGTGCCTTTTATTCATATGCATTTTCCATTTTCATCACGCAGTCGGTTTTCTGCATCTGATACCCAATTGTTCAAATCATGGAGAGACGAAAGCATTTATGGTTTTTGTGTTCCTGTCAAGGTCTAAAGCAGATATTCTCAAACTTCAATTGTTAATAATATGTTAACAAGGCAACAGCTATTGTGTTAACTACGTATAACTAGATCTATTGGTGTGAAAAAATTGGTAGGCGTTCTTAGAAATAAATAGAACAAATTTACAGCGACTTCAGCATTGCAACTCTCACAGACGTCAGTATAGATCGATCCTGAATAAATATGAGTTGAGGTAAAGGGACTATTGGGACAAGGATGCTTTCTTACCATATAATCATCAGTCATGATCTTTTATTGATGATGTTTACGTGTAATGTGTACTTTGACAACTCACTATTCCTCTGTGGATACTGGAAGGCGGTATAGAGTCGCAAAATTTAACGTTCTTGTTCATCGAAGATATGTTGCTTCTAACGACAAAGCTATCAAAAAATTTGCAAAGCACTTGTATTCCAAAAAGCAAGCTGGTGACTGCACACTAAATACACAGGCAAGTCGATTCTAGCACACGTAAGACGCCCTTATGGTATTTAATGCACAGTTTCAATTGAGAACTCGCAATTCACGTCGAAAGCATCAGATGATTAAGATATAAAAAAATTGATTGAAGTTAGATCTCAGTCATTGCACCAATTGTTAGATTCAAATACATTATATGAAATTCGTTAACTTTTAACACCCTTGACAAAATTCTGCGAACATCCGTGGATATTTATGATAATCACTTTGTAAATTGAATTGATTGATTTTTCCGCGTCTGGATGAATACTGCAATGCTTCGTTTTCGCTCATGAAATATTCATTGAGAACTTCTGATCAATAGAAAATTTGAGGCGAGCCAAACCAGTTCATGTCTGCACGAACAACATTGAAAAATTTCCCTCGCGTTCGATTGGGTCTTCGTCTTCGTGAAATATATATAGTTCATGTGTGTACAACAATATAATCAACACGACATAATGGATATATATCAGAATTATTGATGGTACTCAATTCAAATGTAATACTACTTTGTATAGATTATACAGTCCGTTTTATAGTGGCTGCTCATGTTCTGAGTACACCTGGTGTAGCAACGTTTGCTTTGCAAAGCCAGCGAAAACTGCTCCTATCATAAACAAAACAGCCATCATCCACCCAGCGATATAAGCATATCCGTACACGGGATCCATTTCGTCTATTTGCTGCCGAAAGCCGTCAGCCGAAAGACCAGAGATGCTGATACCTTCCATTCTTTTACCAAACGGAGGTTGTCCTGCAAATACGTTTCTGGCCCCTGGGTACATATTCATCATAAACAGGAGGGGATTGTGAAGAAATTGGGCAGAACCTCCAGTGTATGCAGACATACCCACAATAGTTAAAAGTCCTGAAAAGCATTAAATTTAATTGTTCTTTTTCACTGTGACGTGAAATTTCAGCGTCTACTGTTCAAGAGTTAAAAAAACAAAGCTGAGCACTTTGATGGGTAGAAAGCATTGAAAGAAATTACGGTACTCCTGAAGTATGCGCACCAAGATGTCGCATAACCTGATTCCTAACCTGGTACACAACCTGAGTTCAGGTGCGCGTACTTCAGGAGGTCCGAAATTACAATTTTTAATAACTTTCTGGTAGAAAACAAAATCTTGAAAAAATGCAATCAATTGTATGCAATGATTTTGTTTTTTCTATGCAGCTATAATCAATTTTAAAAAAGCAAAATAAACCTAAATATTGAGAGAAATATGTGAAGTATTCGTTCAAAAACTCATGTTAAGTCCAACGGACAAACTGTCTGTTTCACGCGATTAAAACTAACACTTTGGAAATTTGGAAACAATGTCGCTCGTTTCGCATTTAACATTAAGAAGCATTGGATAGTTTCTGCTTTATTTGTGAAAAAAAATGTTACCCTGCAGTAAGAAGCATAATACATCCAGATCGGGTACGCTGGGCAACTTTGTTTTTTCCTTCATATGTTGCCTGATCTCCTCTGAAGGCTATAAGAATAACTATGCCGCCTACCAGAGCAAATAGCAGACCAACGATTAAAGCGAGTGCCCCAAACATGATGCTCCGTGGCATAGTAGTAACTAAATCAGAAAAAAAATGTGTAGACTCTGATACCAATTATCATTTTTCGTTAGCTATACATGGTTGCAAAACATAAATATGTTTCAAGCTGATAATCACACTTGTAAAATTCTATTAAGTTTTCATAACAGTAGGCTACACCAATAACATATCAAATTCATCAAAGAAGCCTACGTCACTTACTATCTACAGGAATATTCACGCTAATTATATTTCCAGCTTTCATTGACGATTTAAATATTCCCTGGTATAAACAGGGTTTCCCTTGCAGCAGTTGGTTAGATATGTTGTCATTGTTCATACAAGCCTGAATGTAAGACATCATTTATTGATTTCGCTGATTAGTGTTGCAAAGTATAGATACAATTAATTCACTGATACACCTATATATAATTAGTGTGAAACATGATGGAATAGCTCGATATTTTGAGAAACGGTCGCGTGATAAGGCCACACAATAAACTGATCATCTATTTGCGGATATGGGTAAGCCAAATTTTTAGTTTTCAAGAAATTATTGAATACCTCAGCATTGTCTCGGCGCTGCTTGGGAGCGAAAAATTGTTAAAACAGTGCACAGTATACAAAACGAAAACTTACAATCATCCAAGATGCCGACGATAATGCCGTGATGAGCATGATGAATCCAAGAGATGTGCAACAGAGCGCCAAAATATAAAACAAGTTCAAGGCCATACTGTCTCGCTCTTCTATATATATAGTAATAATAATAAAAATTGCACCTATTTAGTAGTACAGTTAGACAAGCGTAAAGTAACTTTCAACTCCTCAATAAACATTTATGAGTGAAGCAATTTTATGAGCGAATACTAACATAATGTGTAACATTATAGCGGCCTTCGCGGTTGCCAACGATCTGAGATATGAGACTGGATCTGCCTGAATCGATATCTGAGAATTTCTCAATCAAAATATATCATGCGTCGCACCAATGGACAAGGGCGCATTTGAAATAAACTAAACGCTGTATTAGAATACTGCAATTATTTTACAAACCTCTATAAATACAGAATTTTAAATAATCGTTGAAATTATTGATTTAACATGATATGCGCAATATGAAAATATATAACATAAATCAAGTTTTATATTTGTCAAGATTTTCTAAATTGTAGCCGAATTCGGACAGATAATCCTGCTATAAGTTAAAGTTCACATCTTCAAATTATTGATAACCCAACGAACAGACAAAACCTTTTCTAAAAAGTCAGACTGTACAACCCGTATGCTATAAAAGCTGATTTCGTGTTAAAATCAGGAGCGAAATATTACAATGCTTCAAACAACTTTTCAGAAATTCATATATATCCGAGTTGGTATAAAACCTTATCAGAAACACTACAAAAAGTTAAACACCAATAGATGAACAATGAAATTGAAAAACAAAAACAGCAAAAATTTACATTGGATTCGAAAAAGAACAGAAACAAACGAGGTTTGATGAAATGGAATAAAATGTAATAAGCTCATTTGTAACCTGAAAGCCACAATACCATCAGGCTATGCAATCACAAAACACAAGCTAAAGAACACAAATAAAAATGTCTTACTGCAAATATTTTATGTATCCTATTTACAAATAATCTTCCGTGTGTTTATTCAAACTAAAATAGTTATTTTATGTTCAGAGACAGATCAAACTTCTCGTAAGATAATTACAAACTTTCTTTTTCTCAAAAATAAAAAATAAATACCTAACTTACTATCACGATCAACACGTTCCCAATTGAAGTGCAAAAAATTTTGGTAAATCTAATCGTAATTGCAGTCAATTGTAAATTTTCCCAACTTAACAGCCCTGGCCCCTGATAACCAGCCCCTAGAAAGCGACCATCGAAAAATTCACGCAGGGGCAGGCTTTTCCCAAACTAAGCAGATTTTGACAAATAAATAGCGCCTTGGAATGTCGAAAAATGCAAAAATAATAGTTTTAAGCAATCACCCTTCACAATCTGATATGCCCTGTCCGTTGTTAAATCCAAGAAGGTCATAATTATATGGGTCAACGAATTTAGAGATAGATTTCATTTTAAATGCGTTTTGTATTTGCGCCCACATAACGTAAGATCAATCAAGACCAAGGAACTGGCACTGAGAAAAAGAAGCACTGCGTTGGTTTTCAGCTAGGGTGGAACAGGAGAGACTTCTCATCTTTTCTCATCAACTCGTCAAAAGGATGAGTTCTTTTGATTACCATTGCCCACCGAGAGATCATCATCTTTGTTTGGAAAAACTGAAGCGGCTTGCCTCACCGCACAAAAAGACACACTTATATTCGTGCCCGTCAAAACAGCCACCTCAATCTATGTAGGACGAATTACTAAAACACTGCTCCGGTATGGCACAGGGAGAAACAAATTACAGACACATGCGACGAAAACGTTCTAAAACGCATCATGCTTTCCATTGCTCCCTTTTTAGAGAAAGGATTGCACGAAATAAACTCGATTTAAAAGAGGTATTGATGAGATTCCTCCTTGGGTTGATCCTGTGCATGTTTCAAATTTATTTACGCGAATTGAAAACTCAAAAATATTGCGCTGACGCATATTTTATTGTGTACCACATGTATACCAAAAAGGATAGATAGTTTGAAGGCGATTGGCGCATCATTTTTATAAGCTATCAATAGTTTTTAACTTGCGGTATATTATCTGGATATCTGTCGTCGTTTTTATTAAGAGTGTTCATAATACACACGAGTGATATTGTTACATATCTAGTTAAGGTATGTGGTGAGATTTATAGGGGTAATAATACAAACATAGGCGTAAATTAGTAAAAACAGAATTGATTATAGACTCGGTAAAAACGTCGTGGACTCGAAAGATCCAATCCGAGTCTAAAAAATGCCTGGATTCGACTCGAATTATAGATACCTGAACTAACGGTAACGTCACGTTTTAAAATAGTTGAGCAAACATGTTTTTATTCTTTTTAAATCATTAATGAACGATTTCTACAAATACATTTTGTTTATGATTTTCACTTGCACAGTTCGAGTTATTTTATGTCGTCAATAGTTAGTCGGTAAAATGCTATTTATGGGGATTATTGGTTGTGGAGTCCAAGTAAACACTACACGGGTATCCGAATCTCTCAAACAAGATTTGTCGGCGAGTGCGGCAGCAGACGACTGAAATTTTTATTTTCGAGTGATGATTGAAGGCACAACCAATTGCAAAAGAAACATGGTCGGGAAAACGAATTCAGGTAACAGGAAAATGGTATTGTGATTACGGTGTCTGCATCACGAAAATTTTATATTAGTTCAGTACCGGTACGCCCATGCACGGAAAATTCAGTACGGTACCGGTACGGTTCCGCATCCATATATTTCACTATCTTCAGATCTTGATAGTCACTATCCAGCCATCTCTTGGTTTCCCGGTTCTAGTGCCGGGAGGTCTGCATATTGGGCCCAACTTATCTGAAATAGACTGTAGGCTAATCATATTCTTACCATTTTCTCCAACAACTTGGGGGATTCTTGGATTGTATCTTTCGTCATTCTGCCATTTATTGATTCAGCCATTTCAGCATTTGCTGAACCATTCTGCCATTCGAGTTGTTATGTACCCAGATACCGATACCCTTGAAAAATTCCAATTTTGTTTGACTTACTGGAGTCAAATCTGGAAATCTGTTTCCTATTTTATGTAAGTTAGATTAAGAAAATCATATTTCTGAGTTTAGCCCCAAGCCCTTCCTGCTTTCTTACTCAATTTTCTTTTCCCACCTTGCATCACTGTTTCATACCGGTACCGTACCATATCGGTGCGGTAACAATTTTTATCATAATGTCGCGATATGACTCATCTATCGTCATGCCAGACGCTCCTCGTTTGTGAGACACTTGAAATGTTTGTTTTATTGAACCAAATGGAGGAAAATTCTTGGAATTTGGATGGTCTTTTAGTGAAAGCGAATGTTCCGTGCCTCACATGTCATACAGCTGAATTTGAGAGACCGGACCGATACCGTATTCGAGCATTTATGTCGATGTTCAAAATTAGCATAGGCTATTTGAAAAGTTCAACATCATTGTTAAAATTTACCATTTTGGTTTATTGAATCAATATTTCCTCGAGGAAGTTTCGTTGTTTATTATTATAAAATGAAGCCTTTATTTTGGGCTGCACATAGCTTAAACGAACTGAACTGAAGTGACACATGCATCGCACAAACAGTTAAACATGCCTTAGCGACCCAAAATTTTATTAATCTTGCAATCCAAGAATAAAATGCTCAAATACAAGATGACATGTAACACTTTTATAGCCAAAATTTTTTTAAGTAGGCTAACATTTACTTTCCCAGAAATTACTTCAAAAAGAGAAACCTGTGCATATATGCCATCAGCGGGTTTTGAAATTGTGGATTGGCTTCACTCAAGCGAAATAGATGCTGCCAAATTTTAAGCTGTGATAGTGTGCCGGATTACCCATTCTCTAAAAAATAAAACCAATAACTTTGAAGTTGTTGTTGAACAAGACAGGCAACCCAAGACTTATGAGGTGACCGCTCATAATAATCCTCAATGGATTCAAATTCGCATACCTTCTCGGATAATCAGCATCATGGTGGCAATGCCAATCATATTTTCAGTACTTGGTTGTTAAGTAAAACACATTGTACAACGTGGAAGTGAGACACCATGAAGCATCTGTTGATATATTATGATTTGATAACACGGTCCACCCAGCAAATACAGATATATCAAAAGATCAATACTGTCATCTTGAGTTATTTATTTTGGTTGTCTTTCGTTTAAATATTCATGATTTGGCATACAGATTGTTCTTATTATCATATCAATTAGTATCAGCTGGACAGACGCTTGACTAGTCCGCTGAATTTTTCTTGAAAATTTTTTTCATTCCCTCAGTTTAGCTTCTGCTTTCTTTCTGTCATGTATATAATATTTTCACCCTCTCTATTGTATTTATTCGTTGTTTGATTTTCAATTCATTTATTGCCTGAACATTTTTAGGTATAAATGCCTGTTTCTGTTTTTTTTATGTGGGAGTAAAATTTAAGGTCTGTATGTTATACCATGTGTATAGTTTGATATATAATCGTTAAGTTATGCTATGGTATATAAGTACAGTGTTCTTAAAACTTTTTTTGTCCCAACCCACTTGGCACAGCCAAATTTTTTCGTAAACCCCAGGAACTAAAAGAAAAATAAAGAAAATTCAATATTCTGGAAAATTTTAAAAAATAATATTGAAATAGACAATATCTTTAATAATGAGGCCGATGTGTCTGCATATTCTGGCACAAAACTGTTCTCTGCTTTATTTGTACTTCAAACCTATAATATCATAATTTTTGTTTTGTCTTTATCAGCAGTGGAGCCAGGAAATCAAGATATGGACGGTGATGGATTGCAAGATATTTTACAAACTGTTCAGAAATTAGAATCCAGACTACAGGATGATGGAGACAATATTGAACCTTTGAATGACATATTACTTGACAAGAACATGCAGGCATTGATAAAGGTAAAGGTAGACCAGGGGTGGCAAATTACAGCGCGCTGGCCAGATCCGGCCCACAGAAGTGTTTCATCCAGCTCACTTGTGTCTGCTAAAATTAGGAAAATATTTTGTGGATATGAATTCCCATTGAAAATATTGATGAAAATAACGTCACTATGATCCCGATTGCTACATTGTGCTTTTTCTTTTATATAAACGTTAGCCTTGCTGATTGACTAGCTGTTGTAAATAAACTGTTTTTTATTTATAGTGAATTTTGAGCCTCTGGCTCGGTATCCAATACTATTATCTGTAACTGACCAACCCAGAAAAGTACCGTAATTACCCACCCCTGAGGTAGACACTATTCTATAATTAGTTTCACAGGCAGACTCCAAATCAGCCTGTCTGTTTGACATAATTAATTTCAGGATCTGGTTTTTGTATGGTGTTGAGTCGGATTAAAACCAGATGGATCTACTTTTACTAACTAACAGTTTTTGCTTTGAAGTTATTAAGTGGATATTTAGTTTCACGTAATATTTTCAGGAATTCGTCTTGCAGTTTAAATTTGAGATGTCATTGAATAGGTACATTGAACAAGTAGGAAAAAATCAGAAATCAGAATAATTTTGATTTGTAAGAATAGCATAACCTCTTTCTACAAAATATCGTCTATATTTGCAAGCTTTTGATAGATCATAATCTCGACTTCTTCAGACAAAACAGGATGTAACTTATTCAAAAAGGGAATGAATTATGTCTAGTGTTAGATTTTTTTGTAAGAGATTTTTCTTTAAGTGAACTAGAAATAAATGAGACTCATTTGTAAACAAATTTAATGTTGATAAATATGTCGATAGCTACTGAAACTATATAAAATTCTAGTCCTGCGTAACCACCATTAAATGCTGCTTTATGTGAGACTTCATTGGAAGCTGTCCAAGTCGATATGATCAAGGAAACAGCTCAAGGCAGGAATTTCTTGGAAACTTTTTGCATAGAAAATTGCCAGTCTGGAGATTGAAAGTAAACAGATGATAGCTCAAGCTAATCTGGTATGACGACTGAAAAGTTTTAGTGGAACAAGTTTTCAAATAAACACACATCAAATTAAAATATCCATGAAATAAACAAGGCAAGGCAACCTTTTGTGAATGGGGTTCAATTAATGGTACTCCCGTAGTATATGTACCAGGTTAATAAGGACATAATTTTATTATGATTTTCCTTATTTTAGTTCTATACGAGTTCAGGACTGTCTGTGTTAGCTAAGTGAATATACCCGCTGCCCATAGGTTTCAGTCCCTTCACACAACTTGATGTAAAGTAGGCAAACTAAATTGACTTCGATATTGGTACACATACGTCTGGGTCGCCCAATTAATAAATATCATTTAACATAGTAATTTTTGATTTTTTTCAATCATGGATTATCGGCAAATATCCGCACTAGAAATATTTGTTTCCTGCTTTTGAGCGTGTAATTATCTAAACTGAAGTAGCAATTGTATTGCTAATAAGTAGATGAGTGCATTGTTGCCTTAAGATAAGGTTTTGGTTTGTATGGACAAGCTTTCATATTATTATTAACACAGTTTGGCGAAGGGGAAGTTAGCATGAATGTGATTCTATGTTTCAGAATTTCAGTTATGCCCATGGTCATTTACTGTTTGTAAGTACCGGTAAGCTGATTTAGATAGAATGAAGAAAATGAGATGTTATTTCATATTTTTTTGCCTTCGCTATTAGTGTAAACAAGTGGTCAGCAAGCTGTGGCCCGCGGGCCAGATGCGACGGGCAAACAAGTTATTTATGGTCTTCGAATGACCTCACATTTAATAATGCATAAAAAAAAATTGCTTTTTGCCTGCAATATATGGCGTTTGTTTTGTTGTAAGTAGGGTAATTGAAAGATTGGAAGCATATGCATGTTGTAAGTTGTATACATGCCTAGTGTTTTGGTTGTAAATTAATACAGAAATAGAAGTTGCAGATGCGTCATAATTTGAAGTTTATTAATATTGTGATAATTGATAGGCGGAAATTAGTATGGCCCGCACGCTCTGGAAATGTGTATATTTGCCCCAGTGCCAGTAGTACATAAAATTTGCCAACCACTGCTGTAAACTCTTAATTTTTTTCTGTGAAAACTTAGAAATATTGATCTCACAGTGAAGTTATGTGTAGTAACCTCTAAAGTCCCAGGAACTGCTGAGACTATAACTCATTACATCATCCTTATTAAACACCAATTGATGCAATTTCAGATTTTGATCTTATTCTGAGTATTTTTCCAAGTGCATATGTTGCATAGCATAATATTGTCCAAATTAATCTTTAATAAAAGTGCTGTAATTAATTTCTGAAACAAAACAAAATATCCATATATGTTTGTATTATTTCGGTAAATCATACTTATTAAATGTTGCATTTGTATGTAATTCTGTTTATAGGTTCATGAAACAGTAAAGCCTGTAGTTCAGAAAAATACAGAACCAACTTGTACAAACTCATTGGAACTTGTCAGTGAGGTAGGTTATGCTGAATTTTTTATTATATATGAAATATGTTTATTATGTTTTTATGCCCATCATTTTTTCTAATACATTCACAGCTTATTTTTGAATTACTGTATATCCTCGCTTATAATTAAAGTTTAAAACTCAAAAGAAAAGTTGCCAAACTAAGGGGTCAGGTTATACATGCCGAACTCTGATCGCAAATTCCAACAGCTACAATTCGAACCATACCAAGTACTCTCGATAAGAGCGTACAATTTGTAGGGTCGGCTTATATGCAAATATTAATAAATTCGTTGTTGGGGGGGGCGACTTTTATGCAGTTATGCAAAACAACGGTGATTAAAACCTACTCATTCTATTCTATTCTGTACTGATTTTAAGTTGAAAATTTCAAAACCCTGTCATCTTCTGGTGTTTCAGTTTTATGGCCAACATGTGGTCTTATATTGTGATTTGTGAATTAACACTAATTCGTGAGTAAAAAAAGAAATTAATTGAAATTAATCATAGCTATCAATGTGCCATATAGCAAGTATTATTATTATTAACTATCTAATATCGGTCTATCAGTTTTCAATTGACCTCTGGGTTATTCAAGTTTATCTATTGTTGTACTGTATAAAATGGCTTGTTATAAGAATCCCATATTCATAATATAATCGTTGCTTGCTCAGTATTGTTGCAGTTTGTTTCTGGAATCGAAGTAATAAAATCTATGAGGGATTTTTGGTATTATCATTTAGCAATGTCTTCAATGAGTCGAATATTTGGATTGAATATTAATAGGCATATTTAAAATATATTTTTATTGCGGCTACATATGATATCTGATAGACAGTCCTATTTATATATGCAGGTAGAGATAAGAAAAGGTTCTCATATGCTTTTATTGACTGAATTACTTTAATAACTCTATTCGTTACTTCAAACTACCAGTAATTCTTCAGAATGCTCATCAATTGCGGTAATTTTCGCTAGGCCTATCATTTTTCTGTCTTGAGAAAATTATTTCTCAGTGCCAATGATCTTTAATTAGGTAACACGTTTATTTGTATTTATTAAGTTTGGAAACCTGCTATATATTAGTGTTTGTTTGTCTGGAACTTTTGAATGAGAGAGAGTGGTCATTGAAATTGATGAAACTAATTAATAAAGATAGCTTTTTGCTCAATATTAATAAATAATTTTTTACAGGTTCATGCTCTTGCTATGGAATCGGAAGGAAGAATGGAATTGAAAGAAATACAGGAGATTTCATCATTGTTCAAATCTTCTCATCACCTTACAGCTTTGATGAAGTCTCACGATCAGGTAATTGAAGTTGAACCATAATGGTGAATAGGCTTTTCGATGTAATCATTGCATGGTTAGGCATAGAGATGGCAATTCAGAAAAATTCACTATTTTAGAATACTTGAGTCTAATACAGTCGAAAACTGAATTCTAATTTTTCTTTAATTACAGTGATCTAATAAATACTGCTAATTCTTCCAACTATTGCTGGCTCCTAATTTTGGCATTATGAGTTTTAACTTTTGAGCATATTCTGTGTTTTATTGTAAGCTGGTGACTGTTTATGCAAAATGTCAAATAAATATTTTTTGTGATTCTAACATTTCAAATATGTTTAATTTTGTATCGGTACTCACAAGAAATAATTGTTCAATCTGCGTCTTAACTTTTTCCCCGGCAGTGTTTTAAAATTTATTTGTTTTTGTGCAGTTATCAAACTATATGCCTATAGGCTCGGTCACATCTTTTTTATTGGTACATATCTATCCTTAGTTCCTGTGTTTAGAACCTTGCTTTGATCCAATTTTTTTAAAATTAAATTCTCATACTGCTGGGAATTTTCTGTTCACAAAATTTTTCCGTTTTAGTATAGTAAGCATGTGAATAATTTTTGGGATTTGTGAATTGTGATGTTTCTATTTCAGATTGCAAGTAAAAATTTTGCGCCTGAATTGCCAGAACCAGACGCAAATGATTATTTACTTGGAGATGAGGAAGAATCAATGAAGGTTGTAAGACTTGTAAAAGGGAATGAACCACTGGTAAGTTGTCATGCGTGTTTGAAACTTGACCAATTTGGAAAATATTCGAAATAGAAATAGAACACATAACGTGGAAATTGGTAATAATACTTTTTAACTTTACAAATGTGAAGTAATATAATTGTTAGAATGTGATATGATCAATCTAGGTGTATAAACTCAAAATTAGTGTATTTTCACATAAAACCAAGGGTTTCTGATTCCTTTGTATGCTTTTCTAAATTGTAGCTGTTATTAATAATGATAAATTGTTCATGTATGTATATTGATTTCGTGAAGCTAAGTTGCTAAAATGTACACTCAGCACCAAAATCATAATAACTATCAATTTTCTCAGAAGGAAATTATGCTTTTTTAGTTTCAAAGCGTGAATGAAAATCAAAACTGAAATTTTTGTTATCAACTTGTTAACATACAAATTATTCCTCTATTTTCTAATTTGGCATCTGAATTCTGCAAACCTTCAGATGAGTAGATATATAAAATTCAAAATAGAAATTTGAATTATTATATTGCTTTATAAATGGAAATAAATTTTCTCATTCTGGAAACGGTCTCGTCTTGATAATACAAGCACTCAAGATCTCTTGACATTCAACACAGACCAGCTTACTTATTAAGTGGGAATTTTTATTGGCATCTGAGCGATGACATCATCATAGAAAATGTCTCATGGGATTAGATTGAAATTTACCAATTTTTTGTCATGTTTATGTCTAAATCTTGAGTATCATTATATGGCCAACCCTAGAAGATGCCATTCCATGCTGACTGACGCATAGCAAGAGTCTAAGAACATTAATTAAAACTGTCATCTTGTTTTTGGCGCCCCATAAGTGTGTGTACCAATATGGGGGTAACTAATTTTGTTCGTCTACTTTACATCAAGTTGCGTAAAGGGACTGAAACTTATGGGGCATATTCACTTGGCTAACACAGACAGTCCCCGAACTCATAATAAAGGGAAATCGGAATAAAATTATGGCCTAACCCTAACCTGGTACACTCACTACGGGAGTACCTGTTTTTTTGCTTGTCAATTTTCATTTTCTCCTGAGTGCTCTATACTATTTATATCTTTGATAGTCTTGAAGATTCTATAATTTTAATACAAGAGAGTTGTTATTCATTGTTCAAAGTTGTTCCTTTAACTATTTATTAGAATTAGGTTATAAAAATTGAATATTTAAACAAATTTCACTAATGTAAATCATTGATTACAGGAATAGAATGGAATAAAAAAATTTTAAATTATTATTTTTGTGTGTCAAAATAGACACATTACAGACGAATCAATATATTCCATTCCCTAAGTAACCAAGAGAAATATTATAACCTCAAAACAAAATTTTCTCAATAAATTTGCATATACAAGTGCTCCAAGAATAGAAATATTTATGCAAATTTTGTTTTTGAATTCTCCTATCCAAGTTCATGTATTCGTGCTGATACTTAACCCATTCGTGTCCAATTATTCTATTTTCTATTTAATTTGTAATTGTAACTTATATTTCCTGCTGCAAGAAAATAACAATACATAGAATGTTAAATTTACACTTTTTGTTAAAAGTTTCTGAAGATGACATATGTTTACTTAATCAGATTGTGATAGCTCTATATAGTTATATTGCCCAGTTGGCATACATTGATTAGTGTATTGTGTAAGCATTATTAAACAATCCTTTTGTCTAGTACATATGATCAAACATGGGGGCCCAATAAGCCAAGCTTTTCAAGCTCGGCTTATTGAGCCCCCATGTTTGATAGAGCAATATAAATTACCCTTATGTCACTATCTGTGGTACCGTTAGCTTAAGGCTTATTTGACCGTACTGCTCCATATTTTTGTCGTTAAGCAGTGCGACAGTTGACTTTTTGACGTGTATTGATCTAAGTTTTGTTTAGCAGTTCGTTTTATAGTAGGTCTATTCATTGACTAAGCCTCTTTATATCTTATCTATAGGGTGCAACAATAGCAGTCGACGAGCTTACCAACAATATTATAATTGCAAGAATCCTAAAAGGTGGAGCTGCAGATAGGTCAGGTATGTACGGAAACTCTACTAGACTACTATAATCGTTATTTAACCTAGAGTAGTGCGAGACTGCCTATATCTCGGCTGTAAAGATTTGAAAAAGTTACATATGGGGAAGAATAACCAAAATCCGACGATTCACTTTTCAAAATCCATTTTTTAGTAATATTATTGAATGCGGGATATCGTATATTTTCTAAATCAGGGGTGGGCAACTTCTCTAGTCGGCGGGCCAGATGTGGGAAAATGAAGTTCTCGGCAGGCCGGATTATATCATGAATAGTATTCAATATCTTTATCACATATTTATTCGCTAATGCAAGAAAAAAATTATAAATCGCGTTTAAAGTAAAGTTTAAACTACAAAAAATAGAGACCAAAAAACCCATAATGAATTCGTCATAATGTACTAAAAGTGTAATAATGTAATATCATAATGTACTGATGTACAGTCAGCGGGCCGATCAGAATCTCGTCGCGGCCGGACCCAGCCCGCGGGCTGTGTTGCCCATCCATGTTCTAAATTGTGCCATGTTTTGTAAAAGATAGTACAGGGTCTTCATAAACAGGGTCTCCAAAGTCGCTTCACAATTTTAATTTTGTTATGAAGTCAGTTCTCAATATATCTCAACCAGGTTTGTTGTTTTTTATTCAGTAGCCTAATTATTTAAGTATTTTTACTTCATTTATTAATACGTCTGTGAGGGCCAAAACGATATAATTTGATGGCGTCGATAAATTTTAAAATTTTAAAGACTACATGTACACACAATACTTATTCAAGGAGTTTCAAATTTAAGATATAGAAAAGTGGGAGTAAACACTGACATATTTGGTTTACTATTTTTTATAGTTTTCATTAATAAATGAATGACTCTTCGGTCATATTTTGAGAATAAAATATGATAATTTCTGAATAAAACTCAAAATTTAAATATTGAATGTGATAAAAATTTCTAGTAGATTTAAATATTTGATTTGTTTTTGACATCCTTGCTCAGCTTATTGAATGAATCTCAAAAAATAGTGCTGTAAACTTCATGAACAATGAAAAATGCCGATAGACATGCAAAACAGATTTAACATTAGAGGCAATTTAAATTCTTGATTTTAGAAATAATTTAGAATATTTTATTCATAAAATTGATGCTTTTCAGAAATTATGACCAAAGAATCTGTAAAATATAGAAAATCGATCAAATCATTGCTTATAATAACTTTTCAGCATTTGCAAATTCAAACAAATAAAATATACCGGTACTTCCTTTTTGAAAATAACCCAATTTAGAATATTTCATATTGGAAAATATTACTTAAAGATGTTTTTGTAACAGCATATTTCCATGAACATAATCAAGTATGATATCGAAATGCCTTGGGAGTATTTTATCAGGCAATTGTGGTGATCAAGTTTATTAAAATAGAGAAACAATTCAAAACTTGCTGAGAAATTTTCACACATTCAGATATTGCAATTGTTACAGTAAATGAAATATTTTTCTGATTCGTGTATTCAACACACTTTGATAGTATTGTTTTATTTCAATGTATTGGGCACTCTGTTCATATATGAATAACCAAAAACGAAATAACTATTCTTTTACTACAAATCAGCATTTTCATCTAACAGAATATTGGGGGCTATGACTCAGCTGTTGAGGGGTTCAGTTCCCATGCCCACCACCTCACCCAGGGACCAGGGTGTGATAAATTTGGTACGCAATGCCCATCTGGAAATATACCGTTCTTCCCCAAAATCTCCTCTTTCTATATCAGTGACTTATATATATCTTGTACAGGTCATGAGCAAGAGGCATGAAATGAGCATTGTACATAAAAAATTCATTTATGATTTTTCATGCAATTTAATGATGCTATATTCCTTTATTTCAGGACTTATTCACGTTAATGATATTCTCGTCGAAGTGAACAAAGTACCAGCTAAAGGTAAAAAACCTGAGGAACTCATTGCTCTTCTTGCGGATTTTCAAGGGCCGCTCACGTTTCGTCTCATCCCTGGAGAAACTACTTTACATTCTGAAGAAGAAATAGGAAACTCGGTACGCAAGGTTTTGTAGCCACACTTTTCAAATTTTTAATTAGTTCATTTTTTCTGCTGGTGGTGACTGATCACCGACATTCCAAACGCCAAAAAAGCTCCCAAGGTTCAGAAAACTGTTACATTGTTATTTAGTCAATACTAGATGAAACCATTATCTATATACAGAGTTTGCTTTTCTATAGGAAGCTAGGGCACGTTGGGCACTTTGGCCCAGTGATTTGCGTTTTAGGTGTAACTATATTGGCAGTGCGAGTTGGAGAACCCATACCTGCTACACTCAGATTGTTTGAACTTTGCACCATCTTTATTAAAGTTAGACGAATAATGTGCAACTTGAGTCAAGAAAATTGAGCAATAGTGTTGGAATCCAACCTATGTTATTGAACTTCTCAAAATATATTTTGTTTTGCAGATGTACGTTCAAGCTAAAATCAACTATGATCCAGCCCGTGATCACCTGATCCCATGCCCAGAAGCAGGTCTGAAGTTTTTCAAAAATGATATACTCCATATTGTGTCCAGGTATATTCATGACTTTTTGACGTCTTCGGTATTGAATTTTGATTACCTTGGGGTTTATAGCTGAAGTCTGAGTCTGAATTCCCATCCATCAGGAGTCTGAGGCAAAACTTTTTTCAACTCTCACTGCAGGGATGTCCGAAACGAATCAAATATTCGAAATCATTCTAAGTTTGTTATAATTGATATAGTAAATCTTTGAATTTAGGAATATTATAGAACATCTTATCAAGAAATTTGGAATTTTGAGTCGTAAGACAAAGCGGATCAAAATATCTCACAACACAGAGAAAGCAGAGCCTTTATTATTATTTCGTTTTATATATGATCACATGGTCATGGAGATATAGTGATTTATATAATTTTCCACATGAACATGCTCTCAATTTAGAATGTATTCAATATTTCATATTTGAAATTATTTTCTCAGAATGTATTTGAAATAGTGGAATATTCGGTTTTGACCATCTTCAGGTCTCTTAGTCAGGATTTAGAATCTCCGTCAAAATGTTTTTTCAACTTGTAGTCGGGATTCAGAGTCTGCTATAAATTTTTCTCGACGGCAATGCGAATATCTTATATTTTTTGGCACATATCTTGAAAAGCAAATTGATTCAGACATTCTGGCAAATACACAATTTGAAGAAAAGTTTACAATATTGTTTATAAAAACTAGTTGTTTATTAAATAACAAACATTCCACTCAATAATTGTCATTTATTCTTAAACATGGATTAATTTAGAACATATTTAATACTCCAGATTCTGAAACTGCATTCAGAATAGCAAAATATAATTTTGTCTTCTCACAATTGTACTTCTTTACAGAGATGATGAATCATGGTGGCAAGCTTCCATAGTTAATCAAGGAATTCATTCACAAAATTTCTCAAATTCTACGGAGCGAGACAACGCATACAGTAAACTGCATTCCAGTATTAACGGTTCGACGTCTTCGTTTGCACCAAAAAGAGCAGGACTTGTTCCTAGTGCAAGATTGCAAAACAGGTAGGGATGTTCATTTACTGATCCCTAGGGCTCTCTGGTCCCTTGGATTGGATGGAGGATTTGATTGTTTTGAATTGATTGACAATTTAGTTTTTGATAAAACCTTTTTTTATTAACAGTACTCTTTTGATTATGTGTTTCTGATCAAAATGACTTGAAAACTTTACTTCCAATCACTGAGCAGAACTGGGTTAACACGAAACGTGAAATGGTGTTTCAGACTAATTATTTATAAGGTTATATCTGCTTAAATAAATAAATCATTTTTATGATCAAGAGGCATCTAAACAAAAAAACTGTACATTCAAAAAAATATTTTCGAAATTTACCAAGTACCAAACATGTGAGAATATTTGTGAAATAAAGTCTAACCCAGTTTTCGAGATTCTAGGAACCCCCGTTTGGTATTTGGCACAAACGAATTCCTCTACTGAGTTCTGATAAACCTCAAGTACATTCATAAACTTCTGTGTCTATATATTTGATCATTGCTCTCTTATTCTAAAAATAAAATAAATACAAAAAAAATTTACATATTCCAGACGTGAAACTCTAAAAAGGCAAGCAACCATTAGAAACATCAATAATAATTCTGTAAAGGGAAGTAGTTCAAGTTTATCAAGTAAGGGACAAAGAAGAAATCCATGTAAGTATTAATACAAGTGGGTGTTTGATATGCCTATGTTTATTTCAAACTATAAACCAAATTTTGTCAGCACACTTTTATAACTAACAGATTATTATATTCATAAATAGCTTGATAGAAATTCCATTACAAGCCAAGTCTAATTTGTGACCTCCAACATGGCTGTAGAGTGTAGAGCGCGGGAGCTTTTCAAGTGGTGGCGAGCACATTTGAATTATTGCAACAATTAACTTTTCAGTTGGCTAAAATATGCCGGCAACGCTTTGTCTTTCTTACTGTATGTATTTGCTGAACAGCGTTTATGAATGTTTCCCCAAGCATCAGTTTCCTTGTTTATTTCCGTAACTATAACTATGACTAATCAGCAATAAGTCAATAATGACGCAACACGTAACAATTGCAATTTCTGCACTCAGCCGCTCAGACACTTCTGTCGCTCAAACAGATATTCAAGCATGGTTGCAAACATTGCCTCGTTTTTGTAGTTTTGAGTGATATTTGTCAGTTTTCACTTGTGTTTCAAGAAAATGATAGTGAATTCATTAACTTAATTGTCATTATTTCTTCCGCGGAGCTCTACTTTAGTTGCAGTGATCGAAATTGAATCTCGCAAATGCTGCGATGGACAAGGCTAAACTTAGCTATATCAGTACCTGCAAACGGCACATGGTTGATTAATTTTAATAAAAATTATGGTTTCAAACACGTAAACCAGTTTTATGCGCCAACATACCAAAACACTCTCAGAATAAGCATAAAGTTTGCAATAGTAAAGTATAAGAGTAATTTTTCCGGGGTCAAGGGTCGGGGAAACGTCCATAGCACTGGTGCGCTATCGGTCCTTGTCTTTAGAGATCGCCCTCGCCCGCTATTGCCCACCTTGAATAGAACGATATGGGCAGGATTTTGTTCGTTTTGCGTGTTACGCCACGAAGGATGTAGTTCCACATTATAAAATACACACATAGCATGCTTCTTGTGTCTTTTTACCCACACCAAAAGCTTTGTCGGTGGTACGTGGCCATAGTAAAAAACAGTAAAGTGGTACGCGGTCAGTAAAAGGTTGAGAACCACTGGTGTAAGGTCTTGCTGGTTTTTAAGAGGTATGGTGCTAGATTCTGAGATGCTGAGTTTCAGAATTTAATATTCAAGAGTCACAATCGAAATTGTCAATTGGAACAAGGATATTCAGAGTCTGATTTTTGAAAAGATCTGGAATTGAGTTGAATCTAAATTTCCAAATTTATTTTATGAGTTCTAGCACTAAATTCGCACATTCAAACTGGTATACGGTTTTCAGCGACTCGCTGGATTTATGGTAATGAAAATGACTTCTACTTGTCAGTGTACTATCTTAATGCTTTTTATATTCTACCATTCAGGGACTCTACTAAGACAAAGTTTTCGTCGATCCAATAGACATCTTGATAGATCAACACCATCACCTGAATTAGCAAGAAAACGTGAAGGTAAATCGATTTGTAAAAATAAAAAATAAAACATTTTTACATGAAGAGCACTCATTCGTAGTATTAATACTATGAATGCTCCCTCAACCCTTGATGACAGCAGGAAAAGTCTTCCTATAATTCAATTTTGCAACAAAATATGTTTATTTTGCGAGATTGGTGTTAACAAAGTACCAAGTCGCCATATCTATTAAATTTATTTGATCGCTTACCATTAGAAAGTGTCGTCGCCTAACTTTTGTCTAATCTTTCCCAGCTTTTCGGCACAATGTCTGGATTATACCTAATCTATCCCAAATTAGACTGCTATGTTATTCAATTTACACAAAAACAGTTTGACACGTCTGTTTGAGCTTAAAAAGTGTTTAAAACTCTAAATGTTACTACGGAGGTGAACGAGGAAAATCTAAGCTTGAGGAAACGTTCATTATTTTTTACCTTTTTTCTTATAAGGGAATATTTATTGTGAATTTCAAACAGTGGAAATGTTTGAAAATAAATATCGAGTTTGCTGATAAATAGGTCTTTGTGAATTATTGAATAAGTGCTAATTGATAGGCAAAAATAACTTCCCAGAAATCTTTATCTTGGCTATATTGATGTCAGTTTATTAAAATTCCTTTTTTGGTTCAGAAATTCCTCCCATTGATCCTGCGACAGTGGTTGCATACGAAGAAGTAACATTGTTGCAACCGCCATCTGAGTCTCCGTTGGATCAACTTTGCTTTCGTCCTTTTGTTCTTGTTGGCCCTCAAGGTGTTGGCAGGAATGTTTTAAAAGACAGATTGATCGATTCAAATCCCACACATTATGGAGTGCCTGTTCCTCGTGAGTTTATTCAATAACTGAGTGATAACGTTATGTTTAGTTAATTTTAATGTTTGCAGATTTTAGTCTGGTGTGAATATGTGTGAGAATTTTGCTTGTTTATGTCGCTAGATGTATTATGTATTCGCTGGTTTGTTTTACTTCATCCACCAACTATGCATGTTGTTGGCTATTTCTAATTACCATACCTGGATATAGATTTCATTTCAAATTTTTTTTTTCAATGCCCAAAGATGGAAGAAGTTGCTATAAGATTATTATGTATCGAATATCTTTCTTTAAAAGTCTCTCTTGAGTCCTACTGGGCCGGTAATTTCCCCTCATATGTTGCATCAACTCATGGCATCTTATGAGGCAAGTCTGTCGCACCTTTTGGCAAAGTGCTTAACTAGGGTTAACCTCTATGTTTATGAATGGGCAATCGCTTATTTTAATCCTCTTATCAGTCATTCAAACTTTTTGTCTATATATTTGAGGATTGTTCTCACATTATCTCTGTTATCTTATCATCTCATCAGGAATAAAATACAAATCTTATGATCTTCCTTCAGAAGTTAGAGACTTTTATATTGCAAATATATTGTTAAATAGTAATATATCTTGGTGTCTGGAGAAGTATATATGGAAACTATTTTATTTTAATTTTTGAAAATCTGATAACCAGTCTTAACCATTATTTTGTCTATAAATTTTTAGACACATCTCGAGCCAAACTTGAAGATGAAGAAGATGGAAAAGATTATCATTTTGTTACTCGTGAATATATGGAGCAAGGAATAAGAGACAACTTGTAAGTATTTGGGGTCATTTTTTACCCCAAATCTTTATTTCACGTTTTTTGTAATGACATAATATAAACAATGTTACCTACAAAGCTCACTAAATACTTGAAAACGATCATTTCTAGTGAAGTGACTTTTTTTCTAGTGTTCCTTTATTTATTTTTATCTCAGATTCTTGGAATATGGCGAATACAAAGGAAATTTATATGGAACTAGTTTAGAAGCTGTGAAAGCCGTTATCTCTTGCCACCAAGTCTGCGTACTCACTCCCTATCCACAAGTTAGTATGATATGTTTTTTTTGACTATTTATATTTTTGCATTGCTTATTAATAAGTCTTTGCACAAGTTAATGCACAGAAACACAAAATTTCTGGCATGGTAGTCAGTGCATTGTTGTGGGCATTGGAAACATACTTTCCCGCCATTAGCTCATGCATCTGGAATGAATAATTCATTTACTATTCCTATGTCTGTAAATGCTGCTAACAGATAATAGGCTGTGGTTCACCATATGGTTAAGTTGTCTAATCATCTTTTCTGACCCCGGGATAATAAGGAAAATTGTATCTTGTTGCCTTTGCATTCTTTTAACTTAATTTCTAGCAATTTGTTACATCTGAATATAGTGGTGAGGTAGGATTTATTTAACCCTCATTAATTTGACACGAAGTGGACCTATCGATCATTTTTTTATTATGTTGTTGTTCTTGTTGGTATTTTTCTTGTTGTTATAAAAAATCGCCTTTCTCTTTGAATACTGGACCAATTGCTTTTAAAGCTCCAGTGGTTAATAAAGATTGTTGTCGCTAGATGGCTATTACTTCTATTTATTCCAAAAATTCTGTGGGCTCTATGGGATCCCGATTTTTTGTATGCAATGACGTCATCTAAATTAAAAATTGTGCACCCAGGGTCGTCTCGCATCCATTGCTATCTGGTGCTCAGACGAAGTCCGTGAGACTACAATCCGGTAATCTACTGTAAAAGATTAAATACCCTTACTACTTTGTTTTTGGCCTTCATGTTTATTAATTTGAGCAATGCAGATTGTTTTCGAATACAATTAGATTATCTCTTCATAAGAATTCTTATGGATAAGAAATTAAATATACCTCAAAATCTGATTTGTATGTCCTTTTTTATGAATCTTGATTCTTGATTTGCTTTTCAAATGATCTTGGGTACATTTTTGACGTGATTGATAGTTAATAGGCTACTTAATTTTACTGGACATCAGATAGGCTACATTGTCAAGCAATGTTCTTGTATTACCATGGGGTGGCCAACCAGTCAGAGACCAAGAGCTGCATCTTGTACTTTTTTGCGGTGAAAAGCCAAATTATAAACAAGAACACACATGAACATCAGATATACCATTATTCAGCTCTGCTAGAATGCTAGTTTCTTGTAAATGTCACTAAACAACATGATTATGACAGAAATTTACAAGCCTTTTATTATTATGCATGGTACTTAGTGGGACTTCTGGCATTCCTTGGATTGAACAATCCTTTTTAAATTTGGCTTGTATGTCATTGTAGCCAATCGAAGCAGTTCTTTCACCACATTGGTGTCAGTCAGAACAGATCAATGCTTTGATTTCACATGTTTTGGGGTAGAAAATGTTGCAGGCGCATGTTGACCCAAACATTGACAATATCCCAAGCGCAGCTCATTTGACATTGGGGTATATTTCCATTGGCATGCTTTTTCATAACTCAATGGTCTCCTCTCGTAAAGCGCACTTCAGTTGGTATTCTTCATAAAAATCAATCATCTTCAACTCCGTTGCAGCCTTATCTGAGACTAGAGGGAATTTTAAACAATTCATCTCGAAATTAAATGACTCATCGACGGCGTATTCTGTGACATTTTATCTGCACTTCAATTACTTTACTCGAATGGTAAACTCTGCGTTTGTCGCCGAACTTCGTTTTCGATACGATTACGACAGACGTTGTTATGCAATAAACGCGTGTCACAACAAATAATTTGATTGCGAATTAATATTGTAGAACTGCAAGGTAAATTGAATGAAGGTGTTCATGTATCTCCGACGTAAAAGAACAATGCGTGATGAATCATAATATGTTTAATCGAAACAAGATGAATCGTAGTCTGCAAGTTATTTTTTCCTTAATATAACCAAGGATAAAAGAGCCGCATAAAACCGGCACGAGAGCCGCGGGTTGTCCACCTTGCCTTAGGCAGTCATCTCAAAGTTAATGGCATTGACATGCTTTTCCGCAACTTTTGAGTAAAGGTTGTGGTCATCGTTCACGAATATATATTTTCAGGTGGCTTAGATTTCTCATTTGAAATACTAGTCATTTAATCTTCATGTTAAGGTAATAAATTTATCAAAATAAATCAGTCATTATATGTGGCAAATTTACCTTCAATTTTTACCTTTTCTTGGTTTCTCAATGTCATTGGTTTTAATTTCATAGAAATGGAATAGGAAGTATAATATGGTATTGGAAATTGAAATGCATTATTATCGCTTTTTGCTGATTCACGCTGTGAACATTTGTATATATTTTAAATACTCAAGTTTTAATGAGAAATAGCCTTTCATTAGCAATCATACCAATATACCATACATTTATGGCATTATCCAATATGCCACAAACTGCTGGTATGAAATATTAATAGAACACCTCGATTTGGACATTTGTGTATCATAATAGCTTTGCTACGCTTGATGTCAAATAAAAGGATTGCTAATAATTGCTTCATTGGAAAGCAATACCACTCCCAAAGGTTTCAACGGTTTCTACTTACAGATTCAATGAAACGACAAAACGGCTCCTTAATTCATTAATGGTAACTATGACAGATAGGAGAACAGTTGAACTGCAAATAAAAATATGACCACATGACCTGGGTTCTGCTTTGGGGGCACTATGTAATTTGTATAATACATTATACTAAGGAAAGAATATATGATTAGGAAGCGGGCACTTTATGCAATTTGGTTATCAAAATTCAGTGTTTTCGTTTGTATTTGCTACATGTATCACATTTTCTAGTCTTGGATTAATTCCAATACTGTCTTGAGTTATTATCTGCACCAAATTTTCATACAACTAGCTATATTTGTCTAGTTTAGGTATATAATAGTATGTCCTTCTCAATAGCTGACACTATAGCAAAATTTTATTCAATTGCTTTGATCATTCGCATTGGCATGTAATAAAACAAGTACAATATGCTTAATATGTTGTGCAGATAATATAAATCGTGTTTGGTAATTGCATTTGCGTGACGCTCTATTTCATATTAGATAACATCTCTGACCAGAGCATAAAAAGTCATATTTTTTTGCAATAATCAAAGAAAATAAGTTTGTGTCGCTGACATGTAAGGAGCTTCGATTCTGAGAAGAACCATAATCTTTTTGATCATTGTTCATTGACTGCCCAATTTATTACGCTCTGGGTGCCTATGTATATCTTACTTATTCTAATCTTTCTTAACTTGTTCACAGGCACTAAAGATATTGCGCAATGGTGCACTGAAACCTTTCATAGTTTTTGTCAAACCACCCAAAGTTGAGAAATTACTTGATAAATCTGGACAAACAGGTTCAAAGTCAAAACTGACTATAGATCGAGATATGAATGTACCATTTTCGGTAAGTTGAATGATAAATTTATCTTGTATAGCAATATCACAGGTTTATTCATAAATCATACACACTCTTTTCCTAGACGGAAGAACTTCAAGATCTCGTTAAACGAGGAGAAAAAATGGAATCGTCTTTTGGTCACATGTTTGATTATGTTGTTGTTAATGATGGAGTAGATCGTGCTTTCGCAGAAATAAAACACGTTGCTTTTGCTGTGGAAAACGAACCTCAATGGATTCCTAAAATGTGGGTAAAAAATGCTTGAGAATTGAGAAACTACTATGCAGTTTACTGTATAGTCGAGATGCTAGCATTTTACAATGTTATTAATATTGAAGGCAATTGAAAGAGAAGGCAATTACAGATATTTTCCTACAACTGAACTTTATTCAATATGGCAAAATGGTATAACAGGGTTGGCCTATATCAAACGATTTACCAATGGGTATATATATGATGTTTTCAACAAAAAAGAGTTTACAGATTGTAATATTTTCAATATTCACCTATATAAAAGCATGGATAATACGGTTTCTCATTTGATTTATGGGTACTCCTGAAGTATGCGCACCAAGATGTCGCACAACCTAAACCCTAACCTTGTACACAAACTGAGTTCAGGTTGTGCGCCATCTTGGTGTGTTTCTGTTTCATACAGGTATTATCAAAATTACCTTTTTTAATAAATCTATTTTAATTTATTCCTAAAATTAGGAATTTACTGTATTGGATATAATTAACTTTTGAATGGGTTCACATATTTTATTTGTTTTGGCCATTCCTATGGTATTTTTACTTGGTAACTACGTCGAAAAGTAAAAAAGCTTTGTATTCACTGTTTATGACTGATTCATAATTTCACGCCTAGATTGTTGAGTCTTTGATTAAATAAAACATAAAAGCAATTTCAAATCTTTATTTTTTAATTTTTTAAAATTTTACTATGGCTTCTTTCCCTTATACTTGCTTTCTATATTGTATATATATGATTTTATTCATATTCCGCAATCATAATCTTCATTGAAACAATTTGTTTTGTAGTTTTAATTTTGTGCGTTTTATATTTCCTGGCATATTAGCTCCATTGTGCTATTGCTTATTGTTATTGCTCATAATGTTTCGTATTTGTATCCCTTTGAGTATAAATTAATGCCATGGCATTTAAAATCCATAAATTGGGATGGTTATCAGTGTAGAAAATTAGATTTATTTCCAGTTAATATGATTTGCCTTTAAAGTTGAACTGACATCTCATGTGCTCTTACCATTATGTTAAAATTGTTAATTGCTTCAAAAACATCTCTTCGTAAAGAACATTCAATTTTGATTCATATCTGCGAAGTTTATTCAGAGATCACAAACATAAATGGGAAATTATTACTGCCTCTGGATTCTGTTGTCACAAACATAAACTTATCATTAGAAGCGATACTGTTTGATATAGCTTGACACAAAACTTAAAAAGAGACTCTCAGAAGCTAAAAATATCAGCCAAATATCTCCTATTTGGTTGGAATTATTTAATCCAAATGATATTATCAGTCATGGGTAGTTTTTTATGAAATATAATGGTGCTTATGAAGAGTATAGTCTACTCTACCAGATTGTAAAATTCATTTCTAGAATAGTGCCCAAGATATTTGTATGCATTATCGAAGTTAAAATAAACATTGTCCAAAGTTGTACAAAGAATTATATTACTTAAGTTCGAAATAAAACAATACAAACCTCTCATTTTCCTTAACTAAAGTGATTGAGGTCATTTTATATCTGTATTTCACTTTTTTCATTTTGTGTTAATTTCTAGTGCTGCACTTTACCAGTTTTCATACAGTTTCATTAAAATTACATTCCTAACTTTTTACCTTGTGACTTCCTATTATCTTGTATACCTTTGTTTACACTAAATATTTACATGGTATGAATCGCGGAAAGGCATAATGTAAAATCAATGCTAATTAAAAGAATTTTTTTATCATTCAGTTTTGGAAATCACTGTTCCACACTCCTTATGATTTGCTACAAGTTTTTATAAAGTTTAGGAATTTGCATTCTGATTAAAATTGATTGCAAAATAGTTGTTGACAAAAATATTTGAGCTTCTGCCTTTTTATTTTAATCATTTTAATTTTAGCTGCTCCGTTTGAGAAGTTAATTTTGTCATTTTCTCTTCCATTTCATATTTTTTATGTATTATAGGTAGCATAGTTGAATTCGCGTGTTTGAGCTGTTAAGGCATTTTCCTATTTCTCTTCTTTCATATATAAACTGTTTGTTTTTTGCAACTTTTCTTGTCTGGGCCCAGAGCGGATTTATGTTGGGGTCCGATCGTACTTCAGAATTTAGAGATGTACCGATACCACTTTTGTCGCCGATACCGATACCGATCCGATACCAGCTAAAAACGCCGATACCGATGCGCCGATACTATAAGAAGGCCGATATTACCGATACCGATACTATGTAATTATTACTTAATTAGGGGTGCTGTGTAGGGTAGACGGGTTAAAACAATGGTCTTTGAGTGTTGTTCATAGTACACATTATTTCAAATCGAAAAAAAAGATATATCACATAATATGAAATTAATGTTTGGAGTTTGCTTTAACTGATTAAGATACATTGTACAATAACGCTAGTAATCTCGGTGTTCAATTAGAAAACTCATAAGCCGGGATGTCAAATTTGAATTTAATGTTAATATCGCGACCTTCGAATATCGTTATTCGTGTTTAAAAGAATATCGAATATCACCCACATATTCTAGCGCCGCCGTCCTACGTTCAAATTAAAAGCATTTTACAAATATTGTATTTCGTGGCTAATCGTAATCGTCGACGCAATAAGTCAAAGCCAACATGAATAAAGAATATCAATCAGCACCAACAAAAAGAAGGCCTACCTATAACCGTCGAGGAGGTTTTTTTTAGTAAAAATAACATGATCTGTTTCAACGAAATAAGATTTTATAATATTTTACAATTGCAATCATATATTTTAAGACAGTCTAGGACTATGCCGTCATGTCAATATATCTATAAAGTAGTTGTGTAGTTTAATAGAGATAATTGTGTCGGAATTTAGTTTATCGATGTCGACGGACTAAATGACACTCGTACTTGACGACAAACAGTCAGAATTTATACCCGTGTCAAAAGTCTATGTGCCGTTAATAAGGACCCCAATTCCACTGTATGATTTAAAACCGGGCGCCTGATTGCTTTTTGTTATGTGCTGTGTTGATATATTTCTTCATAATTACTATGTAATATTAAAAATGTCAATATAAAAATTTGACAGCGAAAATATCTAAATTAGTTGAGCTAGTTTGGCTGATAAATAGCTAAAAACACGGGGGTGGGGACATGTATGGCTCATAGCTCACAATCTCTCCAGACAAAAAATAAATTAAAAAGTAGTATTCCAACTAATCTTTTAAAACATTCTGGACCATATCAAAAAGGTAAATATATCGGAAATATCGGCCTTAATCTAACCGATACCGATACATGGCCGATACCGAAAAAATGGCCGATACATCGGTACATCTCTACTTCAGATATAGCAGTGGTTCTCAACCTGTGGTACGCGTACCACTAGTGGTAAGCGGGGGCTTTTCAAGTGGTACGCCAGAAGCTTTGAATTATTGCAACAACCGTCTTCTGAGGTGGCTGAAATATGGCAGAAACGCTTTATCTTCTATTACTGAATGTATTCGGTGAATAGTTTATAGCGTTACCAGTCCTTCTCTTTATAGAGCGCTCTCACCCGCTACTGCCCACTTAAAAATAACGAGACTGGCATATTTTCGCCCGTTTTACGTCTTACGTCCACAATGCAGTTGCATTGAGATTATCAGCAACGAAGAGAGCGTTCGGACTTGGGATGGTTGGTCGGCGCGTGTCGAGATACTTGATAGATACATCATAAGGATGTTACTATTATTACCTGATGTATGTGTTGGTTGATCGGCATAATCTCGACTTTTGAGGCCAAATAATTTGAAGACTAGGTTAGGCAGTTCCGGATAGCGGCTAGCGCCGACCAAAGTTTATTTGTCCAGAGTTTTGCGATAGTTCAGTGATGGCGATGATTAGAGCCTTTCAGCATATATAATTAATACGTTGAAACTTTACATGAAGCTCTAAAATTGTAGTGCCACATAAATACTACCATAGAGCGTTTGTTGTGTCATTGTTTCCCGCCACAAAAGCGGTTTTGTCGGTGGTAGGCGGCCGTGGTAAAGAACACAAAAGTGGTACGCGGTGAGTAAAAGGTTGAGAACCACTGATTTAGAGGAGCAAGGTGGTAGCTGACGTGAGGAAAATAGGGCAGGCTCGCTTTTGAACGAAACTCTGGCCTATGTGAATTTAGTTTCAGGTTCCTAGTTTCGATTTTTTGATGCGCTCTGTTTATTACTCGCAACGCACAAAAGATATGCCATTTCTTTCTGAGGTAAACGATGTTAAAAAAAAGTACACGATATAAGTTCCATTGTTCGCGCGGTATCACATTGTGTACTGTTGCACCTTTCGTGGGCAGTCACCGTACATTTGAACCCATGTGTATATCCGCGGGTTCAATTTATATGTGGGTGCTAAAATCCATGGGTTAGGGTTAGTATGGGTTCTAATATCCACAAAACGAAGTTTCCATAGGTGCAATTGTCGTGGGATCAAATGTAATGGAACTTTACAACAATACAGTTTATTTCGTGGGCAGTTGGATGAATAGCCGATGCTAAATATCTCCATCTATGCGTGTCCAGTTACAGAAGACCATTGTACAGTTTAATGTCTTCTTAACGCGAGGAAATCCAACAATACGAAGACCTGACCAGCCACGTAGGAGTGTTGTAGAGCGGAGGTTTATTGAACAATGAATATCGGGTTTCATGGGAAATGCACCAAGTTTTTCGTCAATATAAAACAAGTACAAAATACTTCGATTAAAGTTATTGCGCGAATTGCATATATCATCGCAAAACGACTAATTTTTGTTTCGATCAATTTTATTAGCCTCCTAATATTTATAATTCGCGGCTCCCCTCACGATCAAGTCCACGCTATCGAAAACAAATAACTCCCTAATCCCATAATAACCGACAAGAAATGGTAACCGGACGAGAGGCAGTGGTTCGCCATATGGTTACGCCGTCTTTCCTCTATCTCCCCGGGATAAATATTCAAATCCTATTCTAATTACGTGTTCATAAAATTAATATACAAAGTTAGATCGGTTTCATATACTAAGCACGAACAATGGCAGCAATTACCGACAAAAAACCCAAACTGAACATTTACTAACATATCCTAGAATTAGGATTTTCATTATCTTTGTGAACATGGGGAAAACTAAGAAAATGAAAAACGACAATAATAGTTCATGTTCTCTCGTGTATCATACTCTAAATACACCACTGGAATGATGAACACGGGGACCACGAGCCATAAAAAGTTGGGAACAGTGATGAGCTGTAGCCGGAACGGCGTTCCGGTTGTTGAACATTTTATTGCATTTGCGTTCCTGTTGTTGAAATAAAATTATGTCATGGAAAGTTTAGTTTCTCTGGTAAACTTAGTTATTAACTTACGTTTTGTTGCGTAATAATTCTTTTTACATTGCGGAGAAACAGTTAGTTAGTACAGCAGTAACATGTAGTGGATTTCAACCGACCTTTGACCCCGTGAAAATTTGTCCTGCTATATTCTAACAATAGCATCTGTATTGAATTGGTATGAATATTCTTGTAATTATAAACAGACATATTTCAGATAATGAATTCCTATTGCATTGTAGTTCTTCGGCTCTATCTTGGGGCAGACAAAATTTTTTGGTAGCGTGTTGTAAATTAATATTGCGTACACGAATTAGGTGCGGTTGTTACCATTTTTTCAGATCATCACTGGTTGGGAACCACTTATATATATATACACATTCAAACAAGAAAAGTAGGCCTAAATTACATGAAATAATAACAAAAAATATAGTGTAAATAACAAGAGAGCTGTGCCAAAATATATGACACACAAAAAATGAATCTCTTGAAGTCCACAGAAATTTTTAAAATAAGTAAAAGTAATAGACTTCTAGCGAAAAATTCAATCTTTCACCACTGAAAATTTCAAAGCAATTGGTCCAGTATAAGAGAAAAGCAATTTCATCATGACGAAAGAAAAGAATAATACTAACAAGAACACCAACATAATATTGAAATGATCGTTATGTACACGGACGTGTCTAATAAAAACATGTTTGTGATGGCATAATGTACAGCACAGAATGAGTAGCCTATGCGAGAAAAATTTACAAAGACTGAAGCATAATTGAGGTTCCAATGGAATTCATTTATATAAATGTAATATTTTGGCAAATGATAAAACAGTAGTAGAACATTTAGAAAAATTCTACAAAGTTAGTGAAAATAAGAAGAACTAAGCAAACAGCAAGTACAGTACGGCTTATATAGATATATATTTTCGAATATTGACATGCTCGGTAATATTATAATAAGTTGAAAATTGATAAATTCTGGTTTCCCGGAAAGACATTAGACATATTCGTTACTGACGACTCATGCAGGCTATATGGCAAGCCATGAAAAATGAATATAACAAGCCGTATCTTCTCGTCGACTTCACGCATAATAACCCGGGGTGGGAATAGAAAATTTACCTTGGAATTCTATACCTCCAGGTGCATGCATTTTAAAAGTTAAGTAGTTTTGACATAAGCCAAAAAGTTGTATGTGATTGACGGTTTTAATTAGACAGATGTGGCAATAGAAGATCTTATGTTTGTGCTTTCAAATTCATAAACATACCCCGAATAGTGGTTTTTTACGATTTGTTAAAACCCAGTCCAATTATTTTTTAACTCAGAAATATAGACACCTGCCAGTGCATACGTACTATAAATACCCTAAATTTTTGCAGTTCGGTAAACCTGTATTTGATCATTATTCGAAGACTTTGAACAGGGAGAAAAGAGATTTTTTAGTCATATAAAAGTTTTAAGCTTTTGTTTCATCCCCATCCTACTGCATATCACATAAATACAAGAATCGTGCTAAAATCGAATATTATCCTTCTAGAACAGGGGTACTCAACCTTTTCCCTGTTAAATACCTCCGAGTTATTAGACACCAAACAAAGTTGTAGTATATTGACTAACAATTTGCTGCAACAGCTATTTATTGACGAACTGGAACTGATGTAACTAAATTAAATATTCGTGTAAAATCTCTCTTTTAAGTTTCAATTAGCATATTATATATCACTTTCTGCAATGCATTGTCGTTGAGATTCCGTAGTTTGGCTGCAAAGCCGTGGATTTCACATTGATGCGTCACAACAACGCAAGATCAGGGAAATTCTTCTAGGCTGAGTTTCAATCGGCACGCATTTAAATTCCTCTAGTAGTAAAGAAAATGAAAAATAGCAACACATAAAAACTCAACTGTCATCCAAGAACCCCTGGAGATCTTACCGTGAACCTCTGGGGGTTCGCGAAACCCAGGTTGAGAACCCCTGTTCTAGAATATAGATAACGGCACATGATTTGTGTGTGTTTTCTATACTTTATTTTTCTTTTATCGTCACATACGCGTATTGTTCGGATCGCGGTACAGCATGAATACATTTGCAATTTGACACCAATCGGAATTTCATCTCAGGATACGAGAACGCGAATTGTCGTGCATTAATTAGCCGTTTTTGTGATGAGATTCCGTTGTCGAGAAAGCCCGATTTGTGGATATAGTTGTGTGAAATTTGCGTTTATTTCAGCCGATATAGGCCTACCTTTTGAGAATTTGTATTCAGATTAGTTTATAGTTGGTTCTACTTTTCTACAGTTTATCGCTTCAATAATCGACAAAGTTACTATGCACAGTGTATATGTGTAATATACGACAGACTATCCACCAAGATATGCTTCATTACCCACGAATAATTCTGCTTCTTAAGAACCATGAATAACTACGATAGTCTGAAGGGGTGATTCGATTTTAGTAAGAGTACCCAATCTAATATGCAGAAACGAATCTGATTTGAGATACAAACAATATCACTGATTGCTGCTGAAATGCGTTAGGTTTAGATGGTAAAAAAGTATTTCCTCTTTATTCATTCTCGTGTAAAGCACCATCTATAACTTGTTTATTTCCCGAATTATTATTGAGTTTAGGTATACGGGGTGTCATTATCAGAAGCCTTGCGAAGCAGAAAAGTATGGCACAGTACGCTCTAACTCGGCACAGCCGGTGGATATCCTTTCGATTTCACAAGAAGGCATTAAATTAAAAAACATGAATAAATCACACTTCTGGTATTTTGTATAGCAGACAGTATGTAGCAGATAGTATGGCACAGTACTCTCTAATTCGGCACATCCGGTGGATATCCTTTCGATTTCACACGATTTCACAATTAAAAAATATGAATGAATCACACTTTTGGTATTTTGTATTGCAGACAGTTTGTTGCGTTAATTTACTAAAAATCAGACGTAAAAATATTTTGTACTATTGTAATCTGATATTTAGACATAGTTACTGCTACAGAAGACTTAGATTACCATTGATTACAAATTCTTGCTTGTTAATATCTATCCTGTATATATGTGGTGAAGTAAAGTCACCATCAGACCCAATTGCTCGCGTTCAAGAATGCAGTTAGCATGGAGATTAATTTTACAAACCGAGTTATAAGCCTTGGCAAAATTCAGTATTTAAAATCCATTATTAACGAAATCAAACAGAAAGATTGCTTAGTCGTCAAATTTTATTATTTTAGCTTGGAAGAAACAGACCATTCCGTTATTCACGTGAACGTTTAACATAAGCAAAACCTCATTACTGGAGGCTCTAATTTTTATAAGTGCCTTAAAAGATAACCTTGAATGAAGCCTGCTGAATTTAACTTCACGGTACGTTGAAAAACAATGGTATCCACTGTATAGTGGGATAGGCCGTTCAGGATGACACCATTTCAAACGACAGTCATTTCCTACAAGATACGTCATCACATATTTATGTATATATTAGTATATTACACCATCTTATGTCGTCGCCGTCGGAGAATTGTCTTTAGATATATTTTGTTCGTTGTTCATAATTTCAAGTCGAATCAATTACTCATGCAAGTCGTCGAGTGGTCAATATTGGTAGGATAGATTTTCCTATTAACTTTTGGGGAGGCGAAAGGGAATAGGACAGCCTTATCATACTGCAACCCCAGACGACCAGTCAACTGGTTCAATTTAACGTACGAGTCAGTTTTTAAACTATGGAAGTTTTTCGATCATGAAACAAAATTAGGTCTCCTACACTGTCCGATCTAACTGTCGAAAGTGATAAAATTTGAATACTCTTATTTTAGAATAAGTAAATGCAGAAGTGATATTTTATCAACTAGACTAGATCATTTTCCTATTTTATTTCTACCGTATGAGGTAATCAGGAAGTATTTCCAATTTTAATGTCGTGTACTGGATTATCTCCATTGTGCAAGTTGGATTGTTATTTTGCTTATTCATATATATATATATTGCAATTGATTAACATGTCGGTACAACCGAGCACCGAAGTATATCTGATGAATATCCGATGCAGTCGGAATTCGAAATTTTACAAAACTCGCAGGCGCCGTTATTTGAGCTGCAATTCAAATCAACATGCACATTTTTTTGTGGATGTTTTATATTTGTAGATAATACCTTCCGAACGTTCGTCGGTTAGTTTAGTTATGTCGCTAACATAGCATATGGCTGTATGTAGTGTGCGCGGGCTACTTATGCAAAGAGATAAAATGCAGAGAGGAAAGTATATATAAAAATATAACACCCATGAGTATCAGGACATACCGACGAATTTACGCAATAAGGCCCTTAAAATTTCGATATTGGAACTAATCGCTATTCATTTCAAGATGCTAAATATGGCTGCATATCGGTGTTGAAGCTTTTGTGTAGAGAAGGGGATGCAAAATTTTAGTGGTATATATAGAATCCGCAAAGAGTTTGAATATTATTTGAGGAGCTTTACACTAAATTTATAAAAACAAAAATCACATGGTTAGTTACGAAATTATGTTCCTGAGTAAATTGAAATTACCTTATTTATTATCTCGAATGTATTTGCTGCTTTGTATTTGAAAAAGATTCAAACTGCGGTTGTTATTAGTGTTGTTATTGCTTGTTTGGACAGTTACCAAATTATCTTGACAGCCATGTTGGGTGTATCAAATTATATTTGGCAGCAATAAGCTAACAAAAACAATACCATTTCGAACGTGACAACAATGTGGGAGGCCACGAGTAACTTACTGGAGATGCAGATATGTTATCAGGTGGAATATATTTAATCTATACATATTCCTCATTCATTTCGTTAACAAAATTAGGTCAACTGACTTAAATGAAATGACTAACATGATGTATTCATTTTTAAAAACTATCAGAAAAATAATTAAAAGTTGATAACGATGGCTCTGTTGAAGGTTAACTGCACCATACGAACACTGTTAGTATTGGTTTTTGCAATCAACGTGTCGATGATATTAGTATTTCGTCTTTACGTCTTACAGATAAGACAGGAAAGCATCGGTAATAGGAAATTTCAATTATCATATTACACTACGGTGGAGACAGATACAGAAACTCATACGTTTACAATGGCCAAGGAAAATACAATGTCATCAACCGCAAGAATAAATGGAACCGAGATGATAAATGTAAATTTTACTACAGAGCTCAATGTTCCCGCGATTTCTAATTGCATTGAATATTTAGGAGGATCTATTTCTGTGAATTATAAGTCAGCTCTACAAACCTTTCACAATTTTTCAAATATTACTCAAGCTGATATAACGACTTATGGGGAATTATTCCTTGGAAATAAGGAAGAAGGATATAAATACAAAAATTCAAACAACGCGGTGATTTTTGAACCAAAAAATCCAAATTGCCAGACAGCACAAAATGTGGCTTTTATAATTCCTTTTCGAAACCGAGAAACGCATCTACGACTAGTAGTAGGACATCTGATTCCAGTTTTACAAAGACAAAATATTCGGTAAGTTACTGTTGATTGTTTATATTTATTAGGGTAAGTTACAATACATACATACGACCTTGCTAATCTCGTCCGTCGACGTCTGGCGAGCAACTTCAGCATGGCTGCTCCAGGCCAGTCAATCAATTCATGGGATTGAATGATTGAAACCGTCTTAACCGACCAGTGGTTCATTTGAATAGGAGTACATTTGTGCAAAATCCGTTTGCACGACCAGTTAATTCATTTGGGGTATAGTGCTTGTTGGTGAATAGAATTTGGGATGATATGTTCTGAAGTCATAGGCTACGTCTAAACCTGGATTAAACAAAAAAGCAAGATTCGCGCTTAGCGTTTTCTCGCGTAGAAAATGAATATATATATTCATTTTAGCCTTATTTGTATAAAGTTGTAGTAATATATTTTTCGGACATGATATTTTTTTATAAATATGAATACTACGCGTCAGAATATAACTTCTAAAAATAGTAAAAAGCTTTTTTAAAGTCGGGATCTTAAAAAAGATTTTTCATTTCGTTTACATTTTTAGAAGTTATATGGTGATGTGCTGTGTATGTTCTAATTACATGGTATGGCTGACTGCCTACATATGTCTTCTGCGGACTCGCGGAAACGGAAGCTCTAACATTTTCATTGATACGTTGGTTCATCTGGGTTCAATAGGATTATTAACGTTATATGAATATAAATTAAACAATATGTTATAGTATAACTTGCCAAATATCCATATTATACTCAACCAATGATATAACCATTTCGAGTCAACTCTTACTATTGTCGCAAATGACGACATTAAGGCTGAATACCAATTTTTGGATGTATATATACGCATACCAGGTTATCAACCGCCTCTCTTAAAAAATATCTATTAATGTCGTGTCCCACTTATCATACATTTGTACCGCAATGGACCCACTTTTCCACTGTTTTGAGTTTGGGTTGATATATATTGTGGAGCAAGGGGACAAAGTAAGAATATAAAGTGGGATTTTCTGAGTTAGGATAGATGTAATGCCTTGAAAGAAGTTTAAAGCAGGGTTTCCCAAACTTTTTTCTGCCAGCGCCCCCTTGGACGACTTTATAACTAGCAAACGCCCCCTAACAAAAAAAGTCAGAGCCACTTTATTTTCCATTCATCATTAGTATATTGTGAAGGTTTAGCCTAGTGAAATGCCACCAGCTTGATAATATCTGGCTTCATTTTAGTCAAAAACAGCCTTGTTTCTCCTCGTCTGACACTGTCGAGGGAATCTCTCTTGGTATGTAAAAGTGCAGTCACTGCACTAAATACACGCTCTACCAAGAATGAGCTGGCAAGAGCAATAAAATACTTTCAACCCGGCCTCACACGTGAGGATATTTCAAAACCCAAGAAATAAGAATGAACCAATTAGGTCGCAACATGGAGATAGTTCTATCTGGCGTGCGTTAGTCCAACGCGTTGCTCATAAGAAAACCAAAATCAAAACATAAGGGTGTTGTATTTACGTTACCACTTCAAAGCCCCGTAGAACCCGATAGTAAAATGAAGCTATTATTCAAAACAGACAAACAGTACAGCGAAACGTGCAGTGCATGGTGAAGGAAGCGTATGCCGTATGCGCTAGACTGGTATTGTTATGAAAGAATACGGATTAAAAAAGTCATAACACCTGTTCTACGTTAGGCGAGAAATTTTCAACACCGAAATCACAAGCAAACAAGTTTGAACCAAAACATAGAAGTAAATGACATAAAATATCACACTTCTTGTGAGTTCCCGTATTGATGTCAGCGACCCGCCAATCGCCCAGTTTGACAGCCAGCGCCCCACAATTGCCCAAATCGCCATCAGCGTCCCCAAGTCATCGCAAACGCCCACAAGGGGGCTTTTTCGCTCACTTTTGGAACCGATGGTTTAGAGTATTCATATGAAGTAAGATTCATACATTACTCAGTAGCCTAGATGAAATATATATCTATTATATATTAATTAAACGCTGACACCAAACTGGCATTTCTGGCAAAATTATCTGAAAAATGATAGAAATATATTGACCCAATTTCCATAAAAACTATTTTATTGAAAGTTGCTCATGCTTTACCCTGAATCTCTATATTTTCTCAGCTTTGCATTTTTTATCGTCACTCAAAATGGGAACGAATATTTCAACAAAGGTCGACTGATGAACACTGGGTTTGAATTCGCGAGTGAAGTTGGAAAAGCGAGGAATCAAGCTTTCGATTGTTATATATTCCATGATGTAGATCTTTTTGTCGAGCACGATAGCCTTCTATATAGGTAATATCATATTATATATATTTACTGTGGGGTTGTGTCCATGCACTATTACATTATAGAAGCGTTTTTATATCATATATATATATGTTACGAACAAAAATTATTTCACGAATTTTCTTAAACCAACTTGACTATAAATCATGCAGTAAGTTGTCATACTTACAGTGGTCATACCGCCATATCGCGTCTGAACGAATGTTGGTTTACTTTAAACATTCACTATATATATATATATATTGATAAAAACCACGCATTTATATTTCTAATACGTCTATAAATTTATACTTTCTCAGATGCGGCGGTGGAAAGGAAATTGATCACTTAGCCCCAAGAATTGATAAGTTCAAATATGTTCCATACTGTTGTGGTATGACAGTCGGGGGAGTCATTGGTTTCACAGAAGAGCAATACAGGACGGTAATTTTATGAAAACAGAATAGATGTTACCGCGAGGTGGAGCTATGCAGCTACAGCATATCATTTTGCAGTCATTGTATGGCAGCCGTTTATTACAGTCGATATAATAGTTGGGAAAGTAAATTTTCATGATTGTAATAAAATATAAAAAATGGCGTAACAATGATTTTGACAACTATTGCCTCGTATTGAATGGATTTGCGAATCCTTACACAGTTTATATCCAATCATGATTCGAAGTTTCGAAAGTTTTCACTTCGCCATAGCAGAAAGTTTGCTTCCTTATGGATCAATAACATAGTATATACACAACAAATTCAGGTGAACGGTTATTCCAATAAATATTGGGGATGGGGAGCTGAAGATGATGATATGGCGGATAGGCTAGAACTACATGATTTGGGAATCAGACGACCAGAAGGTGATTTAGGAAAGTAAGTACGTTTTGTTCGTACATATCCATTTTAAGCCTAATTTCGTTGAATATAGATGAAATAATATAGTCATCAAACTTACCAGGATAGACATCTGACCTTACTGTTTAAATATTGTTTTTATTAACTAAGTCAGTATAACAATCATATACATTTAAATGAAGTGTATTTTTTCCTTCAACTGTTTTCGGGAATCGACGAGATGTACAGTTTTATAGATTCTATAGATTAGAATTGTAGTTGATTAAGTTTCTACGGGACTAACTACTTATCCCTCTTCTACTCTTTTGTGTCGGTGAATTCGCATGCAAGACTGAAGATAACTATCGTACGTGATTTATAAGTCTTCAAGAGTTAAGAAATTTGTCTGAGAAAGTATAACCTTGGTCAGACGAAACGTTACGAAAATATATTTGTGTTGGCAAAACTCTTGAATCTCTCAAAATTGTTATATGCAATAAATAAATTAATAATCAAAAGAATGGCATTTTGTTTTTAGATATACCATGATGTCTCACCAACGCGATTCTCTGAATCCGATCAACACAGGAAGATTTAAAATTTTATGGGACAAAAACAAAAAGTATATTTAGTAACAAATTTATTTTAGACTTATATACTAGTAGGCGTAGACTTGTTGACAACTCATTGGAAATAAAAAATGTTATAATAATTCATCATTGAATGTTAAAATGGCCTATTCAAGAATTTATCCGCGCTATTTGACCCAATGTGTATATTTTGTATGTTATTGCAAAATACTCCAAATTGAATTATGTTTAAGAAGTCGGTTAATTTATGTCCGAATTTTCCTGGTCTAGTATAGCATAATCAAATGAATGCGCCTTAAAAAGGATGGTTGGCTTGTGTTGTTGACCAATAGAGTAACCACCATTCAACTACTGGATTTTAATCTCTTCTGAGGTACTAAATGTTTAGGCCAGTGATGGGATATAAAATTTTAAGAATTTTTTTTTGTATCGCACTAAAGTATAACAGGTTCTATCCTTTCATAAATTGTATGTATATCATCCCATAATGGGACAATAGAATTTCAAATATAACGTTCGAGGGTTGCGATGCACGTTCTCAATGTGCCGCGGTCGACTAACTTCTGAAATAAAAAAAATAACAATGGACTTGCCCGGACCCCCGGAATCCTACCCGAATATACGCTCAATTATTTTAAAAATTTCCATTTTTCAGATTTTGGAATGACGGGCTCGGAAATTTAGATACAAAAATAACGTCAGTTTTACGTTATCCACTTTTTGTGAACGTCTTGGTAGACGTGGGAAAACCACCTACCTAACATAAAGCAATGAAGATGGATCATTAAATTTGCTCCGTGCTCCGGTTCTTCATATAGATCGGTCCCAACAGGTCCAAGGAGAATACAACAAATACAAGTGATCTAAGCCAAAACTGAGAGTTGGAGGTCATAATTGTATAAGGCCTACTGCAAGAACGAAATCTATTCTACATAGCAGCATTTGCACTTGTTTGATCATGTTTATATTTTACAGACACTTTGGACCCTAGAATAAAATTAATTAATGCTTAGAATGTCAAACATTTGGAGAAGAATAGAATGTGCTTTTTTATTTCAAATTCAACAGTGTCAATTGATAAATAAATCCTCAACGCCCTCCAAGTCGAGTCTAATCATCGAGTCAGTGTCATAGGAATGTCATGACATAGACAACAGTGAAATGAATAAATATAGTCACATTGGCACTAAGACTTCTTGCTTTGAACCCACGTTATTTTCAAAGTCGAACTAAGATTTACCGATATATGGATAATCTTTGATGAATCCCATGTAAAGCACTATAGCTTAGTATATATATTTATACCTCCCATGAAAATTCTCTAACTCTGACCAGTCAGTTTGCAACACCAAGTTATTCCATTTTGCTATAACAACGGCTGGCCGACTGTGACCCCTTTTACTTTTAATTTCGCCATTTGTTTCTTTTGTCTCTCTTGCTACCACGTATCAAATTTTCTATCAGCAAGTTTCTGGACGGAGCACGGATTTTCAACATAAATGTGACATATTGTAATGTCAATGTTTGTATATATATTGTGAAGTTGCAAGATTGAATTGAATCCAGTCAGATATATCGAAATATACACTTAAACCTTGATACCAGCTATACGTTTGAAATCCAAATGAGCAATAATGCAAAACATCAAAAATAGTCAATCAATTTTTTTTCAACTCTCGGATGGAGACAATCAACGCGCCACAGATTGGTTGATGCAAAAAATAACTCTGCATAAGAGTGAAGCCTTTGCTACCATACATCTCCATCAGCAAGATTGTACAAATGACTTTTTTCAATTGAATTCCACATGCTATTAATACAAAGGTATTAAATAACATTAAACTTCATAGTTATATTTCACATTCGCTGCACCCTCACTGAACGTTCACCTTTTTTTTATAATGATGCACTCTTTTATCTTTTACTCAAAATCTAGTAGGCCTACAAGTTACAACCCACTCATCCTTCCTTTTATCGATCAAAAATATAATGTTTAGAACAGTGGTTTTCAACCTTTGATGGCTTGATGTGGCAACCTTTTCATCATTCTAATAATACAAGCAACGCACACATCCCAAGGCATCTCAATTCACTTTGGCAAATAATGAAGTATTGTGTCCGTAAAAGCATATACTGTTTATATTTAAAAACCGTATTGTGTGTTTTTGATTGATTGAAAATGTGAGAGGTTTAGAGTAAAGCATAAAAAGATGGTTCCTTTCAAAGAAGGTTGACGGGCACTGTATACGAAACGATTGCATGCCAATTTTATGGAACATTGAGTCCTTCAATTTAGAGTCGCAGTTTTTACCTCTTCATGGCAGCTCCTGTCACGAACGAACCGCGGCCTACCTTGCTATGGTTTATGGCGCTATCACTGGTATATTCACAGAGTTATGTACCAGAATTTAGTATATCATGCGGAATTATATCTACTTAAACCCGAAACCTAACCCAAAATCCATCAAAACTGTATCCATAAATAAAATGTTCCAACTTACCTAGGCTTACCATACGTCCCGGTTTAGCCGGGACAGTCCCGGATTTGACAAGCTGTCCCGGCGTCCCGGCCGGTTGACTCAAATGTCCCGGTTTGTCAGCACGGTTTTCATGGGTAAAAAATTCAAATTCATTATTATTACAAATTTTTTTCTAACGGTGACAGCCCATTTACAACTGTTTTGCGACACACTTTGCTAGTTCAGAGAGAGAAATCGCTCTATTGTTATGTCACAATTGGTAAATGTTTTAATGCGTTTTCTGGCGTTAACTGCAATGTCGTTAAGTTGTCGAAATGCCAAAAAGAAAGTCCAAGTTTTCTGATGAGTTGAAGAAAGATTTTCCTTATTTGAGGCAAACTGAAGAAGGAAAGGTACACTGTACGCATTGCAGATCTGTTTTTCTATTAGTCATGGCGGACGTTCAGATGTCAACGATCATATCCAAAGCAGGAAGCACAAAACATTGAGGCATCGACTCGACTGACCAATTTTACGATAACAAATTCGGATGATTCTGTGTCGTTGGCAGCCGACATTTACCTATCACACTGCTATTCATGACCAAAGTTTTGACTGCACCTCTAAATTAATTTTCAAATTTTTTTGAGGCTAAATTTGCATTTACTTGTAAATATACACAGTTAGAATTTCTGATGTCCGCTGTCTGATAAGCGGATTCGCTGATTTTGCACGTTTAGCCAGAAATAAATGAGAGTTGGTGCATTGCTCCGCTGTTCTCCTCTGAATTTAATGATGATTTACTTCAAGCTCGAATGACAACAAAACGCAGAAAAGTTGATGCTAAGTGCAAAGGGTTCAATGGCGCTGAAAATATTCAAATGGAATTTTTTGAGATGCAATGAAGAAATAAATCTATATTCTATTCGAGAGATGTATCACTGCTTGATTTTTAATATAAAAAGTATCATCCGTTCAGTTTCAACTTTCTAAAAATATGTGCGGCCCGCCAATGACTCGCAACCCTTAATTTTGGCCCGCGGGCGACAAAAGGTTGCCGACCCCTGCCGTAGATGTTGCAAATATTCTGTCAGAGGTGAAGCTAAATTTGCAGGGAAAAATTTGTATTTAAAAAGAATGTTTGCGATTTTTACGAGAAATGTCTATCGCAGGGGTCACCAACGCGTTGCCCGCGGGCACCAAGTCGCCCGCGAAGACTATATTAGTCGCCCGCAGGTCTGTTCCAAACTAAGCTTGATAGAGGCTCTTTTAGGTAAGCTACATCAATTATATTTTGTGCTGCTATTTTAGTATAAATCACACTTATATGGGAACTAGAAATGGCACTATATTAATTATTGTAACCATCAACCTTATTTTTATTTGTCCTCAGTAATGTGACGGGTCAATTAACACTCTTCCCATTATGACATCACACTGAGATCACTTTCCACGAACCCGCGCTTTTTCTTGTCCGTTGGTTAGCGGAGCAGTAATAATACAATTGTTGATTCCAAAGAAAAATCCATCATTTTCACGATGAATGGGAGGTGGATATATTTATACCACCATGAAAACAGCCTGCGTGTGTCTCATTAGTGGGGTGATTTTAGCGACGGCAAAGCGGAGGGGTGTTTCACATCTTGTCGCGTAATCTTCCGCGCTAACTACACACTGGTCAGCACAGTACGGACATAAAAAATCTCGCGATTCGAATCATACAGTAATCCTAATTTACGAGACCATCGTTTGTTTCAACCTATCCTTTCGAATCAACATTTTTGACATGAATTCAGGATGGGAGATTTACATATTTATCCCGGGGGAGAAGATAGCCGATAGGACGGCTTAACCATATGATAAACCACGGCTTCTCGCCGGTTACCATTCGATGTCGGGTATGGAATTAGTTAGTTATTTGTTTCCGGAAGCCTGGACTTGATGGCGAAGGAAGCCTTAACCGACCAGCGGTTACGTGAACCACCCTACGGCGGCGAGGAGTCCAGCAATCCTTTTGCACATAACAATCCCCGCATGGGATTCTAACCTGCGAACCTAACGCTTAACACGATGGGCCATAGCGCCGCGACTCACTCCACCAGGAACAAACATGGAACACGCCTCACTGATGAAAATCTGCAAGACTCGCTCAGAGTTACAGCGTCAAGTTACACGTCGGAGTATAATACTCTGCAACATTCGATAGTACAACTGTTAAGTCCATTTTATGTTAGACTTGTGCAGAGTGTTGAAAATCAATTTCAAAACACTCAGTTTTGGAAATACAAGTGTAATTGATAGAAATTCATTTGCAACGTTGTGATAATCGTTTGATTTCCTGAAGAATCCTAAAGTTTATTAGTGTCTATACTTCACTAAATACCAGTGATTATATCAATAATTGAAGCTTAATCGAGCAACTGATTTTTTTAGAAGTGTACATTGAACTGGTAGCCCGCAGCTTAATCTGTACCCAAATAGTAGCTCTCGGCTTCGAAAAGGTTGGTGACCCCTGGTCTATCGTATATAAGGCTGCACGATGAAGCCTACAATGCTGCCAGGCCACACATATGGACAAATTTGAAGAGTGAAATAAACTGGACTGAAGTGTTTGGTCTGCAAAATTGATAAATGATATGTTTGGTTAGCTGATCAGGTTTTGAATAGCGATGCACTTTTCGACGAATACTGATAAAGAGATATTTATCTGAGCATGGTTCAAATGCAATTTGACTTACTTTGCCGGTTGAAATTAAGTGGACAGATTTGTTTAACGTTTTTTCTAACAGAAATATTAGCATTTCGAATTTGCAGCAAATTGGTTGATTTTGTTTTTCGGAACATCGGCATCTGTTAAAAGTATTTTTTCCATTGTTAAAAAATTTTGGTCCGAAAGCAGGTGCAGAATGCCAGAAGAAAATATAAAACCACTCCATAACCTGCAAATTTAATGGTGATGTCTCTTGTTATCAGTTTTATGACAAAATCAAAACAAGAATTTTTGAGAAAGGTTCCATCTGCGGACAAATACTTTTGGTCTAAATGAATAATACAAACTAATTTTTTGTGTTTTTTTTTAATTCAATGATCAGTAGAGATTTACAGCCGTATATACCCGCAATGGCATGGTAAACGTTCCAATATTATCAAGACTGGCAATCGACCGAATGTTTGCCAAATCGCACCGTCCCGGTTTTTTGTTTCAGATTTATGGTAAGCCTAAACTTACCCAATATTTGTCACCATCAGGGGCAGCCCTATCTTTACGGCCGACCTGCCGTGGTTACGGCAAAATTTTACGCGCCATAGGTTTTTAATTTGCTGCCGCGGTAACGGCAGCTCTCTATTGGTTTGTGGCAGCTGAAAAGTAAGTCGTCATGAGTTTGGCCATAGCGGCCATGATTTGAAAATACCGCCATGGTTGTGCGGCTGCTTTAGACGCCACAAAATACACAAAACTGCACTTGTTAATTTAAGAGTCATGTTAGTGTGCAGCTGGACTCTTTAATTGGATAGAATAGTCATGTTTATTCCAGCTACAGTATCCTTGCAGCATACGCATACGGATCCACTAGCATAAAAGCATAGAGAAAAGATAGGAAGTTAGTCTCGCGCAACCCAACTCAAATTTATGTTAATTTAGCACTGCCAAATTAGTCTCGCTTTATAATTTTACATTGTTCATCTTTACTGTGACGTAACAAATAGTAACTTATTCTACCGCGCTTTACGACCTTCTTGAATTTTCCTTGCCACGAGGTAGACGCTCGTTGCACTTTGCGAATTGCTTAGGATGCTGTGCGATCATAGATGTTATTGTTGATGGGTTTTCTCATTCTTGTGTTACTCTTCTGTCATACATTACCAAAGGTTTTCTCAGGTGGGAGTTTTACACCTAGGATATTATCAGGTTTTATTATACGGGGAGTCTTCAATTTACGACGTTGTTCCGTTCTTGGGAAGCAATGTAACCCGAATTTCAGTGTAAGTTGAAACATTATACAGTACAGTACACAAATTACTCTATACATATCGAACTGTATCAGAAACATCTGTTTTACGCTAGAAGCCCATAACAAGAGGAATATTTGTTCGTAATAGTTCGCAATTGTCTACGTCATTTACGATGTAAATGACGAAAACCAATGAGCCCAAAGCACTGATTTCCTTGAACACAATGATCCAGTTTAAGGGCTTAGATATTACAGTACAGTATTATCTTTCATATTTTAATTGGGGTGCGTTCGTAACCTCGAAACAGCGTTATGGAGTGCGCGTTCGTAACCTCGAAACAGCGTATGTCGCGACCGTCGTAACCCGAGGACTCCCTGTCTGCTGGTCGGATAGGTTTCGAGGATAGCTGATTTGTGAGGTATCGATGTAGTCTATTACTTACTGTTCTAATCTGTATAAAAGCATACTTCTGGCTGTTCTTTGAGTCCTTGTCAAAAACGGTCAATCTATCACTAAGACTGTTGATTTGGGTACCCAAAGGACAGGACACAGCTACCCTGTAACTCAGAGTCGTAATGGGAGATCAGAAAAAGGGGCATGGTTCAGAGTTCGGATTGTGTCATTTTGAGTATCTTATTCATGTACAGTGTTTTTAGAGAGAAAGCAATCAAATTTTTTGAAATCGTATAATTTATTGTTGCAAATATATTCTGAAATTTTTTTTCAAAAACTAAATATAATTTGGATTGAGT